GTGAATTCACAGCCGGGTGGATGTTTTGCAAGGATTCCTTTTATAAACTAACACCCATCATTAAAGAGCTGGATGTCACTTATCTCCCGGTGACACTGAGAGAGAGAATCCTCTCGCTGTCAGGAGAGCTAAATAAAGCAGAGACTGCACAAACCCCATCGGAAGACGGGAAGCACAGGATGTCCGCTGCTGCTGCCAATGTGTTCTTTCCCAGGCACCGCCGACCTTTCCTGCTAACCCAGACCCCAACCTGGCAACCAGGCCCAGGAACGTGCCAGCACGAGGCAGGCTCACCATCCCCCCCTCCCCTCACACGCATACCCCCTCACACTCCACTCCCTCACACATACTCCCTCACACAACCCCCACATCCCACCTTCCCACACCCCATACCCACCCCCCCATAGCCGCACTCCCCCCACACCTGCACCCCCCCCGCCCACACGCGCCCCCTGCCCACACACGCGCCCCTCGCCCTCCCCCGCCCACACACATCCCCCACCACATCCTCCCTGTCGCGCCCAGTTCACTCCCTTCCCCTCCTGACCCCACCCCCTCACACGCCCCCCCCAGCGTCCTCACACACACCCTACTCACCCCTCCCCCAAACGATACACACTCACACAAACAATTGTTGCGTTTGATATGTTTCCTATAATTCAAATAAAGTGTTTCAGGGAAACTCTTTTGAACTGCAGAGAGTGGCACAGTGGGGCCCCACAAATCAGTGAGATGTGAAAGGGTGAGGTACCTGGGGGCCTGGACAGGAGAGAGAGAAACTGCGTTCTCTTGTCCAATAGCAACAATGGGACATCCCCCACATTCACCCCAATGGCAAGAGCAACTCCCTGTGTTACCATCTCCCACAGCATCGCGGTGGAAACACAAACTTTCTGTTCAACTGCATGAAAACCGAAAGTACAGCAGATAAGAAGGTTCCAGAATGTTGCTCATGAATGGGTGTTTCCTGAGCAGCAAATCCATTAACCCACGGGCTCGACCAGAAGACTCCAGAGCAAATCAGAGGCTTAGCCTTCAAGACCATTTTGAAGGTAAAAAGGCACAGAATTGTGGCAAGTGCTTGAGTCATTCTCAATCTGGAGCCATGTTTCCGAGTTTCTTAAACAGAAGCAGAGTTGCTAATTGAAGAGCGAAGTTGAGAATTTTCCACAACTTTGCGCCAAATTAATGTTTGAGACCAAATGGCCAAGAGGCTGAGGGAGTTTGGGGTCTGGTTGGCAATGACCTCAGGAAATGCTGAGCAAGAAGATGTTTCTGAGAAGCTGGGAAACTGGGATCCAGCTCCATCCCCTTCCTCCACCCACTGTGTTTACTGTGAGATGGCCTCAGTAGGAACAGAGCAGTAATGGTGTATCACACTTTGGGATGCTTTACTTATCCCACCATGTACAAGTTCCACCTCATGAATCTACTTTGTGCAACGACTATTTGTAAACACAGGATCTTGAGCCATTGACGAGAGTCTCGGGAGGCTACAGCTGTTTGTACAAATTTGATTTATTCGGCCACTTATCGCCACTCATTGGCATCAGAAATACGAAGGAAATACGTAATTAAATTCCACCTCCCGCGTCTGTTATCGTTTGTTAATTAGATTCAGTTCCTGTAGGGACTTGAGTGTTCGTCATTACTCAACCCAATAACTGAGGCCTCTCCCTCCCCATCTCCCAACACAGCAACTGTTGTTTCTCCCCCACCATCTCCCCATCAACCAACAGACCTTTAAGCATCTTCAGCAAAGCAGTTGGAAGAACAATTCACCAAAGAGCTGTCAGGTCACTGAATAATTTGACACAAATGACCCATGGCCCATTACCACAATAAATGAGATTAGGCTAAGCTTTGAGAGCAGCTAATGTTACAATTTGCTGCATCTCAAAGCATTGCAAAGTGAGATACATTCAATGCAATTGGCTGTTGTGTTTCACCCACAAAATATACAATCAATTCACTTTACAGTATATTCTGTGAAGCGCTTTGAGACATCTCGAAGATGCGATAAGGCGCTGTATCAAATGCAAGGTAAGTGGATTACTGTATTTGTTTGCAAATGTAGTCACTATATACAGCAGCAATGTCCACCAAAAGCCATGAGGTGACTGGCCAGTTCATCTGGAGGACTGTTAGCCAGGACACAGGCAGAAATTCCCTTCTCTTTAACAACAACGTTGTGGGATCTTTAATCCGTGTCTGTCAGGGACTTAGTTTAGCACCTTATCCAGAGAACAGCACCACCAGCAATGTCAAGTTCTCCAGTGCTGCACTGGCAATCAGAGCCAGCCTATCACGGTGTCCAGCCGTCCATCACACAGCCAGGTGACCATGTGGGATGCTGGGCCCCAGAATCGATATTCAATATGGATGATTAATGCTGTATAGCCCTGGATGAATAAGGATGTTTAAAGGAGAGATACAGACTTGGCTGGTGATCTAAAAATGGAGGAACAGGTTTGATAGGCTGAATGGCCTCTTCCTGTTCCTACTTTACCAACTTTCGGGTACCACGCTTTCATTACATCGAGGCTTGACTATGCAAACTCCCTGCTTGTCGACCTCCCCAACTCTTCCCTCCATAGGCTGCAGATCATCCAGAAATCTGCAGCCCGTGTCCTCTCCCCCACCAGGCTCTGTGACTCCATCACCCCCATCCTCGCCTGATGCCACTGGCTTCCCATCACACAGAGGATGCAGTTCAAGAACCTGGTCCTCACCTTCAAAGCCCTCCATGGTCTTGCTCCCCCTACCTCTGCCACCTCCTAACTCCTTACCATCCTGCTTGCTTCCTCCACTCAGCGGGCTCCAGCCAGCTTCACGTCCCCCACCTCACTCGCCCCACAATCGGCGGGTGGGCCTTCTGCCACTCTGCCCCCACCCTCTGGAACTCCATCCAGCAGTCCCTCTACTCTGTCTGTCCAGCGCCTTGGGACGTCCTTCCGGGTGAAAGGCGCTTTACAAATATGATTTTGTTGTTATTGTATTTCACCAGTATTTCTGCCACAACCTCCAACAGCAGCTCAGCTTCCACACAATATCACAGGGAGACGTGGAGACTTGGCGTGTGACAGAGAGCCTTGTTTACTCAGTGAAATCCACCTTTCAGACCACCCAACTCCAGGCCTTAATTGTTTCAGCTCACAGCCTGAATGTGAGCCTTCCTGCACACAGCGGCTCTGTCTATAGCCCTGAACAGCTCCTGACACAAGCTTCCAATGTCGGCTCTGCATCTCACTGTATAATCCCCACCGCCCGACTCCAGGTAACAGCTGCTGCTTTGTACAAGGCTCAGGCTGGGGTTTCAGCAACATGTCATACACCAGCTCAACAGCAACTGGAAGTTATATAGCACTCTTCACTCGGGGTAGCTCCTGGAGCTGATCCTCATACCAGCATCTCACTCCTTCACTCCCTCCCTCCTTCATCCCTTCACTCCCTACACCCCTCCTCTCCCCCCGGAGTGACTGACGAGCTGTGTGTGAGCGGTGACTCTGACTGTGGGATCTGACTGCAGCCAAACAGCGGGTTACACAGCCTCCATCACTGACCTACACCTGGTACCAACGAACCTGCGCTCCTCTGTCCTCCTCTCCTCACAGCCCTTCCCTGTCACCATGTGGTTCCCAGAGGGTTCACGCATGGTGATCAGCCCAGTGAGGGAGGGAGGGAGGGAGGGAATATGGTAGAGGGAGGGCGGGGAGAGAGGGGGGGAGGGTATCGTAGAAGGAGGAAGTGGAGAGGGAGGGAGTGAGGGAGGATTATTGTGGAGGAAGGGAAGAGTGAGGACAGTGAGTGAGGGATGGAGGGAGGGAACAGGGTGAAGGTATGAGGGAGGGAGGGAGGGAGGGAGGGAAATGTGTCTTTTCTCAGTTACTGAACTTTTTACAGACCTGGGAGAGGAGATGTCAAACTGCCCCGACAGCAATAGCCCGACATCAAACACCGATCGCGGGGGACGCGACTCGCTTCAGCGATTGCCCTCACCTGTCTCTCTCTCTCTCTCTGTCACACTCTCTGTCACTCTCTCTGTCACTCTCTCTCTGTCTCTCACTCTCTCTCTCTGTCTCTCACTCACCCAGTCAGTCACTCGGGATGGTGGTGTGAAGTGATGTTGGTTGTTAGAGTTGCGTCTCTCACTGGGGACCCTCATCCACATCACATCTCCCCGCCCTGCGCTACTCTCAGCCGCTAACCCCCCGCACACCGCACCAGCCGCTAACCCCCCCGCACACCGCACCAGCCGCTAACCCCCCGCACACCACACCAGCCGCTAACCCCCCGCACACCGCACCAGCCGCTAACCCCCCGCACACCGCACCAGCCGCTAACCCCCCGCACACCACACCAGCCGCTAACCCCCCGCACACCGCACCAGCCGCTAACCCCCCCGCACACCACACCAGCCGCTAACCCCCCGCACACCGCACCAGCCGCTAACCCCCCCGCACACCGCAGCAGCCGCTAACCCCCCCGCACACCGCACCAGCCGCTAACCCCCCCGCACACCTCACCAGCCGCTAACCCCCCCGCACACCGCACCAGCCGCTAACCCCCCCGCACACCGCACCAGCCGCTAACCCCCCGCACACCGCAGCAGCCGCTAACCCCCCCGCACACCGCACCAGCCGCTAACCCCCCCGCACACCAGCTTTCCAACCCACCTGAGGTTTCGATGTTCGGCTCTGACACAGAGAATAGCGCACAATCCCCACATACAAACCTCTGCGAATCTCCATCCCTCACACTGAGTGTGAACTCATCAAACCAACTACAGTAAACAACTTGATATTTTTATTAATAATTATTACTGTTATTGACCTGGGGACAGACGGGGGTGGGGGGGGGGGGGGGGGATTAGCGCTGTTTCCTACCTGATTTACACACAGCGCCAAACAACTTGACAACTTGACATGACTGTTATTATTAATAATTATTATTACTGTTATTGACTTGGGGAAAGGCGGAGGTTGAGCGCGGGTTCCCACCTGATTTGTACACAGCTCCGACCCACACGCAGAGAGAGAAGGTAAACGCTGTCTTCATGTCTGAAGATCCTCTGCTGGTGGCGAGGAGTCAATGGCAATCCTCCGCTCAAAAAGGATAACAACAATAATAATAATAATAAACCCGGGTTTGCTGTAACCCGCTTCACAGCCCAGGTGTGTGGATGGAATGGACAGCCCGCCCTGCCCTGCCCTGCCCTGCCCTGCTCTGCGCTCCTGCGCTGCTCTGCCCTGCGCTGCCCTGCCCTGCCCTGCGCTCCTGCGCTGCCCTGCCCTGCGCTGCCCTGCCCTGCGCTGCCCTGCCCTGCGCTGCCTGCCCTGCTCTGCTCTGCTCTGCTCTGCCCTGCCCTGCGCTGCCCTGCCCTGCCCTGCGCTGCTCTGCCCTGCGCTGCCCTGCCCTGCGCTCCTGCGCTGCTCTGCCCTGCGCTGCCCTGCCCTGCGCTGCCCTGCTCTGCCCTGCGCTGCCCTGCCCTGCTCTGCTCTGCTCTGCCCTGCCCTGCCCTGCGCTCCTGCGCTGCTCTGCCCTGCGCTGCCCTGCCCTGCGCTCCTGCGCTGCCTGCCTGCTCTGCTCTGCTTGCCCTGCCGCTCCTGCCCTGCTCTGCTCTGCTCTGCGTTGCCCTGCGCTCCTGCGCTGCCCTGAGATGCCCTGCCCTGCGCCCCTGCCCTGCGATGCCCTGCCCTGCGCTCCTGCCCTGCGATGCCCTCCCCTGCTCTGTCCTGCCCTGCCCTGCGATGCCCTCCCCTGCTCTGCCCTGCCCTGCCCTGCGATGCCCTCCCCTGCTCTGCCCTGCCCTGCCCTGCGATGCCCGCGGCCACACTGACTGACTGACACCGCGGTTACACTGCCACAAGCCGCGGCCAGAGCCACAAGGACATCCTCCCCGAGAGGAAATGTTTGGAACAATTAGCCTCAACTTATTGGTTTCCTTTTCCTCTCCAGCCCCAAGCCTTCCCGCGGCCCCGGAGCTGTGAGACTGCAGGAAAAGGCTTTCCTCTTTCTCTCCTCTCTCCCCCTCTCCTTCTTTCCTCTCTCCCTCTGTCTCCCCCTCTCCCCCGGTCGGCGTGGGCAGCCCGTGTCCCTCTGCCTGACACACAGTTAGTTACTGGCTAACTGACCACACTGCACCTGGTCAGGGTGAGGGACAAGTCACCAGACAGCCCAGGCCACTGCTCCATCCCCATCAGCCCCGGACAGAACACCCCCATAAACCACACTGTCTGTGACTCTCACCCCAACACACAGTGATCACTTCACTGACCCACTGAGAAAGTGAGTGTGACTATCGGTGTGGGACCTGGGAGTGTGGAAATGAGGCTGTGAGTTGTGAGGGGTTCAGTGTTGACTACACCGGTGTTTGAGTGAATCGGTCCAATTAATGCTGCCCTGAGCCTGTCAACCCCACCCCAGAGCAGCACCGGGTTAGGGCAGCCCGGGGGGGGGGAGATGGAACTGGAGTCATGGCTCTCTGCATGGGATGAGGGGGCTCTTCCCCACCTGGGGGCTGAGGGTCTCAGGCAGTGACTGTCCCACATCCCTATCACTTGTGCTCACTACAGGAAGCTGCCCTTTGATGGGCACAGACCAGACCACACACAGTGTGAGTGTGACATCTCAGAGGATATCCTACAGCGATTGTCCTGGGGATTAGTCAGTGCTGCCTCACTGGGGGGCAGACACACAGATACACACACACACACACACAGATAGACAGGCACCCACAGAGACAGACACACACACACACAGACAGATAGACAGGCACACACAGAGACAGACACACACACAGATAGACAAGCACCCACAGAGACAGACACACACACACACACACAGATACACACACACACACACACAGATAGACAGGCACACACAGAGACAGACACACACACACACACACAGACAGATACACACACACACACACACACACAGATAGACAGGCACACACAGAGACAGACACACACACAGATAGACAAGCACCCACAGAGACAGACACACACACACACACAGATACACACGCACACACAGATAGACAGGCACACACAGAGACAGACACACACACACAAACACACAGATACACACACACACACAGATAGACAGGCACACACAGAGACAGACAGTCACACACATAGTCTGCTGCAAACTGTGGGCCATCCTCAGCCCTCTGCCCAGAGCAAAATTGCATGTTTCTAGTAAAACAGTCACTACACTTGATATTAAAGATCCTGAACATTCTTTGAGATATTGCACGGTGATAAAAAGAATTAAAATACAAGCTCTCTCTTTCTTCGACTGTAGGGTTACCTGGGTATGGGGGGGTGGGGGAGAGAGAGAGTGGGTGAGAGAGAGTGGGGGGGGGGGGGGGGGGAACTGTCTGACTGAGGATTTTGGTCAAGGCTGGGGGATGTGTAACTGAACCTCCAATCTCTCTTCATTATGGGGATAAATATGTTAAATGTATGTTACTTATCTCCTAAGCAAACAATAACAAAATTACAGTGCCTTTCATGTCGGAAGGATGTCCCAAGGCGATGGAACACCGCCCCCCCCACCCCCACCCCCACACACGTACACAGCTTCACCTGAAAACCCTTTCCCCCCCCAAAAATAATCTTCTGGTGACCTCGCGGCAATGAAAACCCGCTTTAAAATATTTGTTTGTTTCGGGGTATTTTTATTCTCCATCGTGAATCTTTTGACGCCTTTACTGTCCTTGCGGCTCTGAGCGAGTGCCCGGGTCAATCTTCTGTTTCCTCACCTCCTGACCTCGACGTGAAACATAGCAACAGCCAAGCCTGTGCCTGTGGCTCCCGGGGGAGCTCCCAACCCCTTCTGCTGAGAGAAGCTTCTACATAACATTTACTCAATCACTGCAAAAAAAAACAGTCAAATGTGTCTGAAGTCTTTATTTGTTTCATTGTCTCCCCTGCCCCCCCGTCCCCCACACCCCCCAGTTACCTGTGAACAGGAAGGAAACGTCCGCAAGCATTGCTCAGTGATAAACGCCAAGGACACAGCCCCAGCCTCAGCCAAGCTGCTAACTGTCTGACATCCTGTCCACTCGGGGCTTTGTCAAACAGCAGAAATCTATAATAATAATAATAATCATCATCATCTTCCTTCTATTTGGTATAGAGCTGTCTCACATCCAGAGCAGAAAGTGTTGATTCTTTCTAGATCAAATTAGATAATAATAGTACTTGCATTTGATATAGCGCCTTATCACGTCTTCGAGACGTCTCAAAGTGCTTCACAGAATATACTGTAAAGTGAATTAACTATATTTTGTGGGCGAAATGAGGCAGCCAATTGCCCACAAACAGTCGTGCATTGAGTGGCTAAATTATTAATTATGATTTTTTTTAAGGAATTGTTACCCCCAGAAGAGCGATCCGCCAATCGACTAACAACCAGGTTCCTACTTATGCTAGATCAACAGAGGCATGTGTGTGTGTGTGTGTAGTAAGAAAATTTGCCAAATGTTTTGCTCTGCCGGGAATCAAACACAGGTCTCTCACCCGCAAGGCGAGTGCTCTAACCACTGAGCCATGGAACTCCACAAGATAGATTTCTGTTAGGAAATAAGAGATTGCCAGGATGGTGGAAGGTGAACAAGATGGACTTTGGTTTCTTTCATCAAGCAATTCTTATATTCTTATGCTCTATGTCTCAAAGTGCTTCACAGGATATACTGTAAAGTGGAGTGACTGTGTGGTTTTACCTACTGGTAATTACAGGAGAATGGCTGAGCTGTGAAAAACTCAAGGGAATGAATAAACTGCAAATCACAATCCTCCTGATCCAACAGTGTGAATTACAGAGAGGCATCTTCCCTCTGCCTCTTTAATTTACACTGTTCCCAGTCACAGGCCCCTTGGTTGTAATTCACCCTGTTCCTAGTCATGGTTCTGACATTAATTCACACTGTTCCCAGTCACAGGCCCCTCTGCCAGTAATTCACACTGGGTGTACAGCAGCCTCAGGGATGAACTTTCTCACTCTGGGAAAGGCTCAGATCTGACGTAAGTAGGAGTTAAAGTAAATCTAAAACACGTTTTAAATGTTTTATCTAGTTTAATGAAAGTTGTCCGCAGAGTTTCAATGTAAATCTTCTTATAAAGTGTGCACGTTTTACAATGAGAATGGTTTCTCAGATAGCAAGTGAAGAATTAAATGACAGTAAATTAGTATTAAAGACTAAACGACTACAGTGAAGATCTGAGCCACTCAGACTCAAACTTTCAGGATTAAACATTTAGTTGGAGCCTGGCGCCGCCTGCTGGCTTCACATTGGTATTGCAACCATCACAAGCAGAGGGCAACCTGGAGCCGATCATACAATAATAATAATCCTTGCATTTGGGACAGAGCCTTATCACGTCTTCGAGAAGCGATTTGACTGTATATTTGTGGGAAAAGCACGGCAGCCAATTGCGCACAGCAGTATTCCACAAACGGTCGTGGATTGAGTGACCGAATAATTTTTTTTGGAGGAATTATTACCCCGGGAAAAGCGACCCAATCAACAGCAAACGGTCAGGGCCCAGGGTTGGGTGCGGGGTCAGGGACAGGGTTAGGGTGGTGTTATGTTAGGGGTGGGTTAGGGGCGTGGTTGGGGCCAGGGTAGGGCAGGGCTATGTTAGGGGTTCAGTTGGGGGCAGGGTCACGGGCGGGGGGCACAGGTAGAGCGCCTCAGTGTTCGTGCCGTCCCCAAAGCAGGTGCTGAAGAAGGGGAAGATGCGCTCGGTGAGCGGCTGGCGGAAGGTCAGGAGATGGGACATGTCGTCTGCGTTGTAGAAGGAGATTTGGCCGTCCTCGAGGGCCAGATACACCCCAATCCTCTGGGGCCGTGTCTCCACTGGGAGTCGTTTCCATGGCGACGTCCCGGCCCAGTACTCATTGCCATTGCGGAGCCTGAGGGTCCAGTAACCACTCTGTGGGCACAGCTTGACCATGGCCTGACGGTCGATGGATTCTCGCGCCACCCCCAGGTCCCACTTGGTCTTCTTGCCCACGCTGACCTCCCAGTAATGTCTGCCTGAAGTGAAGCCTTGGGAGCCCAGCACATTGACACACTGAGAGAACCTGGCGGGGCTGAGCCCCACACACTGCTGCTCCTCACTCTCCCTCACACATCGCTGGTCTTCCGACACCACCAGGTTAGGGTGCGCCGTGTTCGTGTCAAATGTCAGCCCAGCTGGAGCTGCACAAACAAGTGTCAGAGCTCGAGAGAGAGAACTCTCCTCCCTCCCCCACTCCAACTTCCAATTACACCCCCCTTTCCCCTTTCCCACACACCCTCACGCCCTCCATCGGAGTGAAGGGCTGGAGTGGTAGTGGCCCGGGTTGGGGGCCGGGCAGTGGGTTGGGGGCCGGGCAGTGGGTTGGGGGCCGGGCAGTGGGTTGGGGGCCGGGCAGTGGGTTGGGGGCCGGGCAGTGGGTTGGGCTGTGGTTGACGTTACCTGGGTCCAGGGAGTGGAACATTCTCTTCCAGATGATGTACTGCAGGGGGCCAGTGTAGCGGGCGCTCCTCAGGTCAACACTGACCACCGGCTCCGTGTCCACCTGCACCCTATCACACACATACAGTCAGCACACGCCGGTGACACGCACACCGTCAGCACACGACAGTGAACCAGCAGTTAATCGGGTGACTGTGGGACCGGAAGCCCTGTTTCCCCAACACCGGGATTACTAACGTCAGTCTGAGCTGCGTACAGACACGGCCTCATCTGAGGGACGGCGTCTCTGACAATGCGGCTTCTGCCTCCGCTCCCCCCCCGTTGCGCCGTGACCTTCGGGTCCCTAACACTCGGATAAACCAGGAAACTCGGACGAGAAGACGATGCGAGTGGTTAAACCTCAACAAAATGTGTTAAATCTGAAGCTGAATATCGGCACTTACCTCTGACACAGCCCCCGCGTCTGCAAATAAACAAACATCAGCGTCAGGACCATAGCCCCCCCACCCCGTCCCATTCCCCCACCTCCCACCCTGACCCACGCCCACACCCCCCTCCCCCACATTGGCACATGTGTGGGCGGGGAAGACGACAGGTTAGTGACCCGCGCTGGCATTGTGAGTGTGTGAATGTGTGTGTGGGGGGAGAGTGTGTGTATAGGGCGGAGAGTGTGTGTATGGGGTTGGGGGGGGGAAGTCTGTATGTGGGGTGAGAATGTGTGTGGGTGGGGGGGGAGGGGAGTGTGTGGGAGGGGGGTGGGGGACAGATTAGTGACGTGCACTGGTGGCGCTGGCACCTCCACCATTACGGATCTGCGGAGCTGCTGGAGGCTGGTCTCGGTGTCGGCCACGACCCTCTCGAGTTCTCCCCGTGCGGCGTTCAGCCCCCGCAGCCTCCGCCGCAGCCTCTCCTCCACCGTAGCCGTGTCGTGGTGCAGCTGCTGTAACAGGCGCTGCTCGTCTCCCCGCAGCCACTCGTGCAATTTCTCATAGTCACTGCTCACTCGCCGCTGCAGCTCCGCAGACTCGCTCTGCAAACACAGCTCACGTCAACATAATAATCCTGGCATTTCGTACAGAGCCTTATCCCGTCAGTGAGACGTCTCAAAGAGCTTCACAGGATACACTGTAAAGTGTAGTGACTGTATTTTGTGGGTGAAACACGGCAGCCAATTGCGCACAGCAGTGTCCCCCACAAACAGCCGTGGATTGAGTGACTAATTATATTTTATTTATTTTGAAGGGATTATTATCACTGGAAAGTGATCCCCCAATCAACTAACAAGTGGGTTCCTACTTACCGCTGGTAAATAGAGGCGTGCGTATGGAGTAAGGAAACTTGCCTAAGGTTTCGTCCTGCCCGGGAATCGAACCCGGGTCCCCTCGCTTGCGAGGCGAGCGCTCTCATCACTGAGCTACAGGACGGCAGACCAGAATATCCCCTGCCCCCACACACACCCAGTGCTGTAACACATGCATGTGGCTGCTCGCAATAGAGATTTGTTCTGTTTTACTGGCAGCAAATAGACGCGGTGCTGAGCAGCCGGTGTGTGTGTGTGTCTTACCTTCACTCTCACAATCTTATCTTCATCACATTTCATCATCGCCAGGATCTCCTCCAGCTGATTCCTATGTGATCTCAGGGCGTCACTGAGCTCCTCCTGACAACAGAGTGACAATTACTGTGGCCGCCTCACCCCACCTCACTATTAAACATTAACCTGGCCTCACAGTGAGCCCACGGAAACAGTCCCACGGCCCAGCCCGGCCACGCTGGCCATTACCCCCCACCCCGAGCCTCCAGGTCTAATTCCCCAACCCACTCCCCACATTAATATTTCCAAATATATCTCATTCACTTTGAAACATATCAGAATCTTTTACATGTGAGGAGAGGATCCCAATGTTCGAGATCATTTCCTGGTTCACACTAAACAAAGTGACGAGTCTCTCATTACGAGTCATTGCAAAGTCATCAAAAATGAGAACAGGACAGTCCTTCGTGGGGGGAACACTAACTCTGTAGTGACTATTTATTTTGTGGGCGAAACACGGTAGTCAATTGCACACAGCAGTGTCCCACAAACAGCCGTGGATTCAAGTGACCAAATTATTAGTAAAACTTTTTTTGGAGGATTTATTACCCCCAGAAAAGCAAACCACCAATCAACTAACAAGCAGATTCCTACTTACTGCTGATAAACAGAGGCGTGTGTGTGGAGTGAGGAAACTTGCCTAAGGTTTCGCCCCGGCCAGGAATCGAACCTGGGGTATATGTAGGGCCTTATCAAAGCACTTCACAGGATATACTGTAAAGTGGAGTGACTGTGTGTTTTTGTCAGCTTTTACAGAAGGAATCCGATTGGATCCGGAGTGTGACTGAAGCTGACGGTGTGAATTCAGGGTGTACTCCTCCCCTCCGCCCCCGCTCTCACCTGCACCTTGTGACGGAGCTCCTGATTGCCGGCCCCCCGGACCCTGGCAACCACCCCAGACACCAGGTGGTTGTTGCGGAGGCTGGTGCGTGTGAAGCGGTGACGACACTGAGGGCAGCAGGCGGAGGCCGGGTCCCGGTGCCACAGGGCGAGGATACACGGCCGACAGTAATGGTGTAAGCACTCGAGCATCACCGGCTCCCGTAACAGCTCACAGCAGATACAGCAGGTCAGCTCCTCCTGCAACCCACTCCCACCACCGGCACCTGCCCCCTGCAACAACTCACCCACACCCTCACCAGCACACGCCGACTCCACCATTTCCCCCCCCACCCCCGATACATTCACAGTCACAGACGCTTCTCAAACTTTTAGGAAAGTTTTACAAACTTTTCACCAACTTTTAAAATATCTTTGAAAGCTTTCTCTGGCTGTGTCGCAGCACAATAAGATCCCTCCTCTCTCTCTCTGTCTCTCCCCTTCAGAAACTTCCTCCTTCAGTAAATTCCACCCCCTCTCTCCCTCACACACTCCAATAGGAAGGAGTGTATTCCTCCCCCACGCCCAGAGGCTGAACATTTACACTGAGACCAAACAGCTTCTAGCAAACATGCCAACTCAGCAAAGTTTGAGCGGTAAACAGAAGGCAAAATACTGCAGATACTGAAAATCTGAAATAAAAACTGAACACACAGCAGGTCAGGCAGTGGCTACGGAGAGAGAAAGTGGGTTGACCTTTCGTTAGAATTCATTGGACTTTGTGTGGTAACTCATTCACCTGCTAATTGAACTGAAACCTGCAAGAGAATGAACTTAACCCCCCACCCCACACACACAGCACAGCTGTACCTGCAGGAGAGGAGGGAGGAAACAGAAGCAGGAAGCAAAAGAAACCCAAATGTTCTGCCTTTTATAGACTGAACCTGGTACAGGTGGTAACAACAACAAGAAATGGCATTTACTCATAGCCTTTCACATCGGGAGGACGTTCCAAGGCACTGGACAAGTTGGAGATTTGGACCCGAGCTGGGGGTTGGGATGTGGAGGGTGGCCAAAGGTGTGGTCAAAGAGGTGCTAAAGGTCTTTAGGTGGTCATTGAAGGAGGTGAGGAAGGGGTCAAGGTGAAGGGACTGTGGGATGCAGTTGTGTGTGTGTGTGTGGCAGGTGGTGGGTTTGCAGATGGTGGTGTGTGGGGATGGGGGGGGGAGTGTTGTGTGTGAGGGGAGCAGCTGTGTGTGTGTATGAGGTAAAACTGTGGTAACCCACAGGAAGGGATGAGGATCAGACACAGCTGGAGGCTTTGGGGAAGTGCTCCGGTGTGGAGTGCTCACATTCTGCTTGCTCAGTCAGTGTGATAGTCGCTGCCAGTTACATTGGGCAACATCCTGCATCTATACATCATCCCTCACGTCAAACAACGTCTCAAAATGCTGCTCAAACTGTGCTGGTCACTGAGCAGGGAAATGAGAGATGAAAAAGTTTGACCAAAGGTAAAGCTAGAGAGACGGCATAAGGTTGGTTTAGGTGAAGAAGCCCATTGAATCTCATCCTTGCAGAACACCCACCCTGCAGTGTTTGTCGCAGGTTTGTGTGAGTCCAGTGTGCAAGTGTGTATGTGCCCAGGAGTTCAAGTGTTTGAAGGTGCAAGAGTGTCTGTGTGCACATGAGTGTTTGAGAGAGCGTGTGTGTGCATGCGAGCTTGTATGTATATGTGTGTGAGAGAGCATTCTGTCGACTCTGAGCATTTGGAATATTTCCAACAAGAACATTTTTTTAAAAAAAGTCAGGAGGAGAAAACAGGAAGGAAACAGTGAAGAACAAGAGAATGGAGGAAGAGCAAGCAAGGGAGGGAATGAGATTATAGACAGACAAATGTGAAACCAGTTCAACACGGTTTCCAGGAAGGGAGTGTGCAGGCAAGACGACCAGGACACAGACTGCTTAATGTCCCTCTAGTTCTCTCTGGTCTCAATCAAACACCTCAAACACACCCAGGACGGGCTTCAAACAATAATCTGCCGACGAGCAGGACATGTTAGTTATGCTTTATTGCAATAAACACACGGTTACAGCTTGAGAGTGAATTCACTTACAATCTGTACAGTTATAAGGAGTGAGGGTGACACTGGTATAAAGTGAGAGCACAGAGCAGAGGCTGAGACTCTGTCTGAGATAGCTGCCGAGCAAGTCACACACAAACTGCTCTCTCCACTTCACAAAGAGCTGTTCAGGTGCAGGTACAGGAATGGAAGACATTAATGCCCTTTTTATCCATTAAATGAACAATCTTTTACCGTTATCACAGCAAAGCCGGGACATTCAACAATCTGCAGTAATAATGTGGCAAATGTTTAGTAATGATCAGTAATATTGTGCAATAATATTTAACAATAGCTGTAGAAGCCTCAATTAAAAAGGGAAATGGACAAATACAAGCTAGACAGAGGGATGATTCATTCATTCACAAAACTAGTTGGAGTTTACTGTATTACTAAGTTATCAGGTTCAAGCGCTCTGACACACATTACTGCTCGTCGGCAGATTATTGCATGGAGGGAGCGTTATATAAATGCAAGTTGCTGTTGCTACTGTGTGGCTAGGTTAGTGTGTGGCTAGGTTAGTGTGTGGCTAGGTTAGTGTGTGGCTAGGTTAGTATGTGGCTAGGTGAGTGTGTGGCTAGGTTAGTGTGTGGCTAGGTTAGTGTGTGGCTAGGTTAGTATGTGGCTAGGTGAGTGTGTGGCTAGGTTAGTGTGTCGCTAGGTTACACGGCTACAGCCTTACATGAAGGTGACAAACTGCAATGAAATATCTTAGTAAAAACTGAGGACCCGCTGAGCTCAGATGAAGGTAACAGAGGCTGGTGTGAGGGGAGCTCAGGGTCCTGACAGGCTGCCATGAACAGACCGTGTTACAGCTGCGACTCGGGGGGGAGCGAGCGAGGCCGACTGTGAGGAACGAGGAGGTTTCCGTGTCCCGAGCCTGCGGCTTGGCTGGCTGACGGGTTGTCTCGGCGCACGGTTGCTCAGCTCCAGGCTGTGTGTGTGTCCCCCTCACCAGGCTCCGCAGGCTGGAGACAGGCCGGCCGGCCGGGGAGCTCATCCCTCAGTGGCTGGGTACTGTCGTCCTGGGGTCACAAAGAGAAACTGTGTCACTGTTGGCAGCACAGCCCAGCCACACACAGGCCACACGCAGCACAGCCCGGCCACACACAGCACAGCATAGTCCACCCACATGGCAGCCACCCGCCACACTGGCCGCTGGGTCACATACCTGCTCCACGGTCCAGTCCAGCTGCTTGTTTATCATTTGCCGGATCTGCTGGAAAGTGGGACGTTTGTGGGGGTCCAGGTGCCAGCACTGGCTCATCACATCGTACCTGCAAGACACGCACCATCTGGTCATTACTTTACACTCCCTCATAGCCTTTCCCCACTCCTCCCCGACCGCTCAGCGCCTCGCACTGACTGTGCAGCGCTTTGGGACGTTCTCCCGACGCGAAAGGTTGTTGGCTTTGTGGAGTGCTCGAGGGGGTAGTGTCTCCCCCTGGGGTTACCAACGGGAGGCCATCCGCCCCAGCGAGCCTGCTCATGGCCTTGCTCCCCAGCCCACCTCCCATTAACCATTGCCATAGATCCTGCCCTCTCACCGCCCTCTGTGTGACAATGCAGGTTATAGTCAGTGACCAGAGGTAGGACCTGTTATGTAATCTTACATTTCGGGAGTCCCCAGCACAGGACGGCTCATCTGGTAACCGGATCTGATCAGCTTGTAAAACCTGCTGTCCACGGGCAGGTCAGGGTAAGGGCTGGAGCCTGTACAGACACAATCATTTACACATCAGAGCTCGCAGCGGGCAGGTGAGGGTCAATGTTAGTGTGGCCCAGGCTGACGGGGGTCACTGTCTGGCATTAGGAACGGGTTAGAAGTCACTTTCCACTGACGATAGGGACCAGTGAGCTGACTGATAGGCCGGTCAATAGGTTTATTGAACAAACCAGCACCCAGCATCGGGGAATAGTAACCTCAGGAACCTCAGTGACGGGCCAATCCCAGCCCATCCGAGTCCTTAAACATTGAATGTACCAACCCTGACACCCGGTTCTCACCCAGCGAGAAGATCTCCCACAGGAGGATCCCATATGACCACACGTCGCTCTGCACTGTGTAGACACAGTCAAAGATACTCTCCGGGGCCATCCACTTCACAGGGAGCCTGGCCTGTAACACACACACACATATGTATACACGACACACACATACACAGCAGACATTAGAACACAGGGTTTACACATGAGCTCCATTGACAGTCAGTGAGCTCCAGCCCTGAATAAAAGGGTGACATTAGGGAGGTAAGACAAGAGTGGAGAGGATCCTGGAAGACTTACATTGCCTTTAACAACGTAGTTGGAATCGTTCATGATGTCCCTGGCCAGCCCAAAGTCACAGATCTTAGCCACTCGGCCGTGTGTCAGCAGCACGTTCCTGGCAGCGACGTCCCGGTGAATACACTGTCACCAACACACACTAGTCACATACCGTCCACACACACACACACCAGTCACCCACACTGCCACCAACACACACTAGTCACACGCCGTCCATATACACACACTAGTCACACACACTGCCACCAACACACACTGTGCAGGCTGCCTACATACACACACAGCATCGAGACGCTTACACACCCTCTGGTCAGACACCCGGTTAGGATGCTGCTCTGGTGTTGTGATGAGCTTACATTTCTGGACGAGAGGAAGTCCATGCCGTGAGCCACCTGATGGGAGATGTTGAGAAGCTGCTCCATGTCCAAGGCCAGGGTCTCCTCAGCCTCCAGAACATCGTCTGCATCGAGGACAACAAAGTTAAAACCAGGTCACAAGATCTGAGGCCACGAGGAGAAGGGAGAACAACAACAACAAGAGTTTATATCGTGCCCCTCACACAGGACAGTGAGGCGGAATGCTGACAGGACATGAGAGGGTTAGAGATAGGGATAGAGGTGTTCGTGTGGAGATGTGTAGTGACTGTGTGACTTTATTCGTTGCTCAATTTACCGTCTGTTATCTTGCAATCGATTTCAGGTATCAGGGGGCAGTTGCTGGACACACTGGGTCTCATGGGCAGATAACCATCATAGCTTTTCCCCCGCTCCACCCTGCGGAGAGAGGAACTGTTCTGTAAGACAGCACAGGCGGGTGGGGGGGAGCAGCACGGGGGTTGGGGGGTGGGGGGAGAGCAGCACTGGGGTTGGGGGGGTGGGGGGAGAGCAGCACGGGGGGTGAGAGCAACACGGGGGGTGAGAGCAGCACAGGGGGTGGTGGGAGGAGAGCAGCACAGGGGGTGGTGGGAGGAGAGCAGCACAGGGGGTGAGAGCAGCACGGGGGTTGGGGAGGTGGGGGGAGAGCAGCACGGGGGGTGGTGGGGGGAGAGCAGCACAGGGAATGGGGGGGGAGAGCAGCATGGGGGGTGGTGGGGGGAGAGCAGCACAGGGGGTGGGGGGGGGGGGAGAGCAGCACGGGGGGAGCGATGTGGGGGTATCTGGCTTACCTCTCTGGCGGCCACATACACAGGTTCCTGTAGTCACTGCATTGAGAGCTACTCGTCAGGTACTCCGCTCGGTGTTTCAGGTAGTTCAGCAGGTCTCCATAGCAACAGTACTCCGTGATGACAAGCACAGGACCTGGGGGACATCCCATAATAACACTACATGTACAGCTCACACACTGACACACACAGACACTGACACACACAGACACAATCTGGAAAAATATTGGATAAGCTTCGTCCTGGAGCTCACTCCAGTCACGAGTGTGGGTCTGGCTCTGACAGTGACACCCAGAGTGATGCCCCAGCGAGGTGCTGGGGAGCACAGCAACGGCGGAGGTGCCGTCCTTCAAAAGAGATGTTAAACCAAACTCCTGTCTGCCTGTTCAGGTGGATGTTAAAGGATTTCTACACAAGTGCATGTGTGTGTAGTGACTGTGCGAGCGGCACATGTAGCGACTGTGCGAGCGGCACGTGTAGTGACTGTGCGAGCGGCACACTTACCTCCCTGTGTGCAGGCTCCGAGCAGGTTGACCACGTTGTTGTGCTGGCCCAGGTGGCTGAGGATCTTCAACTCAGACATCAGCGCCTCCTTCTCAGTGGAATGAGCTCGCGCTACAACAAGGACAGAGTCAGTGTCAGAACCGCCTCAGTATCTCGTGCATTGTTACACTGAGACTGACAGCAAACCACAGTCAGGCCTCTGTGGCTGTCTCTGGTCCAGTTCCTGAGCCAGGCGGATCCACATACTCCAGGGCTGACAGCACTGCCCAGCCTGGCTCATCTCCTAGGCAGGACTTGGAATGAGCAGACCAGTCACTGGGGCAGGGAGTCATCCCATTAGGATTAGGTAAGCAGGGTGTGTCCCTCTGGGGAGAGAGCGCACACTCCATTCGAGTCACGGGGCCTAAGGTTCCAATGTGCAGGTGCTGTAGATAATGTGGAACTCTGTTTGGTTTAGAGACTCTTTCCACATGTATCCGACACCCGGCTGACCAAACACCCAACAGCTGAGGATTCAAGACAATGGCTAAAGGGCTGGGGAAACCGGGGAGACTGGGAACAGGAGATGGTAATAACTTTCATGCTTACGTTTCAGCATCTTCACAGCCACCTTGGTTCCCGTCTCCTCCTCGCCCAGCCCATAGGCTGTGGCTTCCATCACCTTCCCAAATGCCCCCGCTCCCAGGATTTTACCTGCACAGAGAAAGCAAAGCAAAGAGGCTGTCAGTCCGTGCCATGTCCGAGTTGAGACAGGCTGGGATAGTGGTTCACCGTTCAGTATCAGTATCTGAGGAGCGAACGCTGTAAATGGAGCAAACCCAGGAGCGGGTCAGCTCTGCTCACAACAGGGTCTTTTACTCCATTTCACCTCTATTCTTCACGGTCTCCCTCTATCCCTCTACCTCAATGCTTGAGGAGCATTGTGTAAATGCAAGTTGTTGTTGTTGGATCGCAGAGCGAGGCACGGCTCAAATAAGTAGTGATCTCACTCTCGCCCATCCAGCTGCTCCAAGCCCGCAGCATCCCCACCACCGTTCCCAAATACCAACATCAAACGGAAAGTCCCTGTGATAAATCCTCGAATGTTACAGTACAGAAATGGCCCATTTTGGCCAATCAAACTGTTAGTAACTATGAACTTCCTCATCTAACCTCATCAACCGCTCCCAAAGCCCCCCACCCACACACACACGCTAATCTTCCCTTCCTCAAGCAACTATCTAATTCCCTATCAATTGGGAGGCCTCACTCTGAAGCAGAGTTAGTGACAGACGATTGATTCCCCACTGACAGATGACTGACAGTTACCGAAGCACAGGTTCTCCCGGGGGAATTCCCACTTCTCGCTGTACGGCAGGTGACTGGGATCCAGGAATATGTAGTCATTCCCATTCACAGCCTCAATAATTTTCCAGCGGATCTCGTACTTGGGTTTCTGCAATCACATGGGATTTGAGCAACAACAACAAATGATATTTACAAAGTGCCTTTCACGTCGGGAGGATGTCCCAAGGCGCTGAACAGTTAAGGGTTTGCACCCGAGCTGGGGGTTGGGATCAAGACGGGTGGAGAGTGGGGTGGGAGGGTGGCCGAAGGTGCAGGCATAGAGGAATGTCTTGAGATGGGCCTTGAGGGAAGCAAGGGAGGGGTCGAGGCTGTGGGATGGAGAGGCTGATGGTGGGGCAGACATGGCCGGGAACATGGAGCAGGCCAGTGGCCGTCGAGCGGAGGGAGCGGACAGGTTGGTACCGTGTTCAAGTGAGCAAATAAAATCGTGTGCATACGCGCGCGAGTGAACGGCTCAGGGCGGGAGAGGACAAGGCAGGGCTTAGTGGGGGTGGGGGTGAAGGTGTGACCTCTGACCTGCTTGTATTTGTACAGTAAGATGGCGAGGAGCAGTGTCAGGGTCATCGCCACAGCGACCGCACTCGCCAGGAATGGGGTGATCGGCTGGTCTGTGGGAGGCAACCCAGAGACAGCAACTTAATAATAATAATATTAATAATAATATTAATAATAATAATTTGTTACAGCGCATTATCACATCATCGCGATGTCTCAAAGCGCTTCACAGGATGCACTGTAAAGTGAATTGACTATATTTTGTTGGCGAAACACGGCAGCCAATTGAGCATAGCGACATCCTACAAACAGTGGTGGATTGAGTGACCAAATTTTTTTTTTTTTGATTTTGAAGGGATTATTATCCCCGGAAAGCGATCCGCCAATCGACAAACAACCAGGTTCCTACTTGCGGCTAGGTAACCCGTGGCATGTGTGTGGAGTAAGGAAACTTGCCCAACGTTGCATTGCACAGGTATCGAACCCAGGTCCTCTCGCTTGTGAGGCGAGCGCTCTAACCACTAAGTTACAGGAATCCACAATTCCTGTTCCCGTACAGGCCTCCCCAAACACGGTTACTGGAACGACGTACTTTTTCTGTTTTCTCTCCCCCGTTTGCGTGTTTCTAGCATGTTCCATTCCTGCGATCAAGTGAACAACTCTCACCATGAGCCGTGATGGAGAAGACTTTGGAATCGGCTCCGGCTTTGTTGGAAGCAAAACATTCCAGGGTGGAGTTGATCCTGATTCCCGCCTTCGACACACTGCTCATAACCTCTGTCACCCCATCTGGAGCCTGGGAAACCAGCCTGCTCTCCACATCAGTCATCAGGTGCAGGGCGGATGCATCCCCGAGCTCTGTGCAACTGGTTACAGGGATCGTCACAGAGATCATCACAGGGAACGTCATGGAATCTCATTGGGAATATCATATGGATAATCACGGGGATAGTCACGGAGAAAGTCACAGGGATAGTCACGGGGAACACCACCACGAATGAATGAAGGATTACCTGTTTGGGAATCCTGGGCACTGGTACCAGTGGATGATGGGAGGCGGGTAGCCCACAGCTCGGCACTCCAGCTCCTCTCCGTGTCTCAGCGTCACGACCGGCTTCTCTGGGACCAAAATAAGAATGAATTCAGGAGGAGGAGGAGGAGCACGCAGACAGAGAGAGAGACTCACCACAGGTACTCACTGTGATAAACACAGGAAAAGGTCCGGGGTGACAATTGCCACGTCATTGTATTAATTTGCACATTGTTGAAAAATGCGACGAGTGAACATCCTAATCTATTGACATCACAGTGAAGCACGACAGACCATTACCACTTTGTGATTTATCCCCATCTCTTTCCTCGCTCCTCAGCCCAATGCTGCCTTGCTCCCTCCCCCCCTCCACCACATTCCCCCATTCCTCCCACATCCCCCCACCACCACATCCCTCCCTCCCCTCGCTCTTGCTCTCCTTCCCCCGTGTTTCTCATTGCAACAAATCACACCAACACAAACTTACGCTTTATCAACACACGGAAGGTCAGAGACCCGTTTGCTTCCGAATTCGATGTGAAACACGTGTAGTTGCCGCTCTCTGTCACCTTCAGACGTACCAGGGGCAGAGAACATACATACCTGAGAAAGCGATTCATAGACAATCAGCAGCGGTTCAGTGTACATGTGTGTATGCACAGATACACGCAACACACATAGACACACACACAGGTACAAACGCACACACAGGTACGTGCATGCACACACACACAAAGTTTCTGTGCACAGATCAGGAGCTTCTGAAGATGCTCAGACAATCAGCCTGTTTTGGAAGCGAGGTTTAGTGACAGGATTACCTGTTCTCTCCCGCTCTGTATAGGAGCTCACTGTGAGAGCCATTCGCTGCATCTTCGTGTACCCAGTGACAGTGGCTCAGCCTGGGATAGGCTTCAATCCCCACTCTCAGCTCCAGGCTCTCCCCAACGTCTACCTCCAGCGTCTGGTTCTGCTCAGTGTCGAGTTGCACAAAGCCTTTCTCTGTAAAGGGGTAACACAACCCTGACTCACCCCATCACAGACTGTCCCCAACCCCCCAAACCGATGCCCCTCTCCTGCAACGCCCAGCCCCCCCACATCATCTAGCCCCTCACACACACATACACTGCCCAACCCCCATCCCACCCCCATTCTGCCCAACTCCCAGCAGGGGGACCTGCCTACCCCAACTATCCCACTTCCACACACACATACGTGTAACAGGGAGGGAGGTGATGCATGGCCTTGCTACATGCGTGTTACATGGATGACAATCTGGTCACGGGGAGTTTATTACCCAGGACTTGGAGAGATATTGTGTCTGATTTGCGCTCCGTGACTCTGAAAGTCTTCCCCATGCCTCTGAAAGTATATCCCGTGCAGGTGAAATTCCCAGAATCGGATAACATCACGGCAGGAATGAGCAGCTGTTGGGTTCTGCGGTATAGCTCTCCCCTCGCGCCGCGAGTATCCACAACAGTGCAGCTCTATGAGAAAACACAACAAAAGCATAACATTAGGTGAGACTATTGAGGCTCTGCCTGAAGAAAGTCTGGTTTATCTCTGAGACACTACCTTGTGTGTGGGACCTGTGCGGGGAGGGGCCGGTGCAGGGAGGGGCCTGTGCAGGGAGGGGCCGGCGCAGGGTGGGGCCGGCGCAGGGAGGGGCCTGGGTGAGGGTTGCTGTTGTTGTTGTTGTGTCTTGGCCGCCTGCGGAAGTGCTGAGACTAATCACTGACTTACGCTGTTTGGGGGACAAACCCACTCTGCAGTTATCTTCAGGCTGTCGGCTGTCGCGGTGCAGTTTGCCTCAAACCGTTCCCCTCTCACCCTCAGTTGCTCCCTCGGGTCCATGTCCACGACCAACTCCAGACCAGGCCCTGCTGGGGGGGTGGGGGATAAACTTTTATTAACAGTATGGAGGGGCAGGGTTGTGGATGGCAGTGGGTGGGGCTGCGGGTGGGGCTGTGGAACGGTGGGATTCTGGACGGGTGTGTGGATGTGGAGGGTTTGGGCGGGGCTCTGGGTGGCAGTGGGTGGGCTGTGGGGTGGAGGGATGGCTTTGGGTGTTAACCCACCCCCTGCCCTGCCCAGGTTGCCAGCTAACCCACCCCCTGCCCTGCCCAGGCTGCCAGCTAACCCACCCCCTGCCCAGGTTGCCAGCTAACTCACCCCCTGCCCTGCCCAGGCTGCCAGCTAACCCACCCCCTGCCCAGGTTGCCAGCTAACTCACCCCCTGTCCTGCCCAGGCTGCCAGCGGGTAGGATGTGACCTAGAGAAACACGCCAACTCTTTCACTTCCCGTTTCCATTCCCACTTCTGCTTCATCTCCACTATGACGTATCCACCCCCGCTCCCCCGTCACAAAACAGTGATTACACGCACACACGCATACTAACACATACACACACACTATGGGGTGGTTGTTTACTTGCTATGGGCAGGTTTTGCTCCTGGTTTCCCAATAAGATCAAACTTACAGTATTCCTGACGACAATTGGAGAGAGCGATATCCCAGGAGTGATTGCGGGCTGTTAGGGCCTCAGCTCTGACACGTGGCTGAGGCTGTGTCAGGATCAGCAATGAGCCCCAACTGCTTCTCCCATTAAATCACCGCCTTTCAGTGTGTTACTGGGATCCAGCGGAGGTGGGGGCCAGGGTACAGAGAGGGGTTTACACAACGTGAGGAACAGAGAGCCTGAGCTGTGATGGAGGGTGTGAGGTGGGGTTGCTGTGGGTCAGTAATTATTAGTGTTATCCCCAGACACCCTCACAGGGACCCCCAGCCTGGTGTGGCCAGGAGTCCCCCAGGTTGGGCAGCCAGGAACACAGTTAGCGTTGTTTGTTAGCGCTGAGCACTCAGTGTGAACGTCAGGGTGTCATTGAGCAGTGAGTGGGACTCTGTAACACATGGAGCTTTTAGTGTAAGGTAACGTAACTCGGCAACGTCCCGGGCGTGCGCAGTCCTGTCACTGTGGCTGCCTCCGGGAGACGTGTTGTCATCACACACACAGCGTCAGACACGTTACACCTTCTGCGTCACCGCGAGCAAACGAGATAATGAGCGGTAGATCTGGAGGAGCGATCGGGAGCAAGTGACCTGACATCCCACTGACTCCCACTTTCCCAGTCCTGTTAGTTCAGTGTCGGCACCGCATCCAGCGGGAATGACACCTGCGACCATGTAGCGCCCCTGGCCCAGGAGCTCAATGTGGCGACATGAGGGGACTCGTCCACCTATTCGTGGCCCGGAGGCAAGGACGTTAGTGACTGAACCACAGCGGTACAGCCAGCCCCTTGTGTCCTCGCTCTGAGACTCACTCGTAGAAACAAGACAACCAGTGCGAGCGACTGCAGCGTAAATGACGTGCAATGTATAAACTGTGACAGGTTCCTACCTGTGGGAGAAGCAAGCGGAAACGTGAGGAGAGCGAGCAGCCACATTATGATTCCCCTGGGTCTCGGGCGCGCTCCCTGAACACAGACCCCTCGGGGCACAGCCACTCCATCCACTGACAATTGGTGAAGTGATTCTACATGTTCAGCAAAATCACAACTTCTGCTTTTTCAATCTCCTCAATCTGTTTTTACTGACACAGCTCATTTCAGAAACCAGCCGTAAAAATAAACCACCAATTTGCTGAGGCTGAAGAAAGCAGGTTCCTGGGTAAGAAACAGCCCACAGAGCACAGAGACACTGTGACAGACAGCACTACCTAGAGCTGCACAGACACTGAAGGGTTTGGCACAGGAGCAGGTCATTCAGCCCATTGTCTGTGCCACCGCTGGTCTCAACAACAACAACTTGGATTTATATAGCGCCCTCCACGCCAGACGGCGTCTCAGAGCGTTAGCTGGGAGGTGGTGGAGACTGGGGTGGAAATGGATAACTATTCTGGAGTTTTGCTGGGAAACCTTGGTGAATCCGCAGAGATTAAATGGGGGAAGCAAGTCACAAACAATATTACAGGCAGTCTTGCTGTTGGGAGATGTTTGTCTTAAAACTCAACCAGCCAAATAGTTAAGCAATTCAGCCAAAGAAAGTTAGATCACTGTCTCCTGTTTCCCATGTGCCATTTGTCACTCTTTACTAAGTAAGCAATGCCCAGAGTTAGTTTAATCCACACAAATCTCTCTCCACACCTCCTCACAGTGGTATTGTTTACTCCTCACATCATTAAAGAAAAACTGGAACAAGTCCATTTTCATACACTGTCTGGGAACAAGCCCACCTCTGGGACTCACTCCTCCTTACTCAGAACCTAAACCCCTGAATGGTTCTGAATCCACTCCAAAGCTTCAATCTCCATTTGAAGGCAGGTTGAAAGACATTGCCTCCAACTCCAAATACTCAGACTACAGAGGCGCAAGTGAAACGAAACACTCCACAAGTCTCGGGGATTTACTCGTACAATGACCTTTATTCTCAGCACATTTGGTAAACTGCGAAGTGGGTCAGTCACCAACCACATCAACAAATGCTCAGCAATTACAGAACCACACAGGAAGATTAGAGATACCCTAAACCCAGATCTGTGCCAACCAGTCTGTTTCTTCAAACCCACTCGCGTCTCAAACACCCAAGAGCCATCGATCACACTGTTTTGAGTTCCCTGATTGTATCTGCCTCCCAGATGTCTCTCTTAGGTGGAGGATGACAGTAAAGGAGGAAGGTTTTAAGTAAGTTCTTGGATTAAAGCTTGTTTCTCTGCTGGTCTCTGACCGCCCCACGCTGCTTCCAGCTGGGCCTTTGTCTCCTCGACCTCCCGCACGGACCCCAGCAAGCTGTTATATTCAGTGTCAGCTTGGACTGAGAGCAGAGGCAGCATTTCACCATTGTCACTCGCCCAGGACAGAACAAACTCACACTTCTTCTGGGCTCGGAACAGTTGTTGGGCCTCGGCCTTGCTTTGCCGTTGCTGGAGTCTCTTGGCTTTGCCGAGAGTGCGGCTGAGGTGGGACAGAGCAGCAAGGGTGTAGCTGGCACTCTCAGGACCCCGCTCCCCCCGCAGGATGTGAGCTGTGGCTTTGATAGCGTCCACGGGAGCGTAAGGGCTGGAAGCATAGGGTCCCCCCCGAACAGCCTCCACCCCCGAGAGCAGAGCCTCCGCAGTGCAGCTGAACACACAGTTTGAGTTGAAGACGGCGGAGACCAGCATCACAGCCTCAGCAAATTCCTCCACCATCTCTTCTTCCGACAGATCTCCATTGACCAGCAGCAGGCAGAACGCATAGGAGTAAAGCACGTTAACCAGACTGAAGGGGATCAGGGCAGAAGCGTTGGGGTTCAGGGCTTTCAGTGGAGGAATGTCCCTGTTAATTTGAGGAATGGTGTCACTTTGCTCTGCCAGCCTCTCATGGCCATCACCCTGTCTCTGCTTCCCTGGCTCTTTCTTCCTCTCCGTCCCTTCTCCATCTTCATCACCCTCGCCCTTCTGTCTTTCATCTCCCTCGCTCACTCCATGTTTCTTTACCTCCTTTGGAAAAACAAGTTAACTCTCAATACAATTTGTGGAACAGTATTTTTTAAAAATCATGAACACTATTTGGTGATTTTTATATTTATCAAACTTTAGATAATAGGTAGTTAATGCTTGGAAGTTGAATTCTCCCATCCATCTGTCCATCCACACTCCCAGGTCAGGGTTAGAGACACAGTAAAGCTCTACACTGTGTGTCCACACTCCCAGGTCAGGGTTAGAGACACAGTAAAGCTCCTCTACACTGTGTGTCCACACTCCCAGGTCAGGGTTAGAGACACAGTAACGCTCCCTCTACACTGTGTGTGTTAGAGACACAGTAAAGCTCCTCTACACTGTGTGTCCACACTCCCAGGTCAGGGTTAGAGACACAGTAAAGCTCTACACTGTGTCCACACTCCCAGGTCAGGGTTAGAGACACAGTAAAGCTCTACACTGTGTCCACACTCCCAGGTCAGGGTTAGAGACTCCCTCTACACTGTCCCAACAATGTGCCCCATTTCCCCACAGAACCCCCTCTCTGTTCGCATAGTGACGGTGTGTATTTCCTTCCCCCCATCGTGTGGCCTCTGAGCCCATTTAGAATCTGATTGTCTGGTCTTCAACCCCCAGAGCCGCGCGTGTGTGTGTGTGTGTGTGTGTGTGGGGGGGGGGGGGGTGGGGAGAGGTAGTGTGTGTGTGGGTAGTGTGTGTGGGGGGGTGGGGAGGGGTAGTGTGTGTGTGTGTGTGGGGGGGGGGGGGGGCACTGCTGTGCGCCATTGGCTGCCCCGTTTGAACCACAAAACAGTCACTACACTTCACAGTGTATTGTGTGACGCGCTTTGGGAAGTCGCCGGTATTATTATTGATAACCCGGAGGCCTCGTGTAGCCGACACCGAGGCCCCCCCCCGCTCACCGGCAGCTCCTGCACCGGCCGCGGGCCCCGCCGCCGGGGTCTCTCCCACCAGGGCCGCCAGAGCGGGATCAGCGCCCCGGCCCCGGCCCCGGGCCCGGGCCCGGTCCGCACCAGCTCCTGGAACCCGCGCCGCTGCTCCTCGTTCAGCCGCTGCCACAGCTGCGGTGCCGGGGCGGTGCTCCAGGCGAGGCCGGGGTCTGGCCGCGCCTCCCGGGCCCGCAGCTCCCCCAACACCTGCTCCCGGTAAAAGCTCTGGGCGCAGCCGCCGTGCGCGGCGCGGCTGTAGCAGGAGGCCGAGCAGAAGCGCACGTTGCAGCGGGGGCAGGTGTAGCGGGCGGCAGCCGCCGAGCACAGGCCGCACGGAGCCTGGGGCTCGCGCTCACCCACCTCCCGCAACCGCGGCCACATGGCGCCGCGCCGCTTTTCGACAGTCCGGCCCCCGCCGATAGGGCGCTTTCACCTTCGCGACACTTTGCCGTAAGCCGTTAGGGCCGTAAAGCAATGTGGCCCCAGGTGACCCGCAGTCACAGCCTCAGGTCCAGCCTGGGGGAGGGGGAGGGGGAGGGGGGCAGTCATTGCTGTGTCAGGTCAGGGGATCAGGGCAAAGGTGGGCAACCTGCACATCAGCCAATGATCCTATAACACGGCAGAACAGGCTCCAGGGGCTGAATGGCCTCCTCCTGTTTCCATGGCTACCCAGCGCCCTGGGACATCCTCCCAACATGGAAGGCTCTGTGTGAATATAATTTGGTTTTGTATTTGATAGTGACCATAATGTAGGAACACCGCCGAGTGTTTAGGGATCTTTGATATTCACCTTCATTGGCTGATCGGCCAAATCCTATGAAAGGCATTTGACATTACTGTAACCCATTGTTTAAACGCCAACATTCCCACTCTCAGGAAGAATAAAAGGCATCAAGTGTTTTCTAAAACAAACACTGGCAAAACAGCTTTGTCTTCAATTGTATTTTATACAAAATGTTTAGCGTGAAAATCTACATTGTTTACATAAAAAGCAACCTTGTGTGTACATGTGTGTGAGAGAAAGGGGAAGAGAGTCACTGGGGTTCAGACCAAGGAGGACGTCAGCATCAAGTGAAGAATAAAGCCTTCACAGGCACTCGGGCGTGGGAACTGTGTGATGTGCACGTTCTAGGGCAGGAATCACAGCTCACCACATTGTACAATCCACAGATCTATCTCTTGAGTAAGACAGCATTTATAACCAAGTTTCTCTTCCTGCTCATGTTGGGGGCTGACCTCCACGCCGTCTCACCCCCTCAGCCCCAGATAGTGGGCAGCACAATGGGTAAATCATGGCACAGCCCACAGGCCCAGAGAACGCCAACTGCTCATTCTCAACAGACTTTAAAATGGAATTATACTGAGGGCGAGTTGTTCGCCCCAAGGAAAATCATTATATATTGTAATCTAAAACAAAGGGCATAACAGGCTGACACTGGTACATACAGAGGAGAGTGAAGAGAGAACTGTGCACTGGTGGGTATCAAAGAGCAGACAATTCAAACTCAAACACTCTTCTGAAGAGTCACATTCAGTGCAATACGAGGAATCAGTCCCAATGCTGCAGGGTGTAAGTCAGTTTGCGGATATCTCCACTGGCACCAAGGAGCTGGGTTATTGAATGATGCCCAGATATTCCATTTTGTTCTCTTCCCAACAAAAGATCAAATAAAATCAACAAACCCTTACAGAGAAACCTGGTGTTTACAGACAAACACTTGTTTGTAACACGCGTTGTTTGACGCTGTGGACCGGCTTGTCCTGATGACAATCACACTCAGCTGCCGGGAGGGACCCGGCAAGTTCCTGGTTTTGAAGTGACAAGGCCGACACCGGCACACACACACGCCCATGTGCTGTAGTTGCCGAGTGTCGGTGCTGGTTTGCGGCAGACAATGCAATCCTCATATCTCCACGTCGCTCTCTTTGTCATTGTCGTGCTCACCGTCATAGAACTCGTTCGCAGCCTCGGGTCTGGGAAAGGACAGGGAGAGAAGGGGAAAGGGGCAAAATACAGGGTCACCAAAAAGTCTTATTTTTCTGCTAACTTATTATCTAAAAAAAATAATTTCTTGAAGACTTAGTAGACATTATAATGGTATTACGGATTTTTGGTCACCCTATAGATCATTTATTTGCAACAACTTGCGTTTACGCATTTATACAGAGCCCTTCACACTGGTTAGTGTGCCAGCCTTCCAGCTTTCTCTCCCCAACTCCCTTGTGGCTCCCAAATAGTTACTGTCTGACATTCACTGCCACTTCCCTTTCTCGGTGGAATGACTCATGCCTCGTCTCACTTTCTCTACACTTGTTCCTAATCTGGCTGGGTCTGTTCTCTCGCAGGTTTCCCTTCCCGCTTCACTGCCAGCCAAACAGCATTAGATGTCATCAGTGTCTCTCTTCCACACTGACTGGGAATTGCAGTTACTGATAACTGAACAGCAATCAGTAACCTCAGGGGCCGGTGGGGTGGGGGGAAAGATGCAGATAAATGGGACTGAATGGATTATTGGATTATTCTTTCACAAAGCGGCAGATACCCTAGGCCCAATGGCCTTCCACTGAGCTATGACTCTCTGGTTCACTGTGTCTGTAGCGTTTTTTTTAAATTGCCATGTTTTGTTTAACCCACTTTCCATCTTTCTCTCCTGACAGTTTTCAACAAGTGCAATAGATGTGACAGAACCTCATCAATGTGTTTCAGAGAATACATGAGGAAGCAGGAAAAAGAGGGTTAAAGGAGGGAATGGGGCAGGTGTGGATATAAACCCCAGACAGGCTGGTTGGGCTGAATGACTGTGTTGTGTACTATATCACTACATTCTGTATAACCTAGCAGCATGGCATTTACTATGTAAAGGATTATTATATTATATACTGCATAACCCATGACCTTTACTATGTAAAGGATTATATTATACTGTATAACCCACGGCCGTTACTATGTAAAGGATTACTATTATTACCGACTGTAAGCGTCTTCTGAGTTTCGCTCATCAGGGTCGGGCTCGTCTGTTCTCTCGTAGCTCAGCAGATCGGACGGGACGTCGTGTATCTGGACGCTTGGGGCGTGGTTCAGCATCTTCAGGTTCTCGAAGATTGTTTGGCGGATTTGGTCCAGGTACTGAACAAAGGCCAGCAAACAGGGGGTTAATGGCTGCCAATAACACAATACTGGGGGGAAGGCGGAGGTTTGACTAGGATGGAACCAGTTACATGGTCTGGTCTTGGAATTGCTTCTGAGAACAAGAGTCACTCAAACAGACGAGTGACACAGGACATGTCAGAAAGATAGCGGTTACTTTATTTGGGGAACACAGTGTACCAGTGGCCACAAACTAGACCAGAGACACAGTGAGTGGATAGGAGGGGAGAGTGGGGGAGCCAGGCTGTGACAGAAAGCAGACTCAAGAGGGAATTAGAGCGGCGAGTGAGGAAGAGAGCAGTGTGGGGTTGGGTTACTCCGAGCTGCCACAGTCCCAGGTTCCTTTGGAATTTGAAGCTGGGACTCACTGACCTGCCTGGAGTTCTGGTTCTCAATCCTCGTGCTGACGTCCGGATGCAGCGTGAAGTCTGGAGCAAAGTACTCAAAGTATTCTGGAGGGAGGAGGAGAGGTGACTTCAGGGCAGCTTACAGGATACATTGCTGTGTGTAAATCAGCCCCATGTTTGTTTACAAATGCAGTCAACACTGATTTCTTGTAAAGCATTGAGCTGTTCTGAGGGGCCGAGAAGCTATGAAAATATAAGTTGTTTGTGTGTTTCCCCTTGACGCGTTGGGAAAGGAGAGCAAGAGCGAGCGGTGTGACGGGGAGCTCACCGTTATAAGGCAATTCATCACTTATCTCCTCTTCCACAAGTAGCGAGGTCTCAAAGGTCCTGTGAGAGATCGGGAACAAGAAGAGGCAGCGTTACTGATCGCTGCTCTGGGGACAGGACAGGAGAGACCGACAGACAGTGCTGAGGGGATGTGGGGGGAGCACTCACCAGCACCTAGCCACATTGCGGACTGTGTAACCCCCACCACCCATCACCAGCAGCGGGATGTTAAAGCTCTTCACAAACTCCACACAGTCCCTGAAAAAGAACAGATCGATTCACTGCAGATAGCGACAACACCTGCTGCCCCACCATGTTTTAGTAGAGAAAAAAACTGCGAAGAGCAACAAATTTAGTCAATCGCACCTCCCCGCCCCCACAGCCCTCCCCATATTACCCCACCCACATTAATCCACCTCCACAACCCCTCCCCACATTACCCCCTCACCCCCCCACTTCTTCCTACGTTACCCCTCCCATCCCTCCTCCCCCACACACCCTCCCCACATCACCTCTCCTCCTCTTCTCCTCCCCCACTTACCCGTGTCCTTTGATGCTGAGGTTGAAGCACCCCAGGCGATCACAGCCGAGGGAATCTGCTCCACACTGTAAAACAGATGAGGTTTGGACGTAGGTTCAGAGAAATGTTAGACAGACAGAGAGACAGAGAGAGAGTGAAAGAGACAGAGACACAAATAACTAAATAAATACGCACAAATAACTAAATAAAGAAGGCAGGAGACAGAACTCTATCAGAACAGGATGGAGACTCGTATCAGGTATGACTGAGTGAGCGAGGACAATAAAATGTGAAAGAGTTACCTGCAACACCATACATGTGGGTTGGTAGTAATCCACCACCTGCTTGATGACGGGCTGGAACAGGAGCCTGTAACCTGCAACACAGTCAGCGTCAGGCTACCCTCTGCTGTCACCCCCATTCTGGCAGTTTTCACACGTTGACCCCAATTATCCCCAATTATTCCCCGCTTACTTTGGTCGTCAATTCCATCGCGGAGCGGCACGTTCAGGCAGTAATAACGGCCACTCTCGGCACCCACCTCATACATGTCACCTGTAACAGAGATAAACAATCCATCTCAGTGATAGAGCTTCACACGCACACGCACTGACTGCTGCTCCCCGGCAATTAAACAATAGGAACCTTTCACCTCTCTCCCTAAACTCCCAAAAGCTCTCACCTGTTCCCGGGAAAAAGTAGTTCCCGTATTTGTGGAAGGACACAGTCATGACGCGGTCGGTGAGGTAAAAGGCCTCCTGCACCCCGTCACCGTGATGAATGTCAATATCGATGTACAGCACCCGCGGGTGGTACCTGAGCACAAACAGCAGGTTACAATCAGCTCCCAGCAACGCACACAAACACACACACCACACACACTCCTCTCCCCGCAAACACAGATAAACAGAACAATCTATTACGATTCCACACACACAGCTTCTGAGGCAGAGAATTCCACCTTGTCTAATTCCTGTGTGAGAAAATATGTTTTCTGATCTCACTTCTGACTGGTTTAAAACTCTAACGTTAAGGTTCCCAGAGCCAAGTCACCACAATAATTACTACTGTATCTTCAGTAGGGCTTTAGGCACTCACTTCAGCAACTCCAGGATTCCAATCACAATGTCATTCACATAACAGAATCCCGAGGCCTGAGGATGAGAGAGGACAGGGTCAGGGAGTCGCTCGCATGGAAGGTATTAAACGCTGACAAAATGGTTTGCGCTCTCTTACTTCAAACTTCTTGGCGTGGTGAAGCCCGCCAGCCCAGTTAATGGCGATGTCGCACACCTGAAGCGAAAGAAGGTTTAGTACAGATTGTGCAGTCAATGTGACGACATTCAGTGCCTTGGGACGTCCTCACGGCATGAAAGGCACTATACAAATGTAATTTTGTATTGTATTGATTCAGCTACCTGCCACCCACAACAACAACAAAATTACATTTATAGAGTGCTTTTCACGTCGGGAGGACGTTCCAAGATGCTGGGAGTGTCTTTACCACATGTTCTGCACATGTCCCACTTCCCAGGATTTAATTCTTGTAGAGTGAGAGCTTCAGGGTAAGATAAGAGTGGGTAGCGATGGCACACGTAATAATAATAATCCTTGAATTTGATATAGCGCCTTATCATATCATTGAGACTCAAAGCGCTTCTATATACTAGATTACAGAATTTACTTTAAAGTGTAATGACTGGGTATTTGGTGGCTGAAAATACAGCCATGAAATCACTGTGGGCCTGGAAGTTCTGGGCTCTCACCTTGTTGTTTAATTGTGTTGCTCCCTGAAGCGAGGCTCCGGTATAACGTGAACAAAACTCAAACAGTCCTGGGAAAACAGGGCTGCAAGAAGCAAAAATGAATCAGGTTCTACCAACGTAACATCCGTCACCGTCAATCTGTGCTCCCACATAATCACAACGCCCACTGCCACCAACTGCCATGGGACAGAGAGAGAGCAGGGAACGGGAATTTGGGCAGTAAGTCTAGTGAAAAGCTGGTGTCAACTGTTGGCCGAGCAGCCGCGTACTGTCTGGGATTGTGTGGCTTTCGTGCTCTTACCAGTCGTCTCCCACGTTGAAGGCGTTTAAACTCTTGGTGAAGCCCTGCATGTTGTTGGGGCTAACCCTCTGCAGGAAGTCGATGTAATCCTCCGAATGGAACCGGCACATGTCGTGCTGTGAGGCTTGGTACGGCTTAAACACCTGCGGCAAAGAGAAGCGTCACTCGCTCACCCTGGCCCTGCCCCCTCTTGTCAGCCCCCACCCATCCCCAGTCCCACCCTTCCCACCGTGTCTGTGCCCCACCCCTCTCACAGGCTCCGCTCCTCTCCCCAGCCCCCTCTTGCAAATCTTATTGCTGCAAATCACCCCAGACAACGAAATTGAATGTGAGCATTTATACCCCCCCACACGCTGCTAATCCCCTCTCCCCTCACCTCCACCTTCCTCTTAAATACAGCTATAGCTGTGATGGCCAACCTACCATCATCTTCTTGTACAGCCCATAGTGCAGAACCAGACTGTGTGTGAGAGACAGGCGGTGTGGCTTCATTGGGTGTCCAGCACCTGAGCACAGAGAGAGAGAGAGAGAGAGAGGCGCCAGAGTGAGCACATTTATACATATCCCCCAAACACACTGCCGCCCCAACACCACCCCCTATCCATCTGCACACTCACCCCACCCCACACTCAGCCCCCTCACCCCACCCCCACTGCCAACCCAACACCACCCCCTATCCATCTGCACACTCACCCCACCCCCCCCCACACTCAGCCCCCCACCCTCAACCCCCTCACCCCCACCCCCCACTGCCAACCCAACACCACCCCCTATCCATCTACACACTCACCCCACCCCCCCCCCACACTCAGCCCCCTCACCCCCACCCCCCACTGCCAACCCAACACCACCCCCTATCCATCTACACACTCACCCCACCCCCCCCACACTCAGCCCCCTCACCCCCACCCCCCACTGCCAACCCAACACCACCCCCTATCCATCTACACACTCACCCCACCCCCCCCACACTCAGCCCCCCCCCATTATAATAAACGACACAATATATATTGTGTTTGCATTGGCACTCTCTCGCCCCCTCCACCACACACCCCATACACTCCCCTCCCCCCCATTCCCTCCCTCACCCCCCCACTCTGTCTGTGCCCCCCCCACTCCCTCCCTCCCCCCCCCACTCCCTCCCCCCCCCCACTCCCTCCCTCCCCCCCCCCCCTCCCTCCCCCCCCCCGCCACTCACTCCCTCCCTCCCCCCCCCACTCCCTCCCTCCCTCCCCCCCCACTCCCTCCCTCACCCCCCGCACACGCTGCCCCACAGACTCACCCCCAGACCCACCATAGTGGAAATTGCCAACATCCGGATCATAAAAGTAAGAGACTTTCCGCGCCATGTCTGTGGCCGCACGTCCGCGGCCTACGTCATCACGTGGGGGGCGGGCGGAGTGGTGACGTCACTGCTGTGTGTGTGTGTGGGTGGGTCAGGACTCTCACTGTGTGTGTGTGTGGTCAGCACTGCTCTCATTGTGTGTGTGTGTGTGGGGGGTCAGCACTGCTCTCACTGTGTGTGTGTGTGTGTGGGGGGTCAGCACTGCTCTCACTGTGTGTGTGTGTGTGTGTGGTCAGCACTGCTCTCACTGTCCTCCTTCAGCCTCCCGCTGGCCACCCTGTACATGTACTCGGAGTGATGCAGCCGTACAGTCTGCCTTCAGCACGAGTGACCTATGTCACAGCTTTTAGCCACAGCCCTGACCCAGAGCCGAGCTCCAGCGCACAGCGCAGCGCAGTCTGTGAGACTGAACTCCGCACCACTGAACCTGCACTTCACCTCTGCAAATGCCCTCTCACTCCCCATCGCCACAGACCCGGGAGACAGAGAGAGACGGCCAGGGATGGGAGCAACGTGTACTGTTTTAGTCACGTTCACTCCCATCAAAAACATCCCCGACACCTATCTGCACGAGGGGTTTGCTTCAGTTAACACTGATTGTCCTTCGTTACAGACCCCCGAACCCCTCATTACACGCATTCATTGCATCGAGGCTCGACTATGCGAACTCACTGCTTGTCGGCCTCCCCGACTCCTCCCTCCACGCTTTCGATCCCCTGCTTCCCCCCCGACCCCCCCGACCCCCCGCTCGGGCCCGTAACTCTGTCTGTCCAGCGCCTTGGGACGTCCTCCCAACGTGAAAGTCCTTTACATTTGCAATTTTCTTGTTGTCCTGTTCGCTGCCGCCTCCCACTCCCTCCACACCTGCTGTCTGACCCCGGCTGGAGTTCAGGGTCCGAGTTGCTGCTGCTGACCCACAGTGATTACACACGACTAATAATGATCCCTCCAAAACAGTAATAAATTGGTCATTTTAAACCCACGACTGTTTGTGGGGACATTGCTGTGCACAATTGGCCGCTGCGTTCGCCCACAAATATACAGTCAATTCACTTTACAATATATTCTGTGAAGCGCTTTGAGACGTCGAGAAGACGTGGAAAGCGCTATATCAAATGCAGTGATTATTATTATTATCACAACAATCCTCACTTTGCCTTCAGCTCCTCATGACGTCTGTCGCGACGTCTCAAAAGTGAATTGACTTGTGTGTTTTGTGGGTGAAGGAATGTATTTGTAAAGACGGCGCCGGGAAGAGCTTTTCAATGCATTTTTCTCTGCAGAAACACCGTCAAAACTACAGTCAAAACAAAGCCAAGTGGAGGGTAACCGGACAGGGAGGCCTGAGGCCTAGTGACTGGGAGAGCAGCGGCTCCACAGCGCCCACTCAGGGCTTTAAGCGCGATGCCGCGCGGCAGCCCGTGTGCTGTGATGGCCGAGTGGTTAAGGCGTTGGACTTGAAATCCAATGGGGTCTCCCCGCGCAGGTTCGAACCCTGCTCGCAGCGATAGGCTTTTCCACTCGCGGGACACTTTTATTTTTCACTCCCAAAGATTAACCCAGAAATTTTACACGTTCTCCCCCCCCACCCACCCACTCCCCCCAACAGCAAAGTGACCACATTAGTTATCGCACCCGTTTTATGTTAATTATTGAATTCACAGCCATTGTTCGGGGATTCTCCTGTTTTATTTAAAATTTATTTTAAATTTCCGTTTCGAGAACTAACACTCAAACCAGGACTGTGCGGGTGACACATGTATTAATTATTATTGCTGCTGTTATTGCTGTTTATTACGGTGTAATCGCCCTCCCGTCCCTTTAAGGCCCAGCTGCGCATGCGCCAGGTCTGCAAGTCAATCAAGCGGACAGTGACCAATCCAAACACCGTGTGGGCGGGGACTGCCCAGCGCCGGGCGACCAATCGCCGGGGGCGGAGGCGGCACGTCCGGCGGAAGTTGTCGGTGAGCGGGTGAGGAAGGTGTGTGCGCGGGAGGATTATTATTATTATTACATCGTTAATATTATTGTACGGTTAGCGCTTCCCGGAGAGATGCGGGGCCGGGAGGGGGGAGGGGACTGCAGGGGGGAAGGGAGGGGGGCGGCTGGGAGAGCGGTACCGGGCGGGGGGGGCGCGGGGGGGGGGCGGGGCCGGGAGTTGGGAAAGCACTGCCGTTCCCGGGTTTGCTGCTCGCGTTGAGAGCAGCAGGTGCAGTGCCCGCCTCCGGCCGCTAAGGGGCGCTCTGGCTGAGTGGCAGTGGAAGCTGTTGGGCGCACGGGGAGAGGGTGAGGGCCACGCAGGGTCTCCCCCCCCCCCCCCCACTCCTGGTCGCTGACAAGTTGCCTGTGGAGTTGCATTGACTGACCGTTCCGACAGAGAAACTCACTGCTTTATCTTCCAGCATAATTCCCTTCACCATGAGCGAGCCGCAGCAGGTCAGCGCGCTGCCCTTGCCTCCAACCCAGTACTGCAAGGAGTACACAGACGAGAATGTCCGCAAGTGCCTGGCCCCCAAGCCCCCTCCCCCCATCAGAGACAGCTACATGATGTTTGGCAACCAGTTTCAGTGTGATGAGCTGATCATTCGGCCCTTGGAGGGCCAGGGGATCGAGCGGCTACACCCAATGCAGTTTGACCACAAGAAGGAGCTAAAGAAGCTGAACATGTCCATTCTGGTCAATTTCCTGGATCTCCTGGATATTCTGATCAAAAGTCCCGGCAGCATCAAGCGGGAGGAGAAGCTGGAGGATCTCAAACTGCTGTTTGTTCACATGCACCATCTCATCAACGAGTACCGGCCCCACCAGGCCAGAGAGACACTGCGGGTCATGATGGAGGTGCAGAAACGCCAGTGCCTGGAGACGGCCGAACGCTTCCAGAAGCACCTGGACAGGGTCGTAGAGATGATTCAGACCAGTCTGTCTCATTGCCCGATGATCTGGCTTCCACTGGCGACGCTCCGGTCAGGGTCAAAGCCGAGCCCATGGAGGTGGAGGAGGGCAACTGTGGACAGGCCGAGAGGGAGAAAGAAGCCTCGCTCGGCAAGAAGGAGCAAGTTAATGATAAGGATGCCGCCATGTGCGCTATTATTGATGACATGACGTAGGAAGGCAGTGGAGCTTCAATGGCATGTTGATCCTCGATCTCAACACAGATGTGTACTGAACAGACTCTGTATGTGAAGCACTTTAGGGCAGTGGTATTCCTGACACAGTCCCCCAGGAGCCAAGGGTGACTGATCTGTATCCTATACCTCGGGGCAGCCACTCACAGCCTGTTTGTTCCTCAGCAAAAAAAATGTGCATTGGCAGGATGCAGAACTTTCTCACTATCCGGAACTAAAGCTGTCTTTGACAACACTGTCAGTTTATAGTTTTCTTCTCTTTCAGGTGGAATGTCACAGCAGGAGGGTGGGGGGTTATACCCAGGGAGGTGAGTGCGTGGCTGATCCCTCTGCAGCTGCTGGTGCTGTGATGGCTCCTGGCCTGCACTGCATTCCGCCTGCACCACAGGCAGCACCAAAATCACTGAGCTGAAGCCATCAATACTCTGTCCTTGGCCCTTACACTCACTTTAGAGGTGGAGGTGAGGTCACAACCTCTCTTTGAGGGATGATATTCTTGGTGGCCACGCGGGAAGCTACCTCGCAGTATAATCAGGCTAACAGTGCAGCCTTGGGGCACAAATACCCCCTCCCTTTCCCTCCATCCCTCATACATTTTGTACATCTTTGCCTCATTGCATCTGCAGCTACTGTTTGTCAGTGTCTTCTGACTCTTCCTCTGACGGTATCCTGGTTTGGGTTGTGTGAGGGGCCAGGGGAAGAGTCAGAGTTACGTAGTAGGAAATAAACAGCATTATTGTAACACTGTCTTGTTTATTCTGAGGACGTTCTCTCTTTCTCCAAAATAAAGCCCACATTGCTGCACATTTTCTTTGCAAACCTGCTCCATGTTTACATCTGAATCCTAACACTCAGTTGCCAGATCGCACCTCAATTTGCTGCTCCACAGTTGGTGTTTGGTGGCAGCTCCCTGTGGAGACCACTTACTGTGCCTCAAACCCACTTCCTCAGCCTTGCACAGAATGTAGCCTCGTTAAACACTTATTACTGCAGGGGTGGGTGGAGTTGAGCAAAGTTTAAACCAGAAGCCAAAATATCAGTGGGACAAAGGTAGATCTGGATCTTTCGGAATAGATGGCTCACGGGATGAATGGATGATGTGTTAAGATTCAGCTTACTTGGCTCATCATCTGTATTTTATTCATACTGTGTGGTATATGAGATTGCAATTGTTTCAAGCCTTCCAGTACCCCACATTTTCAAACACAACGCTCCGTGCAACAGAGGATAAACCACATGAGGCAACCGCCACGTTTCTGAGGGCAATTTGCCATTGTACACTGCACAAATCTAGAGTTAATATTAAGCAGCATTCTTGGACAAAACACACAGTTACCACACTTTACAGTAAATCCTGGGAAGCTCTTTGACACCTCCATATGTGAAAGGTGCTGAATCAAATGTAAGGAATATTGTGCAACCCCGAATTGTGAAGTGTACGAGGTACACTTTGTCGCACAGTGTGGTGTGTCTGTGCAGTGTTCACACATGTCTGTGTGCACACTTTCCCTCCCCAACTGCATTTCCGTGGGACTTTTTTTTTACATTGTTCTGTCACACAGCTTACCCAGGCCACAGGTATTGATTTCAGCACCAAATCAATGAGAATTATAACCTATAAAATGGCCAAAAGCTTTAATGCTGACCCACACACATTCTAATCACGACTAATATGTCCAGCTACAGCTTCTCCAAATTTATAATCCCTTGATATATGGCATCTGCTCATGTCCTTCAGTAAAGAGTGTCACTCTGACTCGAGGAGAGTTTAGTTGGTAAGTAGTTGATCCAGACCATCGTCCCCGCTTCCCTCTCGCTCGGCGGAGTTGGTGATGTGCTGGTGGAGCAGCAGGAAACTGGAGAACAAGGATCGAGTTAAAGGAACTGTATCTATAGTCCATCTAAATAAAGTAGTCATACTTTGGGAGCAAGAGTTGGGACACCCTCCAAGCGCTATAATTGTAAAATTACACGGAATAGTGACTGGGATGGACGTTCCAGGGAAGAGTGGTGACAGATTACGTAAGCAATTGAAGAGCAATTTAATTGCTTTGGGGTGAAATCTTTGGTTAAGGGGTGTGAGAGCGCATTGTAAGATTATTTTTGCTCTGCGATGGGTCAGGTGGTCTTTGGATCTGCAGGTTCCTGTCTGCCCGATGCCTGCCCAATAATCACAGTCACGGTACAGTGAAACACTTTTGAGACGTCTCGACGACTACATAAAATGAAAGCATTATATTATTGAAGTGCGTGGGCGTTGTTGGTACAGACACTGCTGTGAAGCTGAGTTTCTCTGCTCAGATCTACAACGACATGAAGACAGGCCCGGCGAGAGGAAGTGGTTTAGCACTCTACCATCATTCGAGAGTAAGAATACATGAACCTTTTCTTGATTCTTTAAGATAAAGTTCAACATGCACCTCCGCAGCTCTGCCCCATGTGCACTCGCACTGAGTGGCAGGTTTTGCGCTCTGTGTGAAAGCCAGGCGGCCTCCGGCAGCGATCAATGGGAGGATGAACCCCAGCACGATCCTCGAAGAATTTCTCATCAAACGCTCTCAGCAGAAACGAAGGACATCTCCAGCAAACTACAAAGAGCGCCACTTTGTTCTGACCAAATCAAGGCTGACATATTTTGAATTCCGACAGGGGGTAAGATCTCTATTCCTAGTTATGAACAGAGCCAGTTTAGGGATGAGGGTCCCTGCTACATGGTGGCTTGTCCAGCATCAATCCCTCTGGCGAACCCAACCATTTATTGTCAACAACAGGTGTGTTTGTTTCGATTTTCAGTAAGTCGGCTTGGTAGCTGAATTAATGTGAACCTGATGTTTAAAACGTTACTCAGGGTTGGGGATGCTCACCTGCGTAGACTACACTGAGTGTAACCTAGTCAACCAGAGGGTTACTGAGTACAGGCCAGGTAACCAGAGGGTTCCAGCTACCTTTAATCATGTTCTAAAATCGTTACTGCTTTTACATCTGTGTGTAACTGATGTCTCCACAACTGCATGTATTTACCCAGGGTTTAGGTTGAATGGGCTGGAGGGAGAGAGGTACAGTGCATTTGTGAAGTAGAATCTAGTTTGAGAATTACTGGAGCCTTTGCCAGTCCCACGTTTCCACCTGAGTGACACGATCAGTTTCCAGCGCTGGGATGTTGATTCAGTGGTAGTCAGAAAGATGCTGTTGGCCGATGGCTTGTTTGTTACCTGGTCTCGCTGGTCACAGATCTCAATGTTGTGCCCGTAGAAGAAGTCAATCGTGAAGGGGTCGATCGACCTGGCCAAGATCAAGTGTGTGGAGATTGTAATCAGTGATATCAGCATTCCCTGCAGCTACAAGTACCCGTTCCAGGTAAGTTCCTGGTCTTAGCGTTTCCACTCTGTGGCTTCAAATAAGGACAAGAGAAGCAAATAGGAGCAGCAGAAAATAATAAAAGTTGGGAGCAAAAAGAGGTCAATGAGATAGGTCTTCATGCAAGTTTTGAAGCTGGAGACGGAGAGGATGATAACAAGCTCTGTGTTCACTCCTAATTATCCTTTGTATTGACTTGGTTGTGTTGAGCGTGTTTGTTGAACAACAACAACAACAACAAGTTTCCATTTATAAAGCGCCTTTCACGTCAGGAGGACGTCCCAAGGCGCTGCACAGTTGGGTCATGACCCGAGCTGGGGGAAATGGTCAGGGTGAGGGGAGGGAAGGGAGGGAGCAAAGAGGGGGGAATGGTCAGGGTGAGGGGAGGGAAGGCAGGGAGCGAGGAGGGGGGGGAATGGTCAGGGTGAGGGGAGGGAAGGAGGGAGCGAGGAGGGGGGGAATGGTCAGGGTGAGGGGAGGGAAGGGAGGGAGCGAGGAGGGGGAAGAGAGTCGAGAGGGGAGCTGAAGGCTCGGTCAAAGAGAGGACAGGACGCGATCTGCGTCTTTGGGCAATGGGCTTGGTTTTTCCCACTCCAGGTTTCCGTGGTAACGCTTCTGAGCATCTTTCATGGGGACTTGGGGTAGTTTTGTGAGTGTGTTTGTAGAGATGTAGGCAGCCAATTGAGCGAGCCTTGATTTAACAGTTATTATAGATGGGTGACAGATGTGGTTACCATTGAGAGATTGAGCATTTAGTGCGCAAAGTGAAATTAAGTAAGGATTGGGAACTAATTTCTACTCCTTTGGGCGGAAACGGATTATATTTAGAATAAAAATAACTGATGTTTTTTTCTCACAGGTCGTCCACGACAATTATATTCTGTACGTTTTTGCGCCCAATAAGGACAGCCGGCTTCGCTGGGTGTGCGCACTGAAGGAAGGTAGGAACCCAGTAGGACAGTTACACACACTGACAAGGGGTGGGATGAGCGGGCACTGGGGTGGGGGGAGCACAGGTGGTGGGAGGGGGACACTGAGGGAGGGAGGGGCCGCGCCCTCAGGCACTGGATAATTATCAACTCCTCACCGCTTCTCTCGTTGATCTGATCTAATCCTCGCAGTCGCTCTTGTGCTATTAGATTTATTATCACTGATTTTGTTTTTCAGAAACTAAGAACAACAACACTCTGATCCCCAAGTTCCACCCGAACTTCTGGACTGAGGGTCGTTGGCGGTGCTGCTCCCAGCTGGACAAGCTGGCGGCGGGCTGTCTGCTGTACGACCCAAACCGGGACTGTGAGTAACGCAGCCGCGAGCTGTGGCTACAGAGCGCACTAACCTACAACCCAGTCACATCCGTCATACCACCTACCCCGAGGCTCTCTGCCTGCCCTGGAGACATGCTCTGAGAGCGCGACCGCAGCTACACAAACACAAGACACAGTCACTTTTATTCAGGGCCTTTCACATCAGGAGGATGTGCCGATGCTCCATATAAAGATATGGATCAGGAAATCTGGTTTACATCTCTCGCTCTTAGTCATTCTTTATCTTAAAATGTTTTTTCTCTCTTCCAGCAACGAAAAAGCCTCTCCCCCCCACCCCCGAACCCAACAAGGTAACTGCTGTCCACACATTCACGCATAATTCTGTGTCCACATGTCTTCTCGCGACTCCGTGTCCGCACGTTCCCACTTCACTTTCCATCATACGGTGCAGTGTGTCTTCCTGTCTGCGTGTGGCGGTTGCTTTATGACTGTGTTTTATGACTGTATTTTGTGACTGTATTTCGCTCTGTGTGTCTCAGCGTAAGCCTTTGCCGCCGGAGCCAGAGGAGGTTGGGAGCGGGAGGGAGAGCGAGAGGGAGCCAGAGCCCGAGGGAGAGGCGCTGGTCATAGCGCTGTATGACTTTCACGGCCAAGACCCACAGACACTGTCGCTGGAGAAGGATGAGGAGTATGTCATCGTTGAGAAGACGGATGTGAACTGGTGGCAAGTGCGTGACAGACTCGGGTGGGTTGCTGTCTGGTGACTGCTCTCCGCACACTCTCTGCCAATTCTGCCGCACTGACCAGCGACAGTGACCGCTCATGTTTATCCTCAAAAGCTTTCAGAATTTGAAGAGCTTAAACAGATTCCTCGCGAGCCTCCTTGTGTCCCGATGTAAACGCGCTAATTATTTGAGAATTGGCTCATAACTAAAGCGCCGTGTCCGCTCCCTGGTGTCCTCTGTGTGAGTACCCATCCCCTGGCTCTGAGATCCTTTCTGCAATAAGGTTCACGCTTAACTCTCACAACCCCGACCTGCGCCCTATATGTGTAAGAGAAACAGGGTTTCTGAAGCAAAACAATCACCATGTTTGCCTTTTTGTTTTGGAGACAGATGTGTGGGTTTTATTCCCACCAGCTATGTGGTGGAGAAGAAGCCGGACAATCTACAGCAGTTTGAGTAAGTCAGCATTTACACCGAGACTCCCAACTCGAGTGCAATACTCTGATAGAGAGAGTGCGACCCTCCGGGATAGAGAGAGAGAAGGGGGGGGGGCACTCTGGGATTGAGAGAGAGACACACACTCTGGGACAGAGAGAAAGAGAGGGAGAGAGCGCGCCTCTGGTGGTACCTGTCTCCCCGCAGGATGGGCTCATCATCACAGTAACCTCCTGTATTCCCTTTCAGGTGGTACAACAAGAACATCATCAGGAGCAAAGCAGAGCAGCTGCTCCAAGAGGAGGTGAGTAATGTAATCCCCAGCACAGCCTCCCAATCCCCCCAACACAGCTATACAGCCCCTCACATGGGCAATGGCAGATGAGAGATGAGCTCAGAGATAGTGACACTCAGCTGGGAATGAAAGGCTGTGGATTCGAGATACTCTCTCGAGGTGTTTGGTAGAATGAGGTTGATGAGGGGATGGGGTGGTGGGGAGAGCACCGATTGCAATGTGGTGCCAATACAGGGAAGAAGGGTGTGTGTGATGGGTGATTTGGAGCTTGGGAGGAAGACAAGGAAAGGAGCAGTGAGCAGCGAGTTGATGATACAGAGCTGTGACTGTGGTGTTTAAGTTGCTGTTACATATATGAATGTGTTGTGTCCCAGGGTAAGGAAGGAGCCTTCATGGTGAGAGACTCAAGGCAAGCCGGCATGTACACGGTGTCTGTCTACACCAAAGCTACCAGGTAATGGCCAAGGAACTGCACGTCCCATCCCGGAGAGAGACACAGCCATCGGGAACGCTGTCGTTTCCCCCCCTGCGTGACTGGCTGACTGTGTGTGTGTGTTTGTGTGTGAGATTGACTGTGTTTGTGTGTGAGACTGACTGTGTGTGTGTGTGTGAGACTGACTGTGTGTGTGTGTGTGTGAGACTGACTGTGTGTGTCTGAGACTGTGTGTGTGTGTGTCTGAGACTGTGTGTGTGAGACTGTGTGTGTGTGAGACTGACTGTGTGTGTGTGTGTGAGACTGACTGTGTGTGTGTGTGTGAGACTGACTGTGTGTGTGTGTGAGAGAGTGACTGTGTGTGTGTGTGAGACTGACTGTGTGTGTGTGTGTGAGACTGTGTGTGTGTGTGTGAGACTGACTGTGTGTGTGTGTGTGTGAGACTGACTGTGTGTGTGTGTGTGAGACTGACTGTGTGTGTGTGTGTGAGACTGACTGTGTTTGTGTGTGAGACTGACTGTGTGTGTGTGTGTGAGACTGACTGTGTGTGTGTGTGTGAGAGACTGACTGTGTGTGTGTGTGTGAGACTGACTGTGTGTGTGTGTGTGAGACTGACTGTGTGTGTGTGTGTGAGACTGACTGTGTGTGTGTGTGAGACTGACTGTGTGTGTGTGTGTGAGACTGACTGTGTGTGTGTGTGTGTGAGACTGACTGTGTGTGTGTGTGTGAGACTGACTGTGTTTGTGTGTGCTTCATTTAGCGCCTTTCATATTGGGAGGATGTCTGCAGACTGTGAATCTGCAATGTGACAGTGGGATTAATTGGGAGAATTCACACTAAGCGTGTCAGTGAGTGTGACTGGGCTGGAGGGTCCTCCGTTACTGGGAGTGCAGGACAGCCGTGCACAGGAAGTGTGCAGCAGAAACCAAGTGGAGCCCACATCCTCTGTAAACCAGCTCGAGTTCGAGGTGTGAACAGTTATTAGAGTTGTCACCCGGTGTTTCACACTCAGGCCTAGAGCAGTGTAAACCTCCACACTGCATCCTGCGTCAGTTTCCATCACACACTTTGTTCCAATATTCTAAATTAACCGCAGTTCTTTAACGTCTTGTAGTCCGGGCTTTCATACAATAATAGCTGTGTCTCAAAACATCAAGCAATTATGAATCTATGAAAACAGTCGATCCGCTTTACAGTGCATTCTGTGAAACGCTTTGAGACGTTTCAATCACGTGATAAGGTGCTGTATCATATACAAGAATTATTATTATTAATGATAATGTGAATTTACTGCCTCGGGTGGGAACCTCCTGTGTGTGTGTGTGTGTGTGTGTGTGTTACCTGGAGTGTTGGTCTCACTCTAAGCGGCAGCACACGGCCATCGGCTCTGCCGCTCGGAGACGTCAGGAGTGGGGAGAGGGCTGGGGTGTGTGGGGGTCCCAGGCTGGGGTCTGGGTACAATCGGGGCAGGGGGCAGACAGCAACAACAACAACAAGATTTCATTTATAGAGCGCCTTTCACGTCGGGAGGACGTCCCAAGGTGCTGGACAGCATTGCTCAGACAAACACACACTGATTACCTGTATCCCGCAGCGAATCGTGTCCCGGAGTGAAACATTACCACATCAAAGAGGTGCTGGAGGGCCACAAGCGCTATTACCTGGCAGAGAAACACGTCTTTGATTCCATCCCAGAACTCATCCACTATCATCAGCACAATGCCGCAGGTAGGGGCTGTGGGGGGTGGTGGTGGGGGGGGGGGGGGGACAACAGTGTGTTCTGGTGTTCTTAGGGAATGACAAAGTGAATGGGGGAAATCTGTTTCCCTATCAGTTCGGAATGGGTGTCCCCAGTGTCAGGATGTCAGATGATAACCTGTAGAGTTTGAAGGGATTTCTTCACTGTGAGAGGAGTTGGGCTGTGAGAACTTCTGTTCTGAAAATCCATTGTCTTTATTAAAACTTCACTTCTCAGGATTCTTTGTTTTGACCTGTTTTGTTCCCAGGTCTGGTCACACGCCTGCGATACCCTGTGTCCTCCTGGAGACAGATGGTCCCTTCAACAGCCGGCTTCAGCTACGGTACAGCATGCAATGTGGAGCAGAGTACTCCTACAGTCAGTCAAAATGGGTAACAGAGTACTCCTACAGTGTAGGATACAGTACTGATAGAGCGAAAGAGTCACTTAATGATGAGTAGAGAACTCCAGCAGTGAGAGGGGGTGGTTGGATGGGGAGTTGTGTGGGGAGAGGAGATAGCTGGCTGGGGTGTTGTGTGGGGAGAGGGGGTAGGTGGTTGGGCTGCTGTGATGTGTTGCTCTGTGCCATAGGGAAATGGGAGATTGCGCCCACAGACCTGACGTTCCTGGAGGAGCTGGGCAGCGGGCAGTTTGGTGTGGTGCAGCTCGGCTACTGGCAGAACCAGTGCTGTGTGGCCATCAAGACGATCCGTGAGGGAGCCATGTCCGAGGAGGACTTCATAGAGGAAGCTCAGGTTATGATGTGAGTCACTGGGTTACAGCAAACGGGTAGTCCCTGTCCTCCACCCCCTCCTGATCCCAACCTCCAGCTCGGCTCCAAATCCCTGACTGTCCAGCGCCTTGGGGCGTCCTCCTGACGTGAAGGGCTCTGTGTAAATGTCATTTGTTGTTGATGATGATTGAAACAAGCTTGTGTGACCTGCTGCTTGTTTGTTGTGCAGGAAGCTGTCTCACCCCAAACTGGTCCAGCTGTTTGGTGTGTGTACACAGACCAGCCCCATCTGCCTGGTGTTTGAGCACCTGGAGCATGGCAGCCTGTCCGAGTACCTGGGGCAGAACCGCGGCACCTTCAACACGGGCTCCCTGCTGGGCATGTGCCAGGACACCTGCCAGGGCATGGAATACCTCGAGAGGAACCAGTTCCTACACCGCGACCTGGTAACCTGCTTCCCCTGGCTACCGGTGTGGGCTGGGCTGGCGCTGTGTATCTCTGTGTCTCTCTGGTTCTCACTGTCTCTGTGGTTAGCACTGTAACATGTGGATGTGGTTTCCCTGCAGGCCGCAAGGAATTGTTTAGTTGGAGAGTCGCTGGTGGTGAAAGTCTCTGATTTTGGAATGACCAGGTAACGACTGACCTCAGACCTGTTATTTTTGTGATAATGTGAATGAGGAAAGCTGTGATTGTCTGTGTGGCAGTCTGTGTGACTGTGTGGCAGTCTGTGTAACTGTGTGACTGTCTGTGTGACTGTGTTATCTCTGTGCCCAGGTTTGTGCTGGATGACCAGTACACCAGCTCCTCTGGCACCAAGTTCCCTGTGCGCTGGTCGGCACCGGAGGTTTTCCGTTACTTTAAGTTCAGCAGCAAGTCGGACGTCTGGTCATTTGGTAAGGAGAGGGCGGGGGGGGGGGGGGGGGGGTGGGGCGCTGCTGGCTGGGAGGAATGTGTGGGGGGAGGGTCTAGTGGTCCAGGTGGGGCGGCGGTTGGGTGCTGGTAGGGGGCTCAGTCCCTGTTGACCCCAGTGCTGTCTGATGTTACTCCCCAGGGGTGCTGATGTGGGAGATTTTCTCGGAGGGGAAGATGCCGTATGAGAACCGGCTGAACTCGGAGGTTGTCACTGAAATCGCCGCTGGGTTACGGCTGCTCAAACCCAGACTTGCCCTCGACTCCCTGTACAACATGATGGTGCAATGCTGGTGTGAGGTCAGAGCTGCACTTAGTCTCTCCCTGACTGTCTCCCGTCTCCGCCATCACCTCCCCCTTGGCACTGAGTCTCAAGTCTGATTGGTGGGGAGGGGGGTCACACACACACACACAGAGCAAGAGGGGCTGGGGTGGGGGCAGCAGATCTGTACAGCTACTCCTGGTTCAGTGTTGTGTACTTTCCCGCGGTCCATGTGGAAAATAACAAAAATAATTATTTCACTTCATGTTTTCTCCAGAAACCAGAAGATCGGCCATCGTTTTTCCAGCTTCAGGATGAACTGTGTGAGCTGTCAGAGTGCGGAGAGTGAGTTCCGGGAATGCCGGGCACCAGCAATGCCAGGCACTGCCCATAGCCGCGCAGCTGCTCTGAGTATTTTTGGACAGAAGTCGGGGGTTATTTATTGACGAGGAATTTGGTCACATTGGTCCTCGGCTGTGTTGACCAAATCACACAAACACGCACAGAGTCCAGCCGGGAACAAACAGTCACCTTCCCCAGGGAGGCGAGCACAGAGGGGATGCTGCTGATCTCAGCAATTGGGATTGGATAACTGAATTGATGGAGGATGAGAGAGAAGCGGGGATGGGGGGGGTATTTTACTCTGTGCCCCCCACCCCCGTTACACACAATTGTCTCCTCTGCTCCAACCATTGTTCTGAGGATTGGCTTAACCCTGTGAGTGCCAGAGACCACAGGAGCAGGTTTCTCTGACATTATCCCCACTTCCTACTTTATACAAATCTCAGGAGAGATCGGTCGTCAATCTCCAGACTTTCAGCTTCCCATTGTCCAAAAGGCTGACTGCATGGGTGAGCCGGAATGCTGCCAATGGGAATGATTGACAGTGACTGATATTTATTTAACATTGTGTTTGTATTTATTTAGTGGGTCGGGTTAGGATTAGTGTTAGGTTAGTTGGGTCAGGTTAGTGTTGCAGTGATGGCTGTTACTAAGATGAATGTTGCTCAGGACAGTGAGGCCGGACCTGGAACCATATCAAGGGTTCCGACTACACTCTGCACCAGTGCCACATGTGGACTTGCCGACACTGGGTGTAGAGCTGGGAACAGCTTTCAATACCCACCTGGTGCCAACCTGAGCTCAGCCCCACACACAGTGTCATGTGCTGTGCTGTAACTGTGTGTGCTGTTTACAGTTACTTTCTGTGTCTGTACGTGCGGTGGCGATGCTCCAACCTGACAGTGTCCCTCAGGAGCAAAACTAACGTCACTCACTGATGCCCATCTGAGGCCAACAGAAAAGGCAGAGAGTGAGGTGGGGACGGCACAGAGAGTGAGGTGGGGGCGGCACAGAGAGTGAGGAGGGGGTAGCGATACACACGGATTACAGTACCCACGGTCAGTGTCTGATCCCTTCCTGACCCTGAGGACTGTGACAGACTGTCAGAGCAGATGTGGTGGACGCGCACACTAACCTATTGGCTTCACTGGAGCCTCAGAGGGAAACAAAACTGTCTCTTACAGAGAGAGCATCCCACTTCCCAGCGTACTCAACGAAGCCCTGAAATTCCAACCAGCCTTAGCCTGTCAACATTAGCAATTATGGAAAGTATTACATTTATATGGAACACTAGATTTTGAGATACCAAACGGAATGTCTGACTGACTGGGTGAGATGTCAGTCAGGCCTTACTCAAACCCATTTCACAATACAGTGTTTTTATTGATCTTTAATACATTCTGTGCCCACTCTGTGTGTGAGTTAAACCTGATGAAAGCTCAGCCTTCACATGTGGGAGATCAGATCAGTGTTTTTGCATTGTCTTGTATATTGGTGTTATTGTAATATACATAAGAGAATAAACCACTAAGATTGTGTCACTAATTGCAGTCTGTGTCCCAGCGATCAGCACATTGACTGCCCAGTAACACTGCACAGTACTGGGCACATCAGCTCCCAGAGCTCTCATTGGGGAGAGAGGCTGGCAGTGAGGACGCACAAGGTCAGAGAGGGTGGTAGTGAGGACACACAGTTTCAGAGAGGCTGGCAGTGAGGACACACAGGGTCAGCTAAGAGTTTGCTCCAGAAACGTTATTCATTCCAAGATCCCGACATCTCTCAGCCACCGTGAGAATCCTTGGCTTTCACAGTTACTATCCCGGCACAGGTATCAGCTTTGTACTAGAGTCGCTGTACCCGCAGAACGCAAGCCACACTGTGTGGTGACTGAAGATTGTCTGTTAATATAATACAATAATATATCTCTGTATGATGTAGGTATCAGCCTTGCCCATGTGAAAGCACGCTCACTACGTTAGAAGAGAAGCTATTGGGGTATAAATGTCAATGATCATTTTGTGGTGCGGGATCAAGAAATTACGAGGAGTGGTCTGGGTCACTACCCTGCGTGGGGAGTACTATATAAATGCAAGTTGTTGTTGTCGGTTTGAGTCCCATGATGGAACTTGAAGCTCGGAGTCTAGGCTAATGCTCCAATAAAGTGCTGGGAGAGCTCCGTACTGGCAGAGACATCGTTCTTCAGATGAGACGTTAAACCGAGGTCCATCTGTGCCTGTTCATATGGCCGGTAAAGATCCCGCTGCGCTAGTGAAAAAGAAAATGAAGTCTCTCTCCCAGTGACATGGCTGACAATGCCCAGATAAAATTAATCACTCATTTCCTGGCTGCCACAATCACAACACTACAATAAAAATCCTGTGAAGTGCTTTGATGACATGACATGGTGTGATATCAAGTGCAAGAATTATTATCATAATTTGCTACCAATCTGAATGCAAATATTTTGCGCCATCAGACATATTGATTCCAATTTGCAGAGCAATAACCCAGTTTAGCTTTGATTATTGGGGTATATATAAATTGGTGTAAGATTGGATGTGTTTGTGTGAGATGCTGAGATGTACACTGGAAGGTTTGCGGGTTACTGACAGTAGCTCAGGTTGCGCAGAGCTTAGCTGTGGCTTTAAGGAAATACACTGCAGCCATTTTCTGTGTTAGTGGGAGAGGCAGACAGTGACTGAGGGACCACAGCATCTCTCAACCCAGAGACCTGCAGCTGCACCACAGCACTGCAGCGTTAGCCCAGCCCTGTGCTCAGAAAGGCAACCCAGCGTACACTGCATCTGCTGCGAACCTGGACACAAGTGAGTGTGTACATATACATATATATATCTATCTGTGTGTGAGTGTGTGTATATAGAGCGACAGAGAGACGTTTACAGTGTGAATTGCACCAAGTGAGCCCTGCCTGGCTGTCTGAGCAGGAAGCGTTATGCCGACAACAAACCCGCTTTATTAATTAAAATAAAACACCAGATAAAAGGAGAAGCATCGCTCGTTATAGCCGAACCTTTACATGTATTTCCTGTAATTAGTGCAATGTTTGAGAAGCCGTTCTCATTTCCCGCAGTTTATTCAGCAATTTCACGTGTCTGTTATTCTCTCTTTAAAAAAACACATCCAGGGGGTCGGGGGGAGGGTGTGGGTATATGGGCGGTGAGGGGGCTCTTTGTTTCTTCCCTGATCATCAGCACGAGTGTTTTCTTATTTTCAATGGATGTCTGCAGGTGGTGTGTGTGTGTGGGGGGGGACAGCTGGCTGTCACACTGACTGCCTCCCTTACAGACCAGCACAAAGCGCGTAGATGCATTTCAGTATCTCCCATTCTCAGCCTCGTTTCTTCCTGTAAATGTGTCGTGTGTGTATTTGGGGGCGCATATTAGGTGCAACATGCCCTCGTTTCTGGTTAGTGCCAGGCTTTGCTGGGTGTTGTGTGTCGGTGTTGTAGTTTTATCATTAATTCCATTCCTGTTCAATTGGTGCTGAGTCTGACAGCCACCCCTCCTCCCCAGAGGGCAACCCTCCCCGCCCTGCACCCCTCCTGATCCCAACCCCCAGCTCAGGTGCAAATCCCTAACTCCAGCGCCTTGGGACTTCCTCCCGGTGTGAAAGGCTCTGTGTAAATGTCATTTGCAGTAGTTGTTGTTGTTGTATTGCCCTTTCCCCTCCCTTGCTGACAGTACTCTGCTACAGTACATTACATTGGCTGGTGATAAACTGCAGTTCAGGCTGTGGGTGACTGCAGTCTATCACAAACCTCATTTATAATTGTTTAGCAGGCGCTTATTCAGTTAGATTTAGGTTAAATTTCAGGGCTGTAGTACTCACTGTTAGTTACATTGCTCAGGGTTTGTTTGCTGCTTTGCTCTGGGACACTGCAGACGTATGTGCATATGTGCGTGCATGTGTGTATGTGTGTGTGCGTGCATGCATGTGTGTGTGTTCCATGTTACAATTAATGGTTTCAGGGAAAAAGTAAATGCATGGGAGCAGAGGCTGTTTCTCCTCTGGATTTTCTGAGCAGAGTCAGGAACCATTACTGGGAGAACACATCAAAGCGCTTCACAGGATTCACTGTAAAGTGTAGTGACTGTGTGATTGTGGGTGAATGAGGCCAGCATCCAGCTGCTTATTATACTCAGAGCAAAGAAAGGTTTCCTGCCATCTGTCCTACACCTGCCCTGGGACACTGATTGGTGGAGACTGATTAGGGCTTGGGTTAGGATCTGCAAACCACAGCCATGTGGACAGCCTGCTGGCTCTGTGGTTACATTCTGGACTGGATCTGACATAAGAGGATTTCAGTACCTGAACAGACACAGAGACTCAACCATTGGGCTGATGACCTCCTGCTGTTCTAGGTGTTTCTCTGGGGTTTGAACCCCTAGGTTACCCTGGAGGTGAGAGTGAGAGCTGCATCGAGGCTCAGGTGGTGGCAGAAAGCTGAAGTGAAAGGGGAACAGCTTATTGTGTTTGACTGAGATAACCAGTGCGGCTATTTTGGTGTTTTTCTTCGTCTGAAATAAAAAGTGAATAATAACATTAATAATCATCATGACAATCCAATGCTATAATTGTGTCTCAGCCATGTTTGTGGTCTTGGCCACACTGTGTCCCTCAGTGATCTCACTGCACACAGCAGGTCAAACCCTGGACATTGCCCAATCACTTAGCCAGGCCAGACACTGTAACCCCGGGGTTAGTCAGGGGGAAAGTCAGCCAAGGTCCCTCTCTGATCACTGCCTCTTTACCCACCTTTCCCCCTCCCTCTACCGCTCCCTTTCCTGCTCCCCCTCCTCCACCAAAGTATTTTTGTACCAAGGTCTGTGTTGCCTGTTGTAATGGTGCTAACACGTGTGTGTGTGAGTGTCCCAATCATGCTCAGCACACGCCTCTTCACACAGTTGCTCAGCACCAGCGGAAGCGGGCTTCCTGTCTGCAGCATGAGAACTGCTCACTGCATCTGAGTGTAAGTGTGGTTCAGCCATCGCCCTAACCTTGGGGGAGAGAGGGGGGAGCAGAGACAGAGGAGCTGTGACCCTGTCTGTAAGCACCATCCTCACTGTTCCTGCGTGTGGAGATTGGGCTCATTCTCACTGGCTTGGCTGCCGTTTGGTGTCTGAGCAACGCCTGTTGTGACATACTCAGCAGATAGTCATCAGAGGTACTTTATTAAGAACTATTTTCAGGTAACTTCCCATTGCGGTGCTGTGTGCTGCTTGTCCTCAGCGCAGGCCCCTGGAGCACACACGGTGTCATTGAGGCCTGGGGAGGGTGCCCCACACCTCCCCCCAATTAGGGATCACCCGGGCATGGCTCCCCTCCCACGCCTCCCGCTGGGCAGTGCCACCGTTTCCACTCGCTACAGCTGCACGAGAGATGGATTAGATTGTCACTGAGCGGAACTGGTAAGCACAAGGAGTCTGGCTCAGTCAGGAACATTTCTGATCTGGGTTCTTGCTCCACATCAGGAGCTGACAAGCCAGAGTGACTCTCCAGCCTGTGGCTAGGGAGCAGGTGCAGATAAAGGTTTGCTTTGAGAAGAGATGTTAAACCAAGCTCCTGCCTTGTGCTTGTTCAAATAGACAGTAAATCCCGCAGCACTATTGGAAAAGAGAAGGGAGTTTCTCTCTCTCTTGGTGTCCTGGCCGACAATCCCCCAAACACAATCGGTCAGTCACTGGAAGGTCCTGTTTAGGGCTGTGCCACGTTTGCCTATAAAGACCGTTGGCTACGCTCACCAGACATTACCATACAATGTTTGTGGACAGTCCGTGTGAGGAAAGGTTTAAACTGTGGTTTTCTTCAAAGAATGTAGCTGTGAGCGAGCAGCTGCTGGACAGATGTGACGCAACTGTCAGTGTTGCCTAATTGCCTCTGTACAGATAGACAGAGAGGGAGAGGGTGACAGACTCCACACAGACAATGGCTACAGCACTGCCCCTCTCTGTGCCCCTCCCTTGGGGTGTCCCACCCCTCGTGGTGCCCCCCCACCCCCGCCCTCATGGTCTGGCTGTGTTACAGGTACCTGTGAGCGCTGCCGCTGTTAATGCTGTTGCTGTTGACGGGAAGATGACGACGCATGTGACGCTGGAGGACGCTCTGTCCAACGTGGACCTTCTGGAGGAGCTGCCGCTGCCCGACCAGCAGCCATGTATCGAGCCCCCACCCTCCTCCATCATGTACCAGGTACTGCCCATCCCCAGCCCCACCCACTTCTCCCCAGCCTCTACCCCTGCTCTGCCCACCCTCCTCCATCATGTACCAGGTACTGCCCATCCCCAGCCTCCCGCTCCGCCCACCCTCCTCCATCATGTACCAGGTACTGCCCATCCCCAGCCTCTCCCCCCGCTCCGCCCACCCTCCTCCATCATGTACCAGGTACTGCCCATCCCCAGCCTCCCCCCCCCCCCCGCTCCGCCTACGCTCTCCATCATGTACCCGGTACCTGAACCACCGTTGTGGCTCCGCAGTGAGAACGCGGACGCTGTCAGTCAGACTGTACCTGGTGGGGAGGAGGCGGGTGTTTATTGATGATGTTTCCTGGTCTCACCGCTCACCACAGGGAGAGACTTGGGGGATGGAACCATTTGGGTTTTTCTCCCCCCTGACCCTGTCCCCTCTCCCCTCTCCCACAGGCCAACTTTGACACTAACTTTGAGGATCGCAACGCGTTTGTCACTGGGATCGCAAGGTATATCGAGCAGGCAACAGTGCACTCCAGCATGGTAAGCCAGGGGGGCGGGGGTGGATGGGGGGACACGGGAGGGGGGTGCACTGGGGGACGACAGCACGGGGGGGTTGCACGGCTGGGGGGGCCTGGTGCGGTGGGGGGGTCAGGGGCCCCGGTCACCATGTGTGTGTGTGTGTGTCACAGAACGAGATGCTGGAGGAAGGACATGAGTACGCAGTCATGCTCTACACCTGGAGGAGCTGCTCTCGAGCCATCCCACAGGTAACATGTTCCCAGCTCTCTGTTTGTCTCTCTGTGTCTCTCTATGTGTGTGTGTCTGTGTCTCTGTCTCTTTCTCTCTGTCTCTCTCTGTCTCTCTCTCTTTGTGTGTGTCTCTCTCTCTGTCTCTTTCTCTCTGTCTCTCTCACACACCAGTGCCGAGTGGGTTGAGGTGAGTGTGATGAGGGCAGTGTCACTGGGTAAGAGGGAGCTGCCTCTGCTCCCCACCTCACACACAATCCTGTCCTCACTCCGCAGGTAAAGTGCAATGAACAGCCGAACAGGGTGGAAATTTACGAGAAGACAGTGGAGGTGCTGGAGCCCGAGGTCAATAAACTGATGAAGTTCATGTATTTCCAGGTGAGACTCAATCCCCACTGGAGCTCTCTACTCCAACCCCATTCCCTGCTCTCTCCCCCCATCGTGTCTGTGCTGGGGCTCGTTCCCCACTGGAGCTCTCTATTCTAACCCATTCCCTGATGTAACACCTCAGATAGTTGGTGTAAGATTGTGTTGTTGTGTTAACCCTTTGTATCCCGCCGCAGCGGAAGGCCATTGAGCGGTTCTGTGGTGAGGTGAAGCGGCTGTGTCATGCTGAACGGCGTAAGGACTTTGTGTCGGAGGCATATCTGCTGACGCTCGGCAAGTTCATCAACATGTTCGCTGTCCTGGACGAGCTGAAGAACATGAAATGCAGTGTCAAGAATGATCACTCTGCATACAAGAGGTGAGCAAGAGTCTGACTCCAGGCCTGAGCAACAGCACCCTGACCCCAGGCCTGAGCGACCCCTGATCCCAGGCCTAAGTGACCCCTGATGCCCAACCTGAATGACCCCTGACCCTAGGCCTGAGCAGGCCAAATGGTCAGTGACAGTTGCTGCTTACTAACAGGATGAACACCAAGTGTGAGTGTGGACGTGTGGAGCTACTGGTATCTGGGTGACAGGCAGTGGCGGACAGGCAGTGACGGACAGGCAGTGGTGGGACAGGCAGTGGTGGGACAGGCAGTGGTGGGACAGGCATTGGTGGGACAGGCATTGGTGGGACAGGCAGTGATGGACAGGTAGTGACAGACACTCTGTTCACAGAGCTGCCCAGTTCTTAAGGAAAATGGCGGATCCCCAATCCATTCAGGAATCACAGAACCTCTCCATGTTCCTGGCAAATCACAACCGCATCACTCAGGTAACCTCCGCAACACCATTCCCAGACTTTACCATGTGGGTTATGGGAAATGTGGAATAATGACATGTGTGTGTTCGTATGATAGTTTGAGTGTGTGTTGGTGATGCTGTGTGTGTTTGTGATGCTGTGTGTGTGTGTGTGTTTGTGATGCTGTGTGTGTGTGTGTGTGTGTTGGGGTTACTGTGTTGAGGTGACACTGTGATTGCCGTGTCGCAGTGTCTACACCAGCAGTTGGAGGTGATCCCAGGCTATGAGGAGCTGCTGGCTGACATTGTAAATATCTGTGTGGATTATTACGAGAACAAAATGTACCTGACGCCCAGCGAGAAGCACATGCTATTAAAGGTCAGTGGTGTACACACCCCATATATACACCAAACACAGATACACACACACCATATACACACACACCATATACACACACACCATATACATACACACACACAATACACGCACGCACCATATACACATACACACCATATACACACACATACATACATACACCATATACACACACACACACACCATACAGACACGCACCATATATTTACACACCATATACATACATACACCATATATACATACACATGCACACTCCATACACATACACGCACCATATACTTACACACGCACCATATAAATACACACACACATACATATACACATACACCATATTCATATACACACACACCATATAGACACACGCTGTATATACACACACTACAAATACACACACTGTATATACACACACACTGTGCTGCCTGTAGCTGTGTGTCTATGTTGTCTGCAGCTATGTGTCTATGCTGCCTATAGCAGTGTGTATGTCGCTATAGCTGTGTGTCTGTGTTGCCAGGTGATGGGCTTTGGCCTGTACCTGATGGACGGGAACGTCAGTAACATATACAAGCTGGACGCCAAGAGGAGGATTAACCTGAGCAAGATCGACAAGTTCTTCCGGGTAAGAACTTCAAGATCCTCACACTTGCGTACAAATCCCTCCTGGCACCTCCCTATCTCTCCGACCTCATCACTCCCCAATCTACCTCCTGGCCCCTCCACTCAACTGGCACCGGCTCCTGCTTGTCCCTCGCACCCTCCGCCCCACCGTTGGAAGTCATGCTCCGCCACTATTAACTGCTCTGAAATGCTACCCTGCGTGGAGTGCACTGTATAAGTGAAAGTTCTTGTTGTAAGAAGTCATGGTCAGCATTTCTCTCTGTCTGGTTGTCGTCTCTCTCTCTTTCACTCACTCACACTGTCTCTCTCTGTGTCACTGTGTATGTGTTGGTCACACTGTCTCCCTGACTCTCTCTGTGTCATGTTCTCACTCTCACACTCTCTCACACTCCCTCACTCACACTGTCTCTCTGTGTGATCACAGCAGCTGCAGGTGGTGCCACTGTTTGGAGACATGCAGATTGAGTTGGCCAGATACATTGAGACCAGCGCTCACTATGAGGAGAACAAGTCTAAGTGAGTATGGAAATAGATACTGGAAATGTGGCTGGGACAGGAGAGGGTGGGGGGTGGGGGGCTGCAGCGGCAGGAGCATGGAAAGCGAGGTTGGGGGTGGGTTGAGGGGTTGGGGTAGGGAGTGGGAGGGTCCTTGGTAAGGGAGGGGTGGGGGAGGTGGCGGGGGGCTGGGGAGTGGTCAGGGGGCGCTGAACAATCAGATCCTCAGTTCTGCTCTCGGGGGAAGCTCCTCCTCCCTCATCTACAGGCAACTCAACTCCAAGTGTGACTGAATGTGACTGTGAGTATGAGCGGGTGCGTCCTGGTTGTGTGTGAGTGGGTGTCTTTAAGTGTGAGCGGGTGTGTGTAAGTATGAGTATGTGTGTAAGTATGAGTATGTGTGTGTGAGTGGTTGTGTGTGAGCGTGTGTGTGAGCAGTGTTTGTAAGTGTGAGCGGGTGTTTGTAAGTGTGAGTGTGAGTGAGCTGACAGTCTCTCTGTGTGGCAGGTGGACATGCACACAGACCAGTGTCAGCCCCCAGTACAACATCTGTGAGCAGATGGTCCAGATCCGGGACGATCACATTCGCTTCATCTCAGAGCTGGCTCGTTACAGTAACAGCGAGGTGAGGGTTACAGGAACAGTGAGGTGAGCTGCCAGGCTGACACTGGCTGTTGTGTGTCAGGCTGACACTGGCTGTTGTGTGTCAGGCTGACACTGGCTGTTGTGTGTCAGGCTGACACTGGCTGTTGTGTGTCAGGCTGACACTGGCTGTTGTGTGCAGGTTGTGACGGGCTCAGGGCTGGACAGCCAGAAGTCGGATGAGGAATACCGGGAGCTGTTTGACCTGGCGTTACGAGGGCTGCAGCTGCTGTCAAAGTGGAGCACACATGTGATGGAAGTGGTGAGAACAGAGCGTCCGTCCCTCATATTGGTCATTACACTCTGTGTGTGGGTATTTGTGTGTTTGTGGGTCTCTGTGTCAGTGTGTATGTGTGGGCTGAGCTGTGAGTGGGGTCTGTGTCCTCCGTGTGTGTGGGTCTCTGTGTCAGTGTGTGTGGGGGGGGGGGTGGTCTGTGTCCTCAGTATGTGTGGGTCTCTGTGTCAGTGTGTATGGGGGGGGGGGGGTCTCTGTCTCAGTGTATGTAGGGGTCTGTGTCTCAGTGTGTGTGTGGGTCTGTGTCCTCAGTACTCCTGGAAGCTGGTTCATCCGACAGACAAGTTCTGTAACAAGGAATGCCCAGGCACGGCAGAGGAGTATGAACGAGCCACTCGCTACAACTACACGAGTGAGGAGAAGTTTGCTCTGGTGGAGGTGAGTGAGATGGACCTTCAACACATGGAGCCACGGAGAGAGACCAGCGCTCACACTTGCTGAATCTCTGTCACTGATTATCATGTGATAATGCCAGTAATGCCGTGATTATAGAAACACAGCGGGCTGGGAACACGGCTGGTGCAGGAATGTGACCAATTTACTATTACCAAAGAGTGAAACACAGCGAGGATATGAAACAGTAATGCAGCAGCTCAGGAGGGGAGTGAGAGCAGTAATGCAATTATGCAGCAATATGCGAATGCAGCTGATGATGTGTCTGTGACCCGTGGCCTCTCCCTGCAGGTGATTGCGATGATTAAGGGGCTGCAGGTGCTGATGGGGCGGATGGAGAGTGTCTTTAACCAAGCGATTCGCAACACTATCTACGCGGCTCTGCAGGACTTTGCTCAGGTCACACTGCGGGAGCCCCTGCGCCAAGCAACTCGCAAAAAGAAAAACGTGCTGATCAGGTACTGAGGAGCTGCTGCTCTGATGGTCAGTCTCTGGGCTTCAAGTCTGTCCCAACTTGACACTGAAGCTGCTGTCATACACTGACTGGCCACTAGGTGTCCCCACTGACATTCAACTGCAGACTCGGCCCAGAAAATAGTCATGTTTATTGCTCCTTCTGAGGGCCTGGTGGCCAGTCAGTGTATTACAGTAGGTGTAATGGGAACCTGCCGCCTGGTGGCCAGTCAGTGCATTACAGTAGGTGTAATGGGAACCTGCCGCCTGGTGGCCAGTCAGTGTATTACACGTTCAGTATGAGCATAGTTTTCAGGAAAACCATCAAATTTACCCCAGAGAAATTTTTAGCACAAAAGTAGATCATTCCTCTCATTTATTTGAATTTCAAATAATCCACTTTCCAGCTCTTTCTCACATGATAGTCAAAAACAATCTTTAAATCTGATTTAACACTTTTCCCATCAGGTAGATGTGTCAAAGTGCTTCACAGGATTTACTGTAAAGTGCGTGAGTGTGTTTTGTAGTTGATAATGTTTTACTGCTCAGTTCCTTTTCAATTTCCTTTCTGAATTATACCATTGGCCTCAACATCAGAATTGTGATGAGGTTTGGTAACCAGCCAATGTGTTGTTGTGTCTCCTCAGTGTGTTGCAGGCCATCAGGAAGACTATCTGTGACTGGGAGAGCGCCCGCGAGCCACCAAATGACCCCTGTCTGAGGGGAGAGAAAGACCCCAAAGGTGGCTTCGACATTAAGGTGCCCCGTCGTGCGGTTGGACCGTCCAGCACTCAGGTTTGAATCAATTGTTCTCTGTGTTCATGTCTTACTGGGAGACATATGCCTAGTCTCCTCCCAGCCTCCATGCCTCACCCCTCAGCTTGAGCCTCAGTGCCCGATGGGGGAAGAGCTCCCGCCCACAGCTCAGGCTCTTGCTGGATATTGGGTGATGATGGGATTGTGGCAGCGATGCCCATTGCTGTGTGTGTGTGGTGTATGCGTGTTGTAGGGTGTGTGTGCTTGTTGTGTGTGTGTTTGTTGTGGGTGTGTGTGTAAAGCTGCTCCTCTCCGCAGCTCTACATGGTGCGCACAATGCTGGAGTCGCTCATTGCTGATAAAAGTGGCTCCAAGAAAACCCTCCGCAGCAGCCTGGATGGTCCCATCGTCACTGCCATTGAGGACTTCCACAAGCAATCCTTCTTCTACACTCACCTCCTCAATGTGAGCGGTGAGTGAGCAGATCGCTCGAGCCCCTAGCCAGCCTCCCCTCCCTCAGTATCTACAGCTGGGCAGCACACACCAGCCTGGGGAGAGGTGTGGGATCTTGGCTGGCCCTGGCTTGTTGTGTTAGAGTCCCTTCAGCATTGCTGTGGCCTCTCACTGGCTGGCGCTGGCTGTGCGTCACTGGCTGGCGCTGGCTGTGCGTCACTGGCTGGCGCTGGCTGTGTGTCACTGGCTGGCAGTGGCCGTGTATGTCACTGGCTGGCAGTGGCCGTGTGTGTCACTGGCTGACCCTGGCTTGTTGTGTTACAGAATCCCTCCAGCATTGCTGTGATCTCTCACAGTTGTGGTTCCGTGAGTTTTTCCTGGAGCTGACGATGGGCCGCAGGATCCAGTTCCCCATCGAGATGTCGATGCCATGGATCCTCACTGACCACATCCTGGAGACCAAGGAACCATCCATGATGGAGTAATTAACCTCCTCTCCTGGCGTTGGCCCCTCCTCCCAATGCCCCTCATGCTGATGCAGCCCCTCCCCTCTGTTGCCCCTTCACCCCCCACCCTCCTACTCGCTGCCGCTCCCCCGACTTCGCTCTGTCTAAATGCCAAATAAAGACAATTTAGCAATCTTCCATAATTCTGCACCATCTAAACTTTAAGGCAAACGGTGATGGGCTTAGACTGGGTGTGACTGTGATGGGCTGGTGCACCCTGGCTGAGGATGTGTTAACGCTGAGTTAATGAGGTGGGGGTTATTAGCTGTGTTTGTGCAAGGCAGACATGGGGCTCTCTCATTTGCTCGCTAACACACCAACACTGTGATTCCCCGTGTGCAGGTACGTGCTGTATCCCCTGGACCTGTACAACGACAGTGCGTACTACGCTCTGACAAAGTTCAAGAAACAATTCCTGTACGACGAGATTGAGGCTGAGGTACGTGGGGACCCAATGGGGGGAGGGGGTCTACCCTGGGGGGCTGTGGGGCAGCTCTTTTGTCTGACCTCCTGTTTCTCCGCAGGTCAATCTCTGCTTTGATCAGTTTGTCTATAAATTGGCCGATCAGATTTTTGCTTATTACAAGGCTATGGCCGGCAGGTAAGATGGGGCGGGGGCAGAGGGTGGGGGCAGAGGGTGGGGTGGGGCAGAGGGCGGAGGTGGCTGGGGGACACCAGCATTAATTCTTGTGATTTTCTTTGAAGTGTTTTACTGGACAAACGTTTCCGAGCAGAGTGTAAGAACTATGGAGTGATCATTCCGTACCCACCATCTAACAGATATGAGACATTACTGAAACAGAGACACGTGCAGGTAATACTTCTGGCCCCCTCTCCCTCCCTATGTCAGTGACACTCCTGGTGCCTGGCTGTGTTAGTGACACTCCTGGTGCCTGGCTTTGCTCTTTATGCTTGTTGTTTGACGTGTGGATGTCCTCCTGATGTGAAAGGCACTTTAGAAATGTAATTTTGTTGTTGTTGTTGTTTCCAGCTGTTGGGGAGATCGATTGACCTGAACCGCCTGATCACACAGCGTATCTCCGCGGCCATGTACAAGTCACTGGATCAGGCCATCAGCAGGTTTGAGAGCGAGGACCTCACCTCTGTCGTGGTAAGCAGACTAGCTTGCCAACTAACCAAAAAACTGACAGCCACTACGCCCCGGGGGAGAGGGTGGGGTGGGGGGGGGAGAGAGGGGCCTGTGTGCGAGGAGATGGGGGTGGAGCGGGGGGGATGGTGACGGAGCTGTGAGTCCCCAGCCTCTCTCTTCCCCCCCCCCTTTGCTGTACAGGAGCTGGAGTGGCTGCTGGATGTGAACCGCCTGACCCACCGGCTGCTGTTCAAACACATGACACTGGACAGCTTTGATGCCATGTTCCGCGAGGCGAACCACAACGTGTCTGCCCCCTATGGCCGGATCACGCTGCACGTCTTCTGGGAGCTCAACTTCGATTTCCTGCCCAACTACTGCTACAACGGCTCCACCAACAGGTGTGCGCGGGCGGGGTTGGCCAGAGGAGAGGGAGGGGGCGGTTGGGGGCTTGGTGCTGCTTTGATTGTTTGGCCGCAGTGTGTAACAGGAGGGTTGTGTTCACCATAAACAAGCGGTTTGTGTCTCGCTGCAGGTTTGTGCGCACGGCTATTCCCTTCACGCAGGAGCCACAGAGAGACAAGCCGGCCAACGTGCAGCCATATTACCTGTACGGCTCCAAGGTCAGTATGTGCCGGTGTCAGTGTTAGTCACAGCCCCGGTCACTAACCTCCCGTATCCTCTGATCTGTGACCTCCGCCTGTCTTACAGCCGCTGAACATTGCCTTCACCCACATCTACAGTGTTTACCGTAACTTTGTGGGGCCCCCCCACTTCAAAACTGTGTGCCGACTGCTTGGCTACCAGGGCATCGCAGTGGTGATGGAGGAGCTGCTCAAGATCGTCAAAAGCCTGGTAACGAGGGTGGGGGGGGAGTGATTGAGTTATTGGGTGGTTACACACTGGGCTGGGGGTTGGGGGCTGGGGGCTGGAGGTGGGGGGCGAGGCGGGGGCTTGGGTGGGGGATGGAGGCTGGGGCTGGAGGTGGGGGGCGAGGCGGGGGCTTGGGTGGGGGATGGAGGCTGGGGCTGGAGGTGGGGGGCGAGGCGGGGGCTGGGCACTGGGGGCTGAGGGCTGGGCCCTGAGGCCTGAGCTGATGTCTCCTGTTTTCTCTCCAGCTACAGGGAACCATCCTGCAGTACGTGAAGACTCTGATCGAGGTGATGCCCAAGATCTGTCGCCTCCCGAGGCATGAATACGGGTCCCCAGGTCAGTCCCCAACTGAGACAGAGAGAGAGACACACAGCGTGTGTGCTGTTCCCCCGCTGTGCCCCCCCTGCCCCCCGGGTCCTCATTGCCGTGTGTTACAGGGATCCTGGAATTCTTCCATCACCAGCTGAAGGACATCATTGAGTACGCAGAGCTGAAGACGGACGTATTCCAGAGTCTACGTGAGGTGGGCAACGCCATCCTCTTCTGTCTGCTCATTGAACAGGCACTGGTGAGCCCCACCTCTCACCTCATACACACACTTACACACAAACACGGGCACTCACACTAACAAACACGGGCACTCACACTAACAAACACGGGCACCCACACTGACAAACACAGGCACTCACACTGACAAACACGGGCACTCACACTTACACACACAAACACGGGCACTCACACTTACACACACAAACAGGGGCACTCACACTTACACACACAAACACGGGCACTCACACCTACACATGCTGTGCATTGGCCGATGGCGTCACTGTTGCCCTTTGTGTTACAGTCTCAGGAGGAGGTGTGTGACCTGCTGCACGCGGCCCCATTCCAGAACATTCTGCCGCGTGTCTTCATCAAAGGTAAATGAGCTCACACCCACACCCCAGCGCTCACACCCACACACCGGCTCTCACACCCACACACCGGCTCTCACACCCACACACCAGCGCTCACACCCACACACCGGCGCTCACACCCACACACCGGCGCTCACACCCACACACCGGCGCTCACACCCACACACCGGCGTTCACACCCACACACCAGCTCTCACACCCACACACCAGCGCCCACCCACACACCAGCATACACACCAACCACTGCTCACACCCACTCACCAGTGCTCACACCCACACACCAGGGCTCACACTCATACCAGTGCTCACAGCCATTGACCAGCACTCGCACCCACTCACCAGCGCTCACACACACACCAGTGATCACACTCAGAAACACCAGGCGCTCACACCCACATACCATCGCTCACACCAACCAGCGCTCACACCCACGCACCAGCGCTAACACCAACCAGCACTCACATGCGCACACCAGCACCCACACACATACACCATCGCTCACATCCACACCAGCGCTCACACCCACAGGCCAGCGCTCACATCCACACACCAGTATGATGGTAACGGTTGTGCTCCGTGTGCTGATGCAGAGGGCGAGAGACTGGAGGTGAGGATGAAAAGACTGGAAGCCAAGTATGCTCCCCTCCACCTGGTGCCACTCATCGAGAGGCTGGGAACAGCACAGGTAACAACAGCACCAAACCTACACTGTGCCAGCCTTGTCCCTGGCCAGGCACCCTGTAAATGCCACACATCCTGATAGTGCCAATGACACACACTCTGATAGTGACAGCGTCACACAAACTGAGGGGAAGTTCCGTGTTCTTACCCTTGTGTTGGGGGGTCTCTGTTCTCATCCACAGCAAATCGCAATTGCCCGGGAAGGAGACCTACTGACAAAGGAGCGACTGTGCTGTGGGCTGTCCATGTTCGAGGTGATTCTGACGCGGGTGCGGAACTATCTTGCTGACGCTGTGTGGAAGGGACCGCCTGCCAGCAACGGGGTGATGCATGTGGACGAGTGTGTGGAGTTCCACCGGCTCTGGAGCGCGATGCAGTTCGTCTACTGTATCCCCGTGGGCACCAACGAGTTCACCGCAGAGTGAGTATCTCCCACCCCCAGCCTTTTGGCTAGGGTCTAGTGTCGTGTCTGTTCATGTCAGTTCCTCCTTGAGCTAAAGCAAAGCTGGGAACGTCCATCTTCTGTTGTAATTGGCTTGTGTTGGTTACATGAACCAATCTCAGCCCAGAGTGGGGAACATGGGCAGGCGAGCCCCAGGCCCCAGACCTGGCCCACAGGGAGTCCTGGCAATCCCGGGGGCTCTTTCGGAATCACACCCACATACCAGCGCTCACACCCAGCTGACCAAAAAAAAAATCTCTCTCACTGCTGTCTTTCTTTCTCTCTTTCTGCTCTGTCTCTGACTCTCTCTCTCTTGACAGGCAGTGTTTCGGGGACGGCCTGAGCTGGGCGGGCTGCTCCATCATCGTGCTCCTCGGGCAGCAGCGTCGCTTTGACCTGTTTGATTTCTGTTACCATCTGCTGAAGGTGCAGCGTCAGGATGGCAAGGACGAGATCATAAAGAACGTGGTATGTGTGTGTGTGTGTGTGTGCGCGCGCGTGTGCTTGCGTGCACTTCCCCATCTCTCCACCGGGGGAGCCAGAGCCTGGGGTCACCCACATGGTGACCACCTGTTTGATAATAATAATAATCCTTGCATTTGGTATAGTGCCTTATCAAGCGCTCTGGGACGCCACCCTGCGTGAGAGGCGCTCTATAAATGCAAGTTGTTGTTGTTTTATCACGTCTTCGAGACATCACAAAGCACTTCACAGAATATACTGTTATAATAATAATCGTTGCATTTGATATAGCGCCTATTAGGTGTTCAACATTCCTCAAAGCCCATCACAGAATATACTGTACTGTTAATTGACTGTATATTTTGTAGGTGAAACACAGCAGCCAATTACGCACAGCAGCGTCCCACAAACAGTTGTGGATTGATTGACCACATCTGATGGCTCTTTATTTCCACAGCCCCTGAAGAAGATGGCGGACAGGATCAGGAAGTATCAGATCCTGAACAATGAGATCTTCGCGATGCTGAACAAGTACCTGAAATCCGTGGAGAATGACAGCTCCACTGTGGAGCATGTGCGCTGCTTCCAGCCGCCCATCCACCAGTCGCTGGCCACCACCTGCTAGCCCTCCCCCACCCAACAGCCCCCTCACCCGCGGCTAACGGCGTCTCTCACATTCCCTGTGGACCGCCCAGTGCTGCTGCTTAGCTCATTTGATGGCCAGTCGTGGCTTTGGTTTCAGTCGGTTATGTGTGTCATGGTGTAACTGACCCCCATCACAATCGGCTTCAGGAGGAGAGTTCTGGAAAGTTCCACCACTGTAGGCCATAGGTCCAGACATTCTCCTCCGCCATCTCCAATGGGCGGGCTGCTCCTGTTTGATTTCTGTTGCCATCACATGAGTGAGCTCAAACCTGACCTCTGCATCAGCGGCCATTGATGGTGATCACCCTCTGCCTCCATCTTACTCTGACCTGCAGCGGGCATCCCCGCCAATCGGGGAGTGAGGGAGGGTCCAAGCCGGGGTCTGGGCTGGGTGCCCTGCACTAGAGGTCTAACTGTGGAGTCCTGTCTGTGGGGGGGAGGGGGTTGGAGGCTGATTCACTGGGGAATGGGAGAGTTGTTTGATGAGGCAATGGATTGAGGTGAACAAGAGAGAAGCTGTGGAATTCCTGTTTTATTTATTGTTTACTCTGTGACTAGCCAGAGGGTCATATTCCTGTGTTGTTCTGATTCCTCAGCCCGACAGTCTGCGGTTTGATTAAAGATATTTGTAAACTTCGGCTCCGGCCAGTGACCTGTGTCCCTCTCTCTCTATTCTCACTCTCTCTCACTCTATGTTCCTCTCTCAGTGTTCTTTCTCATTCTCTCTCTGTTTTCTCTCTCTCTGCCCAGCACTTTGCCATTTACACTGTGAGAATGTTTGAGACGTGTAATGTTGTGTTACTTGTGACGTTGTGTGTGCTACTTTGCTGAAGAGAAAGTTTATTAGTGGAACTAGTTTCTTAATGTTGTGGTGAATTATAACTTTTTAATATAAATTATTCTTTATTTGAGCTGTGTCCAGATTCGGGCTTGTTGTGTGTAGTTGACCTGCTTGCAGACCCTGGGACCAGAGATGTCCTCCTCCCTTCTCACTCTCCTCACCGCACTGCGCCTCGCTCACCCAGAAACTCCAACACACCCTAGATCATTAAACCCGATCAGAATCCTGCACTGGCCAGGCAGCAGGATGAGCCAGTGATCCTCAATGCCTAGTTTGGGAGGAGAAACCGGGCAGGAAAGGATCCCCTCCCACCACCAACCCCCACTAGCTTGTGTCTCTCACACAAACACTCACACTCACGTACAACACATACACACACAGAGAAGCTATTATTCACACAGGAATGTGGGATGATTTGAGGCAATTTAAACCAGTTTTACCAGCAGAGCCTGAATTCCAGGCACAGACTGAGGGTTTATTGAGGAAAAACCTGTGTATTATCAGGGCCGTGTGGCATCCTGTTGCCAGTTTCACTGCAGACTGACTGACTGTCCCCCTGAGTGACACTCGCTGGAAGCCAGTGCTCTGGTTTTCTGGCCCACGGGACAAGGACAATGGAACAGTTGAGAGCACAAAACTGACTGTACATGAAGTGGATGTACAACAATTGGAGAAATGTGTTAGGATCACGGCTTTTCTCCATTTATATCAATGATCTGGATTCTGGGATAAAGGGAACAATTTCTAACTTTGCTGATGACACAACAATTGGGGGAAATGTAGGCAATGGGGAATAAGATTGTGAGTGATGTCAGGGGCACACGGACAGGGTGAGCAGAGAGATGGCAGGTACAATCTAATGTGGGCAAGTGTGAGTTTAGTAGTTTTGTGGTAAACACATTTACACAGCTCAGACACTTGCGCTCAGTCCCTGCCCCCCAATGAGTGAGGGAGACAGAAAGCAGCTGGAGCTCCTGCTCCTGATCGCTGTACCAGCTGGAAGCTGTGTGAGGACATGATTGGGCCGCGGGTGGGCTGGCGGTCACTTGGGGCGAATGCGGAGCCTCTCGTGACAGTGTTCTCTGTGTTAGTCAGCATTGTGCTCTCATCATCATCATAAGTCAGTGGTGAGGGGGAGACGGAGAGAGAGGAGAGAAGTGAAGGGAGGAGGGGAGGGGAAGGGAGCAGTGAGGAGAGGGGAGGTGGGAGGGAAATTACTGCAAGAAATAAATGTACTCATTTGGGACGAAAATTATTTGCCGCTGAACAGGAACAGGTTGTATCAGGTGAGGTGCCTGCTGCCACCCAAGGGAAGGGAATGTTAATGGATGACCTCCTCCCATCCCCCTACCCATCATTCCAGAAGAATGTGGTGTCACTGGTGAGGGAGGGGGTGAGGCAGGGACGGCTGATGATGAAATGTCTGGCAGAGCGAGACACAGGACGTGACGTCATCTCACCCACGCAGGGCGCTGGGGACGGCACCAGTAACAACTGGCATTTATATTGCGCCCCTCATGCAGGGTAGCATCCCAGGGCGCCAGGCAGTGCTGATGGCATGATGCTCAGTAAGATCGCCATTCAGCTAATTCAGCAAACACAGTCACTTTACTTTACAGAATATCCTGTGAAGCACTTTTGAGGCATCTCAAAGACGTGATAAGGCGCTATATCAAATATGAGGATCATTATTATTATTATCAAATGCTGCACAGAGAGAGCGTGGAGAGTGTGAATGGTCCTGTGTAAGGGGTTACCCTGGGGGAGGGGCGCTATGTGAGATGCACTGCCCTGTGTGCGGATGTGCAGGTCCCATAAAGGGGTGGGTGTAGCTTCAAGAGGCGGCTGGGTTTCAGGGCGGGTCAGTGTGGCTCAGGTGAGACACACACATACCTGGGACAGCAGCGCCGAGCACAGCACAGCGCCACCGCCTGTGTAATGTTTCATTGAACCTGTTGCTCTCACACCCCCAGGTCAGGACCATGGAGGCTGCTGTGCGGGGCAACGGCAGCTGTGCCCAAGGTGAGGGTCTCACACAGTGAGCTTTGGGAGTGTGTCCAGCGCGGGGCTGAGCTGAGCTGCTCTAAACCGCTCACATTGGGGTTCGCTCCCTGCCTTCTCCCTCTTACTCCCCCCCTCTCCCTGTCTCTGTCCCTGCCTTCTCCCTCTCACTCCCTCCCTGTCCCTGCCTTCTCCCTCTCACTCCCTCCCTCTGTTCCTGCCTTCTCCCTCTCCCTCTCCCTCTCTCCCTGTCCCTGCCTTCTCCCTCTCACTCCCTCCCTGTCCCTGCAATCTCCCTCTCACTCCCTCCCTCTCTCTGTCCCTGCCTTCTCCCTCTCCCTCCCTCCCTCTCTCTGTCCTCTGACTCTGCCTTCTCCCTCTCACTCCCTCCCTGTCCCTGCCTTCTCCCTCCCTCCCTCTGTCTCTGTCCCTGCCTTCTCCCTCTCACTCCCTCTCTGTCTCTGTTGCTGCCTTCTCTCTCTCTCTCTCTAAGACGAAACTGTCGAGTTTTATTGACAAACCGCGAGCTGCCAGCCTCTGGGACCCGGGGACTCGGCTCTGGGTAAAGCACATCATCCTAACATGGCAGTGATTGGCATCCAGTGTGTGTGTGTGTGTGTGTGAGAGAGAGAGAGGGGGGGGGGGGGGCATTTTTCACAGAATGAATCGCTCCATTACGTGTGACAAGTTACAGAAATGTTATTAATCACATCAGCTGTGATTGAGGCTGAGCTCTGGGGGTCAGAGATTCACAGTGAGGTCCAGGCTGGGACGTGGGGAGCCAGGACTGGAGTTCAGTTGGAATGTGGAGCAGCAGGAACCACATGGGCCCCAATGTGTACAGTACACACTATACCTTAAGTCATATAGTCATAAACCTTATGGTATAGTCACTAACCCTCACTTTACAACTCTCAATTCTCTTCATTGTATTGTTTGTGAAAGGTGTTAATTATCCGTCTGATTCAGGAAGATGGGGAGGGAATCATTTCATCCAAACAGCCTTCAGGAGTAGGATCTCTGGCTTTGTGTTTGCACTGATGTAACATCTGACATTCCTCCAGGGTAATAATAATAAATAATAATCCTTGCATTTGATATAGCGCTTTTCACGTCGGGAGGACGTCCCAAAGCGCTTCACAGAATAGACTGTAAAGTGAATTAACTGTATATTTGTGGGCGAACGCGGCAGCGAATTGCGCAAAGCAATGTCCCAAAAACAGTCGTAGATTGAAAATGACCAATTTATTATTGTTTTTGTTTTTTTGGAGGGACTATTATTAGGCTCTGTGTGGAGTAAGGAAACTTGCCCAAGGTTTCGCCCTCTGCCTGGAATTGAACTCACGTCTCTCACTTGCAAAGCGAGTGCTCTAACCACTGAGCTACAGGACTCCATGAGCTACAGGGTAAAGGTTATTCATTCCTGGCTACATGCACAATGGCTACCGACAAAAACAGTCACTTCACTTGATCTTCCTATGAAGCGTGCTTGATAGTTGCGATGATTCTTGATGAGAATTTACTTCTTTCTCCTGAAAGGTTTAATCTCGGAACAGAATTTGCTGAACGATTTCACAAACATCAGTGACCTGCAAACACTCTGCAATTTCAAAGTCAAGGTTGTTTTTGTAAATCTGAGGCTATTGATTTGTGGCTTGGGGCCGGGCTGCTGTGGGCTCTGGCTGTAACTGAGGGCTGATGTCCTGTGCCCTTGGCTGGTCACATTTTCATCTGGTTACTTTGCCAATATTGGGAAACCCATCAATTTGAAAGGAAATTTTACTATTAATGCACTAAAGGTCATCGACCTGAAATGGTAATCCACCTTCCTTTCTCCATAGATGCTGCATGACCTGCTGAGTGTTCCCAGCCACTTCTATTTCTATTTCAGATTTCCAGCATCTGCTGTATTTTGCCTTCAGTTTGTAACCTCCTGAGTCAGGAGATTGTGGGTTCAAACCCCACGTCAGGACTTTGACGCTCCAGTACAGTAATATAATAATCTTGCATTTAATAATCCTTGCATTTGATATAGCACTTTTCACGTCTTCTCGACGTCTCAAAGTGCTTCACAGAATATACTGTAAAGTGAATTGACTGTATATTTGTGGGCAAAACACGGCAGCCAATTGCGCACAGCAGTGTCCCACAAACAGTCGTGGATTGAAATCACCAATTTATTATTGTTTTTTTTCTTTTCATACTTATTTCATACTGAGAGGAGAGCTGTCTTGTGGGAGGTGCCGTCCTTGGGATATAATTTAACTGAGGTCCTATCTCCCTGTTCAGATGAACGTTAAAGTTGGAAAAGAGAAAGGCGTTTACCTTTATGGAGATTTCATACCTGTTAAACCTGTGTGTTTGGGCAGTGATTTGCACTGTTATCATGGTGAAGGAGGTGAGGCCTGATGGAGACCCCTCAAACCCTCCTGGGGAAATCTGAGCCTCACCCCCCGGAGTCCGTGCTGTTACCTGATATTGCCTCTAACCGGTTTGTCAGGTTGGCGTTACTCTGATGGGCAATGTCGGTGTACAGAAGCGGGTACAGGCGGTGTGTAACTCCGCCTGCGGGTGGCCTCGGAATGCTGGGTGCGAGCACCCACAGAGACACACACACACACACACACACACACACAAACTCACTCTCACACATACACACATACTCGCATACAGACTCCCCCCCCCACCACCACCACCAAACACACCTCCTCACCCACACTCCCAGAAAGGGAGCAGCAGAAGATTGCGGAATGGCAGTGTAACGCCTGTGTGTTTGCAGGTGGCTCTGTGTCTCTGGTGTGGCCGGAGTCGGCATGTCGGGCTGTGTGCCGGATAGTGAGCGTGGAGCAGCTGTGGGGACAGAACGCGTCTGTGAGTGCGGAGCCGATGCGCGGGGAGCACTGGGGGCATCAGCAGTTCTATGTGGGGCTGAGCCTCGCCATCATGTCCAGTGTCCTCATCGGCATCAGCATCATCCTCAAGAAGAAGGGGCTCCTCAGGCTGGCGGAGCTGGGGGGCACCCGGGCAGGTAACACCTCCCCCCTCCCACTGTGCTGGTGTGTGTGCGTGCGGGGGGGGGGGGGGGTGTGCGTGCTCCGTGCGTGTGTGTGTGTGCGCTCTCTGTGTGCGCTCAGTGTGTGTAACCTTCCTGTTGTGTGCAGGTGATGGGGGCCATGGTTATCTCAGAGACTGGATGTGGTGGGCCGGGCTCCTGACCAGTGAGTACAGTGTACAATATCAACGTCGCTGCTGTTTACATCATTAATCCTTATTTTCCTGAGTGACATCCGGGGGGGAATGTTTGTTATTGTCACTGAATGGATTGCCCTCTGTTGCGTGTCCGCCTCTCCTGCGCCCTCCCTGACGTGTGTTTGTGTGTGTGTTTGCAGTGGGCGGTGGGGAGGCCATGAACTTTGCAGCTTACGCTTTCGCTCCTGCAACTGTTGTGACCCCGCTGGGAGCTTTGAGTGTCCTCGTCAGGTATGTGCTGGTCATCACCATCATCGTAACCGTCACCACCATCATCATTAGGACCATCTCCGGGGTTTCATGATGTGGTGAATGGGAAGGGGCTGGGGTGGGAGTGGGGGTGTGTGTGGGGGNAGAGTGAGCAGAGAGTTTACAGTAGCAGTACTGCATAATGGATTCTCTGATCCTGTGTGAAGGGCGCTCCGTGCAAGTTGTTGTTGCTGCTGCTGTGGTTGTCATCCAGGCTGGAAACCTACGTGTGTGTTTACAATGTCAGGGATTTGGAGTTTGGGAAGGACTGGGAGCATCTGCGAGGCCAGGGGTTGGGCCAAGGGCAGAGGTGGAGGTTGTGACTTTTGTTGCTGGTGTGAAAGCTCCAAGTGTCACTGAATTCTCTCTCTCTCGCCCAGCGCCGTCCTTGCCTCCTACATTCTGGCGGAGCGGTTGAATGTGCTGGGGAAGGTGGGCTGCACACTCAGTATCCTGGGTTCCACCGTGATGATCATTCACTCTCCACAGGAGGAGGAGGTCAGGTCCCTGGAGGACATTGCGCTCAAACTGCAGGATCCAGGTTTGTTGATGATGTTCACTCCTCCTCTCCCCTCATCTTCTCTCCTCTCCTCTCTTTCCCTTCCCACAGGGACTTCCTTCCGATGTGAAGGGAGCTATTGGAATGTAATTTGTTGTTGTTCTGGGAATGGGATTAGTCAGTTTGAAAGGTTGTCCGTGGCTGTTCCTGATGTGGATTCTGGTCCAGCAATGCCTAGCCATGCTCTCTACAGCCTCTGCCTTTCTCTCTGCAGGTTTCCTGGTCTTCGCCAGCATCTTGCTGCTCACGGTGCTGATCCTCATATTTTATGTGGCCCCACGGTCTGGACAGACCAATGTCTTGATCTACATTGCCATCTGTTCGCTGATTGGCGCTTTCTCTGTCTCCTCCGTCAAGGGCATCAACATCGCCATCTACACCTGCCTGGCCGGTCAGCCCGCCTATCGTCACCCGCTCACCTGGATCCTTGTAGCCTCGCTGCTCACTTCCATTATCACGCAGGTCAACTACCTGAACAAATCGCTAGATCTTTTCAACACCTCCCTGGTTTATCCCATTTACTATGTCTTCTTCACTACTGTGGTCATCACCACCTCGGTCATTCTCTTCAAGGAGTGGTACAGCATGTCGGCCATGGACATTGTGGGCACCATCAGCGGCTTTGCGACTATCGTGCTGGGAGTCTTCATGCTTCACATCTTCAAAGGTCTTAACGTGAGCATTGAGAACATGTCTGGGGTTTTGCAGGAGCCCGAGACCCTGGGCACTGCCCACCTCCCACTTGATGATAAGCTGATGCTGTTGGAGAATACTGAGGGCTCCAGGTTCCCCGAACAGAAGCCAAGTGTCTTTGTCATTTATGGCTGAAGCTTCAGACCACGAAGTAAAGTGCAGTGACTGATTGTATAGGTGAGCGTCTCAGTCAATAATGCACATAGCTATGTATCACAAACTTCCATCATGTGGATGACCAATTTTATTTGTTGGCTTCCCTTCTCTTTTCCAATTGTGCCAAAGACCTTTAACCTCCACGTGAACAGATATAGAAGGGACCTCAGTTTAATCTCTTATCTGGAGGATGACAACTCTGTTAAGGAATCCCAACATGGGGTTTGAACCCACAGCCTTCTGCCTCCAAAGCCAGAATGCGACCACTGAGCCAGGGTGATCTTGAGACTCTCTTCAGCCTCGTTGGCTTCACAGGAATCAGAAGACAGATGTGCACAGGAGTGGCATTCCGGAGACACAGGAACCTGCGCCTCCCTCCTGCGAGTTAGGGATTGACTCACGATGGCCTGGACTCGTTGATGTCGCTCTGGTTCTCGAACCTGCAGCAAAAGCAAGTTATAACCAGCTCCTCAAATCCTTACACTGCCTCCAACACCTAACCACCATTTACTGGTGGTTTAGAGCCAGGGGTGAGCGGCAGCCATTGGGCTCTGAAGGTCTCAGTTGCTTGTTGTAAACATTTGTTTAAACAGATTTGTCTGCTGCAGGGGACGCCCATCTGTCCCCGATGGCTGAGAAATGCTGAATTTATTAAACAAGGATTTAAAGTTGGTTTGTAATTGCTGAGTTCAAGAGTTTGTTTTCCCACCTCCAGGACAGTGAGAGTTTGGTACCTGGGAATCTGTGGAGTCCTGCAGCTCAGTGGTTAGAGCACTCGCCTCACAAGCGAGAGACCTGGGTTCAATTCCTGGCAGGGTGAAACCTTGGGCAAGTTTCCTTACTCCACACACCTGGTAATAATCCCTCAAGAAAAAAAAATAATAATGAATTGGTCACTTCAAACCACGACTGTTTGTGGGACACTCACTGCTGTGTGCAATTGGCTGCCGCGTTTTGCCCACAAATATACAGTCAATTAATTTTACAGTCTATTCTGTGAAGCGCTTTGAGACGTTTAGAAGACGTGAAAAGCGCTATATCAAATCCAAGGATTATTATTATACTATCTTGCTCACACAGCTCAGAGAGTTTCTGCTGATTTTATTTTAAATGGTTGTAGATATTTTTATATAAACAAAGAGTGGGGTTTAGAGAGATCGATGAGTCCATCAGAGGCGGCTCAAGTTCTCTTGAGAATGGACAGGCGACGTTGTGAACAGTTGGCAGAAATCTCAGCAGACTCCCAGTAAAAGGCACAAACCAGGGTCTAAGTTATCTGCTTCCTCTTGCTCCAGTTAGCCTCAGGTGGCCTAGCCTGAGCTCACACATTGTTGATTTGTCTTAAGTATAATTGAAATGCACAATAAAACAACATATCAGTCGACCTTACAGAATCTAATGGTCTATAATATTAAGGTCATCACAATTACAAGTTTCACATTGGCAAAGCTTAGCAATAGTACATATATATATTCCTGTGATCCATTATTCTTTGCCAAGAACGGCTTCCCCAGGTTGCTTCACTGTCAAGATGGTAGCTCGGAGGCAGTGGAGTCTATCATCTGGAGAAGCTGCTGCTATTGATTCTGTTCCTAAAGAGTTTCAAGAAACGTGTAAAATCAATTGATGTAAACAGACAGCCCCAAGGGATTCACTGGAAATAAACCACCTTGTATTTATGTCTTGTGTTTGTTTGCATGTGGCATACGTGTGTGTGAGCAGCAGGACCAGAGGTGAGACAATCAGCAATCAAAAAAAATAACATTGTCAACTCTTGACGTGGAGAGATGTTTGTGAAGTCAGGGTGTCAATAATAATGATAATCCTTGCATTTGATATAGCGCTTTTTCATGTCTTCTCGACGTCTCAAAGCGCTTCACAGAATATGCTGTAAAGTGATTTGACTGTATATTTGTGGGCAAACTCGGCAGCCAATTGCACACAGCAGTGTCCGCACAAACAGTCGTGGATTGAAAATGACCAATTTATTATTGTTTTGTTTTGGAGGGATTATTATATGGGGCAAAGGTGGGTAATTATAGAGTTGAGGTACAGATCAGCCATGATTTTATAGAATTGTGTAACAGGCTTGAGGGGCTGAATGGCCTCCTCCTGATCCTGTAAAATTTGGACAAAGCAAGACAATGCAGTGTGTAAGAACACAATCACACGATCAGGTTGTAACAGGCTCTGGAACTATCCCCCGGTGCCTTCGCCGCCTCCTCCCTTTCCTCCTTCAAGGCCGGTCTCGAGACCTTTCTCTTTGACCTTCAGCCTTCAGCTCCAATCTCGACTCTCTACCCTCTCCTCGCTCCCTCCCTTCCCTCCCCCCCTCCTCGCCCCCTCCCTTCCCTCCCCTCATCCTGACCATTCCCCCCCTCCTCGCTCCCTCCCTTCCCTCCCCCTGACCATTCCCCCGCAATGCTCGGGTCCTGACCCAACTGTACAGCGCCTTGGGACGTCCTCCCGACGTGAAAGGCACTCAATAAATGGAATCTTGTTGTTGTTGTAACGCCTTCCCAGGAACCGACCAATACCTTCAAGTGTATCCCAGGTAATTTGCCTAAAGTAATCCAGGTATCCCACACCCTGCTCACCGGGGCCTGTGATTGGTGGGGAAGGCGCGGTCTGTGATTGGTGGGGAAGGCGCGGTCTGTGATTGGTGGGGAGGGCGCGGTCTGTGATTGGTGGGGAGGGCGCGGTCTGTGATTGGTGGGGAGGGCGCGGTCTGTGATTGGTGGGGAGGGCGCGGTCTGTGATTGGTGGGGAGGGCGCGGTCTGTGATTGGTGGGGAGGGCGCGGTCTGTGATTGGTGGGGAAGGCGCGGTCTGTGATTGGTGGGGAGGGCGCGGTCTGTGATTGGTGGGGAGGGCGCGGTCTGTGATTGGTGGGGAGGGCGCGGTCTGTGATTGGTGAGGAGGGCGCGGTCTGTGATTGGTGGGGAGGGCGCGGTCTGTGATTGGTGGGGAAGGCGCGGTCTGTGATTGGTGAGGAAGGCGCGGTCTGTGATTGGTGGAGTGTGAGGTTTGAATTGAACGGCGGTTAAACCGCCGCCGCCGCCATGTCCTTCCCCAGAGCTCCGCTCCGGCGCTTCAATGAGCAACTGGGTGAGTGAGGAGAAGAGGCGGCGGGAGAGGCCGGGGGGGGGGGGGGCGGGTGGGCTGAGCTGTGTGTGTGTGTGTGTGTCGGTGTAACCCGGGCTGTCTCTCCCTGTCCAGGCTGTGCCCCCCCACCTGGCCACTATGATGTTAAACAGCAGGTGGGCTCCAGAGGCCCCGTGTCCTTTGACAAGTCAAACCGATTTCACAAAGGCAAAGGTGAGAGCGAGAGAGAGACAGGAGGAGGGAGGAGGTGGGTAGGGGGGGGAAGGGGGGGGGGGGGGGAGGAGGTGGGTGGGGGGGGGAGGGAGGAGGAGGAGGGAGGTGGGTGGGGGGAGGAGGAGGAGGAGGAGGGAGGGGGGGGGGGGGGGGGGAGGAGGAGGGTGGGGAGGGGGGGAGAGGAGGAGGAGGGAGGTGGGTGGGGGGCGAGGAGGAGGGTAGGGGGGAGGGAGGTGGGTGGGGAGGAGGTGGGGGAGGGAGGAGGGAGGGAGGTGGTGGTGGTGGAATCCCTGTCCTACAGAATCGCATCTGCTCGTGAGAGATGGATAATTCTGGCATTTGATACAGCGTCTTATCATGTCTTTGAGACGTCTTCATAGGAAATGCTGTAAAGTGAATTAATGTTTTGTGACTATGTTTTGTGGATGAAATGTGACAATTGTGCACAGGTGTGTATCTGCCACTAACCTGTTTAGCATTTTAACTTTCGCCCACAAAATATACAGTCACTACACTTTACAGTATATTCCGTGAAGCGCTTTAACACATCTCATGGATGTGATAGAGATGGGTTCTGGCCATTCTCTCATCAGTGTAGCAAGTTGATGCTCCTCTGCACTGTGTGCACACACTTCTGTCCTTGGTGAAGATACCAAGTTTTTACCTGATGTCCTATATTGAATAGTTGTGGAAGGCTGCTATGCCTCTGCACCCAGCAGTGTACCTGGTGAAATGCCTGCACTGTGTATTTGTAGGCTACCCATTTTATTGCCCAGGCACCTTCCTGTTTTCTGTCTACCCCCTGCTGCCCAGCCATCCAGTCAGTTTTCTCGTGTGTCACCTGAAAGTTGCACTTTGTTTATTTGCAGATGTGGGAAGCCAACCGTTGCCTGAAACTGAGAAGAATCTTACATCACCAGCCAGTGCTCGGAGGAATCTGGGGTTTAGTACTGTTAGTATTACTGTAACCAATCTCAGTGTAGTGTTGTCTGTGGTTAAACCATTACTGTAGACTGCTCAGTTCAGGCTTTGTTTCTACCTTCACAGTTTAACAAGTAACTAGTTCCTTGACTGGGGTAACAAGCGAAAATGGTTTGCACTGCAGTGTGAACTGTATCTTGTATCTTTGCCCACTGCTCGTGCCTTCACTTCAGAGTGGGGAGTGTGTACACACTTTAATGCCTGATATTCTGTGAATTGCCTTTAGCCCAATTGCCAGGTGGATGTGACCCTCACTTTGGAACTGAAAAAGCGGCAAATGTTGGAGAAAGAAGTGAGTAAATGGAGGTTAGGTGTTGGGGACATTGTGAGAATTTGAGGAGCTGTGGATTATAACTTGCTTTTGCTGCAGGTCCGATGCCTGGTGCAGCAACGTGGGGAGCAGGATAAACGCCTCCACAGCCTGGAGGAGGAGATGAAGAGAATAGAAAGCAAACTAAGTGCAGCTGTGAGAGAGAAAACGTCACAGGCATCCAACATGGCCTCCATGGAGAGGCAGCTCGCTGATCTGCACAAAGCCAATGAGCTTCTCAAAACTAAGGTACAGAGAGATTCCTACTACCCTTCCATTTTCTTTCGTTTTTTTATAAAAAAATCATTCTACTGTTAACTTTATGCAATAATGTTCAAGGCTGGTAGAAAGTGAATAGGAAATGCAGGAGAAATTATTTTAGCAAAAGCTTCCGAAGGTGTGGAACAAATTAGCAGTGTAGGTTCTGGGAAAAAGGATTCTGCAATGGACTACATGTTCCTGGAAATGAAACGAATTCTGGGGCATTAGCTGACAAGAGAGACGTGTGGGATGAATAGTGAGAAGGACCAGTGAGCTACTCTTGCTGTGTCTTTAATTTTCAACTTGTTTGGCTAAAAAATTCAGGTTGCTTCTATATTGTCCTATCTACTCCCTGCATTAATGTGTGTTTAAACAAATACATTGTCTCTTTCCTCACTAATAGTTTTCTGATGATGGCACCAAGAAGAAAATAAACTCACTTTGTCTGGAGCTGCTGGAGGTGAAGAACAAGGCTGATGCTAAGGACAAGGTGTGTGTGGTTGGCAGGTTCCATTGGGACATAGGCTTTTAAAACTGTGCCACTTAAATGCTAAACAAAAGCCATCAATGGCCTGATACACATACGAGTAGGAATGAGATTCTAATTATGTGTAAACCCCAATCTCAGTGAAGACAGTGGGCTATGCTGACCACCAGCTAAGTAAATCCTGATCTTTAATTGAAGAGAAGGAAAGTAATGATACATGCCTGTATGCCGCTGCATACTGCTGTATTGCTCCATCAGATGTGTGACATCTACACTCTTTGTTGCAGGAGCTCAGCTATCTTCAGATCAACTTAGAAGGTAAAGTGAAGATTCTACAGGCAGATCTGGAAGCTTCGAGATCCTCAGTGACAGCCTTACAGGAAAGGAATGGATCACTGGGTATGTTAGCAGCACAGCCTGGCCGCACTTTCTACCTTTTCTGCATGTGCCGTTCACAGGAACATCGCTGTTCTGCTTTGTCCTTGTCTTTGTCAATTGGTCCGTAGCTGCAGCAGCGTCTGAGCTTGTATATCAAGGTGCTGAGGTGCAGAGATTCACTGACCATATGTCCTCAAAAAAAANCTCGTCTGATATCCTACTTATTGAGAAACTAAGAAATACACTTGTTGATTGCAGCTTTTTGTTCTATTCCAGTTTGTAAACGCAGCACTATGTTCTTAGTTTCTAGCATTGACTGTGGTGATGTTCTGTGCAGCCTTTGTGTGTGTTTTTCTGGGATTGTAATCTTTGATTCCTATATGTTATAGAAGAGATGCATCAGGAAACCAAGATTCATAGTGAGGATCTGGAAAGAGAAATGGACAAGTTTCACGGTGACTATTTTTTCTGGTAGCCTCATTGTTCATTATCCTTTTAATTTAAGAAAGCCATTTCATTCAGAATATTCTTTCCCAAATGGGTGGGGGTGATTTACATTACCTTGTCTAAAACTATTTTCAAAGTGATGGGGGTGAAAAGCGGAGAGAGAATTACCCTGGAGCTGAACTGGAGCTAAGCAGACATGCCTGGCAAATAGGTGGCCAGATCTAGATACAAATCATTTCCTCCTGTTCTGAATCGCCTAGACATTGAATTGTCTATTACATTGCCTTCAACTGAAAATATAATCCATGTCATGGGACTGAGTTTATCTTGAATTTTTCATCTATAACTATGGGGGGAGGGAGAATTTGGTAATTTATCTCTCCTTTCAGTGAACGCCACACAGTAATGTTATAATATTATAGCTTTGTTACTAGGTTCAGGTTTCCTTCTATACCAGAACCATTCACAATCTTGTTATCCTCCCCCACTCTCAAGCAGAAGTAATCAATGAGCTGCGTGAGAATAACCAGGCTCTGCAGGAATATCTGGATTGTGCCAATGAACGAATCCAGGTAATGGTTGATACCTCTCCTTCCCTCACTCCTAGCTCCAACTCCAACATTTCCATTCTCTTCGTTATGGACATTGGGCCTGGGATTTCCTCTTAAGTATTCCAAAAATTCCCATCCTACCTACCCTCTCATTGTTCTCATCACACTCCTCCTCCAACTGTTTCTCCCCATTCCACCTCCTGTCTGCAGGCTTTATTTTAAACGCAAATTTGGCATGATCACCTAATCTCTTGCCTTTGTGTGTTTCTCTCACTCACTATTTTCAAAGGTAAAATGGTTCTTGACTTTCTAGAACTAAGCTACTCTTCCTCTCCCTATAGCCGTGATGCTTAAACAAAGATTGTGATGACTGCTGGGCGAGGACAAGAATTGCAGTGTTAAATTGCTTTCTTTTCCTAAATTCTAGCATCTTCAGACTGAATTGAGTTTGAAGGTGGAGAAGTATGAGAGCAAACTGGGGCAGGTTTCAATGGACCTGGAGGCCAAGTATCAGGTAAGATCTGTCAGCTCCATGTGTTCAACATCTTAACTTGACAAATCAAGCTTTGTCTGTGATCAGTTCACAAGTTTAAAACACAGGGTGGATAACACTTCCCAAGTTTATAGTGATCTCATCCAACTGCTCATGGCCATTCTTGTGAGATGAGTTGGTCAAAAGTCACAACACCCATTCTACACAGTCACCTCTGCAAATCTCACAATGACAACTAACCAAGACATCATGGAGCAAGACAGTTGGTTGAGGCATTGATAGTCTCTTGGAAGCCTTGCCTGAAATCCACCAGTTGCTTTTCTGAAAGAGACTAATGTTAAAGTAATAGATCTTGTTTGGAGCGGGAACCGGATGTGCTTGAAATCTTTCTCTTGTTTCAGGCTGCACAAGCCAAACGGCAGGAGGTGGAGGCAGACCTACAGGAAATGCAGAGTAATCTGAACCAGTCGACCAAATATGTGAGCGAGCTTCATGGAAAACTGTACGTATACTGCTCCTGACCTGTATCGTATCCTGTCCCCTGGCCAATGCCATTGTTTTGTTCTGAGGTCTAGACTGAGGGAGCTAAACACTCTATGCAGCACTGTTTGTTTTGTACCTTTATATTTTATAGGATTGAAATAGAACAGGAAAGGGCGACATTTGCAGAGGATAAAGCTGAAATGGAGAAAAGGCTCTTGCAGTGTACAGAAGATCTCAGGTACCTGATGCTTTAGGTGCTGGGTTACAACTCTCTGCTGTGGTGTTCTCTGGTAGGAAAGGTGTTGCCAATAGAAAGTCCAAATTCATACCTTGTCATGGGTTTGAATGCAGTGTGCAGCCAGGAAGGAGTCTGTCTCTTGTCTGGTCCATCCTGATCTGAGAAAGGGGGTGAATGAGTGAGTGCTTCCAGCTGTTAACAGTCCTCTACCGGGTCCTCAAGTGTTTTACTACTGCATTGTGTCGGGGAGGGATGAGGGAGCTAACGTTCCTCATTGGATATAATCTTTTTTTCTCTCTGTAGGAATTTGTATCTTTTTGTGTTCATTGGAATGTTTCTTTGTATTTTGAGGAATCTGACTGAGCAGAGTGATAGTTTCAAGGAGGAGATGAGACAGTCAGAGGAGCGGCAGCTGCAGAAGGAGAACAAAATGATCGATTTGAGGGAAAAGGAGAAGCTGCTTTGTGAGCAAATTAAAGAAGTGACCGAGAAATACCAACAAGTTCAGAAGGAAAAAGGTAGGGAAAGGCTGGAGACCATCTAACTCCAGGATATTTTAGAAACTAGATGTTGACTGACTTTCACCCAGTTCTGTTCCAGTGGTCAAGGTGGATTGTGCAGTTACCGTAGCCAGGCCTACCTCAGGCCCCGGGACTCCAGCAGCAGATTCTGTGTTCAATCTCTGTGAAGATTAGCCTGAGACTGCTGTTAAATTTTCAGTATCTTTTCGTTTACTGGAGAGATTAAAACTAGCTGCAAATACTGCTGGGACACAGCTGGCCTGACAATAACTAATCTCCCCCTCATATTCCAATCTCTGCAAGATCCTGGATAAATATATATTGTATATAATGACTATATATTGGGTTGTTCTGCAGGAAGCCTGGTGGCAGAGAGTAATGAGAAGGAGCAATGTCTGGCACAAGAACTGGAGCTAGAGAAGGAAAAATCGAGCCAAGTGGAACAGCGTTGTCAAGCACTGCAACAAGAACAGGATGAACTCCTCATTTCCTCCAGAAAGGACAAGGTAGCATTACCTCACAAGTGGCTGCAGTTTACATCCTATCAGGAACTGGGTTAGAGGCTGCTCAACAAGTAAAAGACACAGATATAATTTGACATTTTTGAAATGCTGGCACTTGTGAAATCTGGTTCACTTGTCTCTTCGCCTCTCTTGCCTCCTTCAAGGCCGGTCTCAAGACCTTTCTCTTCAATTGTGCCTTTGGTCGCCCTCCCATCTCTCTGCCGTCCCTCACCCCTAAACCACCCCTCCCCCATGCTCGCGCCCCGACACCTGACTGTTGAGTGTTTCGGGACGTCCTCCCGACATGAAAGGCGCTCTATAAATGTAATTTTGTTTTTGTTCACTGCCAATTAACATCCTTACTTTTAGCACAGAAATTCATAAGCTGCCTTTGTGGCTAATTTCCTGACCATGCAAGCCTTTCAGCTCTACAGTTTGCTGGTTGGGGAAGGCAACCGTGATCCAAATCCCTGTGCACCGTGAATGAAGCACACACACAAGGTTGTACTAGATAACTTCACTTGTGATGGGGAGTTTGGTTTGGTTTGGTCTGCTCCTCTCCTCATTAGTCCAGAGCAATGGCTTGGGTCAAGGTTGCTTTTTAGTGGATTAGTATTTATTTGTCACTGTGTTAGCATTCAGCAGCTGGTATGTTGGTACCTTACAGTTCTTGAACTTTCTAAACTTTACATTAAAAGATTTTCCATGGTTCAATTTAAGAAGCCAGGTAAACGTCTCTTTCTCGGTGTGCGTTTTATTTTATTCCTAATCTTATGTGTGTAGGAAATGGTGGAGTCCCTGAGTCAGCAGCTTGAGATCTTCCAAGGAGCGATGGCTGAAGAGAAGGAGCTGCTACAGGAGAAGCTGGGGACGATGTTGGATGAGCTGGAGAAGCTACAGGCCAAGGAAATGGAGGCTGAAGAGGTGCTCAAGTGTCTCGAACAGGAGACTAAGCAGAAAACCAGAGAGCTCGATGAGGTGAAGGCACAGCTCAGCAGGTCGGTACCACACAAAGCAAAACAAACAGTTACTACATCAACAATGTGTACTTTAGTAATGCCTCAACACACAGACACTGAGGATCCCTGTGCGAGGGGGAGATAGGGGGTTTAATATAATTAGGAACTCCACTGCTGTCTAGTCTACTCTTATCCCAGTTTTGTGAATTTCATCCACTTACTGGTGGTTATAGTGCTAACTGCTCTAATATCTGTTGATTGTGAGGTTGTGTTCATAACAAAATGCTCTTATAGGTTGACATGTTTTTCTTGATGCAGCAAAAGTGCAGAATTCGAGAAGGTGATCGAGAGTTACAACAGGACAATTAGCAAACTGCGTGAGGAGCACAGCAGCTCCCTGAGAAAGCTGGGGGACATCGAAATAGAATTCCAGAGGTAGGTTTTCCCTTGTGTAGGTGGGATTTCATGGGTATGAGGGGCAGGGTTAGGACACATAGCGATGGGAAGATGGTGGGATGAGTATTCCTGGAAGGATATAATTAAATCAGCCGAATTGTTTTCTCTGAGGTTTTCTATTGTCCAAATAAATAGTGGAAGGTGACCTTTAACTGGATTAACGTTGGAAAAGATTTGGTATATGGGAGCGAGCAACAAATGTGGGGTCTGAACCATTGAGTTGACCAGTTTATGCACAGTGAGGAGAGGTAACTTAATTTATTCTGTTCTATACATTGTACTTTGCTTGTGCTAAAGGCATCCAAGCAGGTGGCTAAAGCTACAGAGCTTCCTTGTCTAGTTATTCTCTGAAACGTGATGCTGTTAATGTGTAAACATTTGTGCAGTTACAAAGAGTCTGTGAGCGAGAAGATGGCTGTGCTGCAAGAGGAGAGCTCCAGGCTGCAGAGCGACATCGCTCAGCTCCAGCGGCAACTGCAGGACAAGCAGCAGCAGCTGACAGACAGCCAGGCTTCACAAGAGAAAGCCAAGGAGGAGTACGCACGGTAAGATTGTCAACTCATTGCCCTGTGCTGTCTATAATGCACCCTCTGTGGTCAGTGTTGCTGTGTATAATGCACCCTCTAGGATTAGCTTTTGGTGTTGGTAGCTCTGATGTGACCTACATCAGTGGAGTAAATGTGTTCCTTGAGACACTAATTGCCATATGAGTCCAGCATAATGTTGAATATTTTTGTCTGCAGAATGTTGCTGGGTGCACAGACCAAACTGGCACACCGGGAGGCCGAGGTCAGGAAGGTGGAGCACGTCCACAATGTGACAATAACCCAGCTTCAGGTGGAGCTGCAGGAGAGCCACACCCGTTACAGGGAACTGGAGGCGGCAGAGAGAGACAGGTAGGTGCACATGTGTTTATGTAACTAATGACTATTTCCGGGCTGTGATGATCTATGATTTGTGTGTGAGAAAGCAGTGGGGAAACACAAACGTGTGAGGAGCTGCCATGAATTATTACCCCCTTTCTGTTTAACAGTAGGAAAGTGGCTGTGGACGAGGACACAAGGCCACAGTTATTGGCTGAAGTGCAGAAATGGCAAATTCTATACGAGGAGCTCCACAATAAAGTCAAACCTTTCCAGGTACTTTGCCTTGCCCCACCTCTCCTCTAGGTGCCTCTCCCTGCCTGACCCTCTCCAGTTGCCTTACTACTTGTACTGCGTCTCTCTCTACCCAGCTGTACGAAGGATCTCGACATGTGGAAGCCCATAACTATACAATGTGTCGGGAGCTGTGCTGGCTGAGTGCTCATTCCTCCAACGTTCACTGAGTGTTAAGGAATTAACCTGATGGGACATGTGGGGTGACTTCCATCAAGAAAACAAATCTCTAAGTGCTGTTGTGTTGCATTGCTGGATTGCAGGAGCAGCTGGATGCGTTTGAGAGGGAGAGGAGCTCTCTGCTGAATGAACGAGGAGCCACACAAGAGGAGCTGCAGAAACTGAGTGTTGCCTACACCAAGCTGCTTGGCCATCAGAATCAGAGACAGAAGATCAAACATGTGATGAAACTGAAGGTGGAGAATGGGCAGCTCAAACAGGTAACGGCGCCTGCAGGGAATCTGGCTGTGAGCTCTCACTCTCTCTCTGTACAATGACTACTAATCTCCCACTCTGTACAATGTCTCCTTTCCCTCTGCAGGAAGTGGCCAAGCTCCGATTCCAGCTTTCTAAGGATAAGCAGAAGGGAAAGCGACTGCAGGAACAGCCGGTTAAAGTACACAGTGTCAAAGCATTCCAGTCCATCGCAAAGGAAAATGTCGCTCCCTTGACACCATTGAGAGAAGGTGTGGAGAATGGGAGGTTTCCCAATAGTGAAGCTCTAGCAGTCACTCAGTGGCAGGCCTCACACCTCAATAAACAGGCGGGGGGTTGGGAGTGGGGGGTGCGGCTCTGTACGATGACCCAGCAAAGAACTCTGGAGCAGGAGGAAAGATTGCCATTAAGTAAAGTATAATACAATTTACATACTGTTGTGCCTTTTGCATTGGGAGCACGTCTCAAACCATTAACACCGCATTTGGGGTCCTGAACATCATCATTTTGAAATGCTTAAAGTGCTATTTATTTTACAGAATTCCTGATTGGAGAATTTGTTTAAGTTAGTTGCATATAAATGTTGATGTAAATGTACAAGAAGGAGTCTGTACTAAAGTACATTTCTTTTGCAGGCAATAGAAACATCCGTTGAGTTGCCGGCTCCAAACCGATTCCAAGTGACAGAAGGTGTTGCATTTTGTCTCTGAGTGGGATTTACTGCTGGTCATCCCTTACCCATTGTTGGGAATAGACTCTGGGTTTATATCTGAATAAAGGATTGACAAAGAGATACTTTTTCACATATGCTCTTGCCAAGTGATGAGTTTTTATGAAATATTTTAAATTGGTTTTAATAATAATCCTTGCTTTTTTTATTATAATAAAGATAACAAAAGGTTTTGGTTATGTGAACTGTTAATTTTCAAATGGTTGCACTGGCCAACAATCCTCCAGCTTTAATTGTTGTTTATCACATGGCTGCTTGTGGGACTTTGTTATGTACAAATTGTTCTACACGATACAGTGACTACACTTGACCTGTGAAGTGTTTGTGCTGTTCTGGCATGATAATGTGCTGCAAAAATGCCAGTTCTTTTTTGTAAGGTCATATTAAGTGATCTGTGAATTAAAGAGATTTACCAGAATATTCCCAGGAATGAGGGACCTGAGGCATGTGGAGAGACTAGAGAAGCTAGGATTATTATTCTTGCAGCAGAGAAGGTTATGGGGAGATTTAATACAGGTGTTCAAAATTATGAGGGGATTTGACAGAGTGCACAGGGAGAAACTGTTTCCACAGGTGGTTGGACACAGATTTAGATAGTGGCAAAAGAACCAGAGGAGATGAGAAGGTTTTTCACAAGAGTTGTTTGAATATGAAATGCATTGCCTGAAAGGGTGGTAGAAGCAAGTTCGATAACCATTTTCAAGAGAGAAGTAAATAGATATTTGGGAGGACAAATTTGCAAGGCTAGAGGGAGAGAGCAGGGGCATGAGATTAATTTGGAGCGTTGGCACAGCCCACGGTAGCCTCTTTCTGTGCTATATGATTCTATAAGCTGTAACTATTCGTATGAAGGTATTGAGACCTGATTTCTGTCCAAATCTCTGTTTTCCTGAAGCAGATTTCAGTATTATACTTGTGTGGAGCACCTTTGGTCAGGGTGTGTCCTGGCTAGAAACTGGATTGGCTTTCCTCATTTTGCATTCTTCAGTGGCTCCACTTGATTTCTTCTTTCCATAGTAGGGCATCATCATGAGCCACATGTCCAAGAGTATAGCAAGACGCTTTCATTATCCGAGCAACACTAGTGGTTTGCTGGTTTTCCAGTTCTGTCTTTATCAAGTCACTAGCTGTATGCGTGGCGGCTTTGGCCACAGCCCCAGCCATAGCCCCCGTTGGCTACATGTGTGATTTGACGCAGGATGCCACAGTCAGCCAGCGCATCCACCAGGTGTAACTGCAGTTTGTGCATACATACGCACGTGCTCTGTGACTCATGATGCCACAGCGCTACTTGGTGGCCACGAAGTATGACTAGTGAAAACGTAAAACTGAAATACATTTTAGGTTATAACTCATGAGCGATAGAAAATAACCCAAAATAAATATGCCCCATGTCACTCCCAGATGCAAGCCCTTTCTGTTTAGGTATAAATCATGTCTTTATGTCAATCGGTAATTGGGATTTCTTCTTGAAGCACATAGACATTGTTTTATTATAGGTAATCTGGTTACATTGGGTGCACCCTCTGTCTCTGCAGTTTCTCTCCCAACCCGCTCTCCCATAATGTATACATTAGAAGATACAGCACAGAAACTGGCCATTCAGCCCAACTGGTCTATACCGCTGTTTATTCTCCACATGAACCTCCTCCTGCCCTTCCTCAACTAGGCCTTCAAGCATAAATGTTCCAAATGTACTACTCCCATTATGTTTTTATTTCAGATTTCCAGCATGTGTGATTTTCTTTATTTATTCACTGATTAGGTAGAATCTAATTTCAGATTTATTCTAGTTCTGATGTTCCTTTACCTTTCTGTATAAAATGTAATTGAGCAATACCTAAATTTTACGCTTATACTCCTTAAGAGATTGGGGTAAATTCGAATGCAAGATCCTCATCCTCACTTACAAGGCCATTCAGGGCCTTGCTCCCTCCTACCTCTCCGACCTACTATCCCCCTACCTACCTGCCCGTACCCTCCGTTCCTCGGGCTCCGGGCTGCTCCATATCCCCCACCCCAACTGCCCTACCATCGGTGGCCAGGCCTTCAGCCCCGAGGCTCTGGAACTCTATCCCCCAGTGCCTTCACCGCCTCCTCCCTTTCCTCCTTCAGGGCCGGTCTCCAGACCTTTCTCTTTGACCGTGCCTTCAGCTCCCCTCTCGACTCTCTACCCCCTCCCTTCCCTCCCCTCATCCTGACCATTCCCCCCCTCCTCGCTCCCTCCCTTCCCTCCCCTCACCCTGACCATTTCCCCCTTGCTCGGGTCCTGACCCAACTGTACAGCGCCTTGGGACGTCCTCCCGATGTGAAAGGTGCTCAATAAATGGAATCTTGTTGTTGTAAAGTTCACTGGGCTTTCTGATCCGGTGGTTGCACTCTATCAACCAGAGTGACATTGTACATGTATTTATATGTAAGGGGTGGAATGAATTGTCAATAAAAATGTCAGTGAATCTGTACAAACGAGGGAGAACTGTGCAATATTGGATTGACTGTGTCCAAGATGTTGTGTTGGCTTTGGTTGGCAGCTCCGCTCCATTACCTGCAGCACGGGGTGGGGGGGATGTTAGCTCCAGGTGACCACTGGGGGCGCTGCGCCCACCAGGTGTGAGCGTCAAACCCGCCCACTCCCCGACCGCTGGGCCCCGGCGACCGCTGATTGGCTAATCGTAGCGCTGATTGGTACAAAGTCCTGTCAGTCACAGTGACCTGCGGCTGATTGGTCCTGGGGGCTGTCAGTCACCAGAACTGACCGCTGATTGGCCGCGGGGCGGGATTGCCGTTATGGTGGGGAGAGAGAAGGAGCTGAAGATCCACTTCAGCCCCGGACACGTCAGCCTCGTGCAGGTGCGGCCCCGACCCCGCCCCGGGCCGCGCCCGGCCCCCGCCCCCCGCCCCGACACCGGCCCCCGCCCCCCGCCCCGACACCGGCCTCAGGCCCCCGCCCCATTCCCTACACCCGACCCAGGCCCCGGATACCTCAGCGCTGCGGCCTCCGGGAGGCCCGAGTGTCCGCCTCACTGCTGCCCGAGTGTGTCTGCCTCCCCCCCCCCACTCCTCCCCCACATCCCCCCCCCACCTCTCCACCCCCCCCCACTCCTCTCCCCCCACTCCTCCCCCCCCCTCCCCCCCCCCCACTCCCCCCCCCCACTCCCCCTCCCCCCCACCTCTCTCCCCCCCCACTCCTCCCCCCCCACCTCTCTCCCCCCCCCACTCCTCCCCCCACCTCTCCCCCCCCTCCCCTCTCCCCCCCACCTCTTCCCCCCACCTCTTCCCCCCCCCCACCTCTCTCCCCCCTCCTCCTCCTCTCCCCCCCACCTCTCCCCCCCCCCCCCCTCACCACTTCTCTCTCTCTCCCCCCCCCCCCCCCCCAAGGCTCGGGCCCCGACCCCTGACTTCAGCGCTTTGGGATGTCCTCCCGACGTGAAGGCGCTGTATATATGTCATTGTGTTGTGTGTATTTAGGGTTGTGGGCGCGCGCGCGTGTGTAGGTGTGCGCGGGCACAGCGGTGCGGTGGGGGGGTCTGACCTGCGGAGCTACTGGGGACCACCTCCTGACGTGAATACCAGTATAATTTGTTGTTGTTGTTGCTCTCCTGTGGCTGAGGTGCAGGAGGATGCCCCTGTGCCCGATCGACGGGTGTTGGTCACTGGAGCCACAGGGCTCCTGGGCCGAGCGGTTTACAAAGAGTTTGCGGACAATGACTGGGACACGATGGGATGTGGCTATAAAAGAGCTCGGCCAAAGTTTGAACAAGTGAATTTGCTGGACCCCTCGGCAGTGCGACAGCTAATCCAGGAGTTCAAGGTACTGTGTGTGTATCTGCTCGTTACAGCGGGATACGGCTGATGGCTCTTTGCGAGGATTGATGACAAGAAGTAAACAATCATAATAGTGTCTGCATCCAGTACAGCACCTAATAATAACGATAATCCTTGCATTTGCTACAGCGCTTTATCACGTATTTGTGACGTCTCAAAACCCTTCGCAGAATATACTGTAAAGTCAATTAACTGTATATTTTGTGATGACGTCCAATAATTACTGTCACGTGTAGGAAAAGTCTCAGGATTGTGACCAAGGAAATGGAGAGTGTGGAACAAAATTCTCCATTCAGGTCTGATAAGGTTTGGGAATTCATTATCACGTGTTTCAGACAGACTGGGGATTCTGCCCCAGGGATGAGGATTGGAATACTGACCGTCCTTTCGACACTAAACCCGTCATGTGTTTTTTTCCATTGCAGCCCCACACTGTGGTGCACTGTGCGGCAGAACGGAGGCCTGATGTAGTGGCCTCTCAGCCTGAACACTCCACTCAGCTGAACGTAATGGCTTCGGGATGGATAGCCAAGGAGTCAGGTATAACACACAAGAAAGAAAGTGAACAAATCCTGCAGTACACAGTGCGCTGGAGGGTAGGGCTGCTTTGCTAAGCGTTTGTGATCACATCTAAATGTACGAAGGAAAGCTGAGGAGCTGTGGGTTTCTGGTTATAAATCAATGTACCTAACGTGGATTGAGACTAATGTTGCAAACTGTAAGGATTTATAACCGTTTGTTCTAAAGCAGCTTTAATATGTCTTGCAGCTGAGATTGGAGCATTCCTAATCTACATGAGTACAGACTACGTGTTTGATGGGACCAGTCCACCCTATCGGGAGGAAGACACTCCCAATCCCCTCAATACGTACGGCAAAACCAAACTGCAAGGGGAGCAGGCAGTGCTGCAGAACCACCCAGGTAAACAACAGGTTCAACATATCACAAACAGCATGTTTGTTGCTCAGTCTCTCTGTTCCCTGTGGTGTGGTGATCTGAGCTGATGTGCCTCTCTCTGGCAGGGGCTGCAGTGCTGAGGGTTCCGGTGTTATATGGTGATGTGCAATCTCTGGAGGAAAGTGCTGTCACTGTGTTATTTGACAAAGTTCAGCACAGTAACAAGTCGGCCAATATGGACAACTGGCAGCAGAGATTCCCTACGCACGTGGGCGATGTGGCTCGGGTCTGCAGGCAGCTGGCGGAGAGGAGGCTGGAGGTACGGGAGTGAGACATCAGCACAGTGTGGGGAGCGGGTGGGGGATGGTTTCTGTCTGACATCAGTGCGGTGTTAGGGGTGGGGGGGGCGTTGCCTTGTCCTTAAAATGAGACGTTAAAGTGAGGACGAGACCAGCTAGTGTAATAAAATCCTGTCTTCTAATTTTCCTGGTTATTCACAGGATTCTTGTATCAAAGGCATTTTCCACTGGTCGGGTAACGAGCAGATGAGCAAGTACCAGATGGCCTGCATCATGGCGAACGTCTTCAACCTTCCCAGCAGTCACCTGCGCTCGGTAAGTGACAAACCCCAACCCAACACCGCCCCTGTGTGTTTTTCTGTTATTATTTCCTCTTCCCAGCTCTTTCTTCACAACTCTCAATGTTTTTGCTGCTCCGGTGCTTTCCCAGGTCCTTCCTATTGCGAGTGAAGTGATGTGAGTGAATTCCCCACTAATTGCTCTCTGGTTCCCGTTTGCCCAGATCACAGAGAGCCCCGTGGTGGGAGCTCTCCGTCCTCAGAACACCCAGCTGGACTGCTCCCGCCTGGAGAGGCTGGGAATCGGACACCGGACACCGTTCCTCACCGGGATCCGCCGCTGCCTGTGGCCGTTCCTGCTGGACAAGAAATGGAGACAGACGGTCTTTCACTGACCATAAAATGGCTGCAGTGAAGGGCAGAGGCTCAGAGCTTGTGATAAGTTGTGAAATCTAGGTTCAGGCAGTGCCCCCTCCCCTCCCCTCACAGCCCACGAGGAGCTTTAGAGGTTTGTGTAACAATTGCAGCTCAGCCTGATGAGGTGTTCAGTGCTCAGAGCAAGACGCGGTGAGCGTGGGGAAAGCACTAGTTTAAACATTCTCCCTTTGGGTTTGTCTCTCTCCCCGCCCCCCCAACCACTGTGTGAGCTGGGCACTGGCTGCCGTCTCCAGGTTCCTTTGAAATACATGAGTGCGGTTTAGAGAAAAAACTTATTATCAAAGTTTCCAGTTTGTTTCCTATTGAAAAAAATCCTCAAGTACTTAACTTCTCATTCCTCTTATGGAGGAGTGAATAATGCCGCTGTGTCTGTGTGTACGTGCAAGGGTGTATATTTGTGTGTGTATATGTGTGTTTGCGAGAGAAGGCAGGGAAATCACAGATGCAATAACCTGGCTTGTCCACATCGCTTCACCCTGTACCTGAAAACTGCTTTGCTTTAGTGATTGTGCTCCAACCTCACTAGTTTATTATTTTGCAATTCCAGAAATTCCAAATACCAGGAAGGCTATGTGTGTATCATGGCTGCTGTCTGTAAGCTATCAAGTCACCGTTGTAGTTAGAAACATGTTGCACTGAAACGCAAATTTAATTCTGCTCCTGAGACGCTCGTCACACGGGTACAGCATTACTCAGTGCGTGTTGTTGACTGTGCACTGCATTGTGACTACAGCTTCAATCATACGAGGCCTTGAGTGTGGAGCTGAGACTGGCCCAGGTGACAGCGATGTGTGGATGAAGGCCTTGGCTCTGCCCGGAGAGAAGCTTGGCTTTAAGCTTCACATCTTTGCTGAATGAGTAGAAGTCGTTTTGTTGAATGGTTGTTTTGAGCGGTGTGACTGCTGGGCGAGGCTTTGTGGTTTTACACTGATGCCAATTGTGACTGTTTAACAGGTTGTCACAGTGACTGTAACACACTCTGGGACAGAGGCTGCTTTCCCCACTTGATTGTATGTTGTGCACGTGTCTTGTCACACTCAGTGAATGTAGAGCTTGATGGAGTGACTGATACTTTGACTTTCCTTATTCTAGTAAAACCAAGGAATAAAGCTTACAGAATGTTCGAGTTATCCCTTTCTCTCCCTCAGTCTACATTCTATCTAAATCCGAAAATAAATTGTCTAAATCCTTCCTGTCTGATACACCACACAAACACAGCAGCATGATCTGTCACACACACACAAAGACAACCTGTAGTTGTCTATTCAATAACTAAGAGCAGCAGCTTGTTGCTGAGGTGAACGTTCACCTTGTGCGGGAGTCGCAGCTGTATTTGGAAATCGGAGCTTGGAGTAGAACAATGAAGGAAGTTAATAACATTAGGGGGAATGTCAGGATCCCCAGAGATTGCCTTGAATCCTGCTGAAGGGCGAAGGAATGAAAAATAGGCAATTCCTTGCAGAGCCAGGTATTGACTCAATTTCACCTCATTCACAGCCACAGCTTCTTTCATGCGAAGGATTATTACAGGGAGCAGCACGATCTAGTATGGAAGGTCAGAGTCTCTGGGAATTCAAACCCTGGTATCTGAGCTTGGTGCAGTTCATTAGTAATACTCTAGCATTTGATATAGTACCCTGTATGATCAAGGTGTTTCAAAGCGCTTCATAGAATATACTGTAATGTAGTTGACTATTTTGTGGTGGAATTATGGCAACCATTTGTGCACAGTAATTTCCCACAAACATCCAATTTTATTTGTGAGATTGTTGGCCAGGACAGTGGGAGAAACTTCTTTTCGAATAGCTCCGCGGGATCTTTAACCTTTAACAGACAGGGACCTCAGGTTAATGTCTCATCTGAAGGCTGAAAATAACAGCACTGACTGCAAACTGAATTAACAAATGCCAGTCGTTTGGAAACAGCCTGTAATCAATGGTCAGTACACTTGCTGCCTTCTCCATGCTGTTGATGGACACCATTCACTGTATATCACACAGGAGGTAACATCTTTTGGATCTGCTTGTTCAGGTTGTTCTTTGTAACGTGCTCTGAGACGTGACAATGTGAAGGTCTCTGTATAAATTCAAGTTCTTGTTCAATGACTTAATGTTGCCGTGTTGTCATTAGCCACTGGGTGTCGCTCTTATCCTGGTCGCAAACTTTTACCCAACTTTATAAATTCAAGGGAGTGAATTAATCGTCACTGAATATTTCAAACCTATGTACAAAAGGTAGCGACAACAGCCTTGATGTCACTCATTCACTGTGTAAATGGAGACTTGAGTTCTGGGACTGATATTTATTCAGCTCACATTCTCCTGTAGAGCCCCATATTGGCACTTTGAGCCGACAATCTAGGCTCGCATTCCAGTACTGTACTTGGAGGAGACATCAAACCATGGCTCCTTCCCGCCTGTTTAGGTGGACATCAAAGATCACTTGACGCTATTGGAAAAAGAAGGGAATTTCTCCCAGTGTTGCTGTCTTTCACATTGTGGCTGTGTGTGGAACATTGCTGCTGCGAAAGGCCTCCACATTTGGCGACACATGATAGCAGTTTTCTGATAATTAGCAATGATAAAGTCACTGAAACCCCAATTCTCTGTGCTACAGGAAATCATTGTTCAGGGCTGGTTCAGGGCAGCTGATCAATGCCAGTTCTCTGAACACCTCCACCCACCTGTCTGGAGTTAATTGCAAAAAGTTGTGTTAATCATTAAATTCATTAGCCTCTGAAACCAATTTTAAAAAACACACACTTTAGCTCCTTATCTAACAGTCAATTATCATTGACATGCTGTGCACTGTTAGGCTCAGGCAGTGGCAATGGCTCACACCAGTTTTACTGAGAGGAGGATAATAATAATCTTTGCATTTGGATGTGGGGGAATGAAGGCTCATTGACAAGCCAATTCCAGGTGAGTAATAAACACTTTGACACTGGGCAGGACTGCTTAACTGAAAGCACATCAGCCAAATGATATCTAGATTCTTTGATCCAATTTACAGTGTTGTTTTGGACTCAGTTCACACGATCACAAGATGGGTTTGATGGTTGGCTCCAGTCCCACAGTAAGGTGTGTATCATGACAATTGTGGTGTGTGGCTGAGCGAGCCGTGTGTGATGTATGAAGTGTGTGTATATCTGAGCAAATCATTGTCAGTCATCTTGTGTTTCTCTTGGTCCCTGGCTCAGATTTTCTTTGAAATGTGCTTTGCTTCCGGTTGCTGCTAGACACTTGGCTGTAATAATGTGCTGAATTGCAATCAGTGAGCAACAATGTAAATGGATTCATAAATTGATTTACCAAAGACACCAGTTTACAGAAAGCAAAGCTTTTGGGCTTATTCTTCTGAGTCTTCAGGGTCAATTGCCAATGACTGGACAGGCAGAGAGAACAGTGGCGGAATTCAAACAAATCGTTCTCAGATGAACATATTTGTATATTACACACACACACATATATATATATATATACTGTTTGTATATGGAGAGAGAAGAAACAGAAGCTTGGATAACAGAATCCTAAAGTAATACAGAAAAGAAACAGGCCATTTGGCTCATCAATGGAGGGCTGATGTTTATCTCCACAGGAAACACTAAATCTAATCCCTCTCTCCTCTCTCCTTACAAACTTAACATTCTTCCTCTTCAAGCATCTAATTTCCTTTTAAAATGCATTGATGAACACTGGTTTGCAGATATTACGCTCACACTCTGTAAAGATATATTTTCTAACTTCCCTTCAATTCTTTTCTGGATTCTCTGGGATGCTACTCTGTGTGAAGGGCACTATATAAATGCAAGTTGTTGTTGTTGACTCACAATGCACTATGCTGGGAACCTCTGCAAATAAGAATTTCAAATAGTTTTTCATTGTCACAAATCAGACAGCAACTGTCAAAACAACCAATGAGCAATCGATCAGATTTGCTTGAAACCGTCACTCACACACAGAGGTTATGTGCAGCTCCAGGGATTTTCCAATTCACACATTCTCTTGGATTCATAATTAAAGTAAAACGTTTGGCCATCGATTAACCCAGTAACTGAACATTTGTCGTAATACACACATGGTTTTATATCCCATGTCATTCTCAAACACAGCTTGCTGTAAATACCACCAAAACTTCAGCAATATTCATAATCCTTCTATTTGTTACAGCACCCAAAACTGCTGTTTGTGGGACATTGCTCTGTATAAACTGGCTGCTGTGTTTTGCCAAAAAAAACAGTCACTCCACTTTAAAGTATATCCTGTGAAACACTTTGAGCTGTCCTTCCGATGTGAAAGGTGCTATTGACACATGTAAGAATTATCATTACAATTTTGAAAGATCTCAAAGCTCCTCACAGTGAGTTGTTGTCAAGTGAGTTTGTAAGCAAATGTGGCAGATATTTGTGTACATCAATGTCCCCCGCAAACATACCATTGTTGGCTGGGTATAAAGTAAAAGTAGAGGCAATTGTGTAACATCATCACTGAGCAGCACATGGACTTTAGACAAAGACAAACATAACTAATCTCCTTGGCAACTCCAGGGAACTTGTGTTGGCCACGAGTGACCTGGCAGAACATCATCTCAAACTAATGACATGTTAGATGTGGTTTGGGGTCTCCCCCGACATTAGTAGATTCTAACCTTCTTCCCCTCTTACCATTTCAACAGCTATTATGAGTCTTTCTCAGAACCAGGGAAATGTCAGTGCGTTTGGCCCATTGTATCTGTGCTGTTGCTCACTCGCCCACGTATAGGGAGGAAGATATTTTTGGTTTCAAATAGCTTTGAAACAGCAAGATGAGAGAAATTTACATTAAAGCACTTTCTGGATCAGACGCACAGATTGCTCTGATTTTCTCCATCCAGCCTCACCCCATGTACACACTCACTCTCTACACTCACATACACAGACACAAAGAGGCGAATTAGCTGTTAATTTTCTCTGTTCTGTGTTGAATTACTGATATTAGCCGAGTGCTTGGGGAAATCTGAGACCAATATACTGTCTAATAACCCCGGCCACTCAGCCAATATTTGTGTAAATGCCAAGGTATCTTTGCTCCTCTCCATACCCTTCAATACTGAAACAATTTAGTTTTGACCTTTTCACTTAAACTGCTTTCACTCCTGCTTCCAAAGAGCAACATTAAACTGGCTGCTATGTGTGGGCAGCCACAGTGTGACGTGCAGAGGCTTAACTGTGCCGTGCGTTATTAATCTGTAGGCACCTCTGAGCGTTTGCCCACACACAGTCACAAATGTACTAATGTGTCTAATCTCTCTGCGGGTGTCAGATTAACAGTGATATTTGTAATCTGGTTCATAAACCACGTTACATAGCCAGAGAGTGAGCACCTAATGTCCAGCCCCAGGGAAATGTCGAGGAAAAAGTGGGTTTTAAGAAACAAAGTCTTCCCCACGTTTGGGAATCCTGATACGTAGACTTCAATTGGATGTTATTTATTATTATTAATTATAAGCCTTGCATTTGGTATAGCACCATCAATGTCATCAGGACTCAAAGTGTTTCGCATTATTAGCTGATGGATGTGCAGAAAGAGGTTGAAGTGGTGAAGAGGATCAATTGTCTTCTTCTGCTGAAAGTCTACTACTCTGAGTGAGGAGAACTGTATAATAATAATAATCCTTGCATTTGATACAGAGCCTTATCACTTTGTTGCGACGTCTCAAAGCACTTCGCAGAATATACTGTAAAGTGGAGTGACTGTATTTTGTGGATGAAACATGGCAACCAATTGCGCACAGCAGTGTCCCACGAACAGTCGTGGATTGAGTGACCAAATTATTACCCCTGGAAAGTGATCTGTCAGTTGACTAACAAGCAAGTTCCTACTTCCTGCTAGGCAAACAGAGGCATGTGGAGTAAGGAAACTTACTCCAGGTTTTGCCCCGCCCAGGAATCAACCCCAGGTCTTCTCACTTGTTATTATTGTTAAACAATCAACATGTCACCCTGTGCCCGCCTTGTGCCCGCCCTGACCGGGCACAGTGACCTGGTTCACATTATAAACCTAACCACATCACAAAACCAGCGTTTCCCTTTTAATTGAAACTTCCCTCCTCCTCAGGTTCGTTGAAGCAAAGTGATTTTAGTGACAATGAAACCATTGGCTCATCCTGTGTCAGTGAGAACTGTGATAGCAGCGCTGTTACCTCACAGCCCAGGGCAGTCGCTACCAATCATCCATTATCATTAGCCATGGATACTTTACACTGCAGCTCTCTGCACAGATGCCAACCTTTTAAAAGCTTGCTGACTGTAACCGTGTGGGTGTGAGTGTCAGTGCCAACCCACTGATTGCTTCTCACTCACCAGAAACTTTATGGCCAATGGGAGAGTTGGGAATTGTCCCTGATTCCCAGCGGCTTGTGGCGGTGAGGAATATGAGCGGCTACTGACCTGGTCTGTGATGGCGAACTGGTAAGAGCTGCGGCAACTGTCATCTCTGTCACTCTCCCCTCATTCCTCTCTCATCCCAGTCCATACCATCTTCATCACATTTCACATCCAACCTCTCTCTTCATCTCCCTATAATATAACAATCTTCCTATTCTGTATTTCTGCTCTTACACTCCTCCACCCCCCACTCTCTTTGTCCTTACATTGTCGAGTACCTCTTCGACTGCCCCTTCGGTCAACCTCCCACCCCACCCCACCCCCCCACTCCTCACTCTACTTAACTCCCGCTTGCATGCAAATTCTTGACTGTCCAGTACTTTGGGTCGTCCTCCTGATGTGTAAGTGTCATTTGTTGTTGTAGCGTTTTATTAGAGTTTGATCATTATTAAGCTTGGGGTTCTGTAGCTCAGTGGTTAGAGCGCTCGCCTTACAAGTGAGAGACCTGGGTTCAATCCCCGGCAGGTCAGGGCGAAACCTTGGGCAAGTTTCCTTACTCCACACAGAGCCTAATAATAATCCCTCCAAAACAAACCAATAATAAATTGGTCATTTTCAATCCACGACTGTTTGTGGGACATTGCTGTGCGCAATTGGCTGCAGCGTTCGCCCACAAATATACAGTCAATTCACTTTACAGTATATTCTGTGAAGCGCTTTAAGACGTCGAGAAGACGTGAAAAGCGCGAAATCAGATGCAAGGATTATTATTATTATTAAGCGCTCTGAGGCACTGCTCTGTGTGAGGCACTGCTCTGTGTGAGGCGCGCTGAGTAAATGTGGTGGTGGTGGTGGTGGTTTCTCGGGTTAAGAACAACACTGGAGTTTACAATGAAGTGTAGCAGATTGTAGGTGTTTCCCCAATTTACAGTAAGTTGTACAGAAATATCCTGAGCAGTTATCAGCCAGAGTAAAGCACGGAGCAGGATTGTTTGTGAGAACCACAATAACCTGAGCGTGAGCTCAGCCCTGGGTGGGGGGGGGCACAGGCCCTCTGGTTACAGCCCCCTTCACCCCCAGAAAGGTCCCGATCAGAGCTGCCAGCAGTAACTGAGCCCAAACCTACAGCATCACTGCTCCTCACATCCTCACTCATAGCCTCAGAGAGCCTCAGGTTACAACAACAATAGCGCTCTGAAATTCAGTTATATAGTGCCCTTCATGCTGGGATTACAGACGCCCCCCCCCCCCACCCCCGCGCGAGGCAAGTGTCACTCCTCACCCCCCACACCCTCACCCCGTATCCAGAGCTGCTGCTGCCAGGTAGGAGCCGGGACTGTAAAGCCAGCGCTAATCAATAGTCTGAGAGTGAGTGAGTCCTGTGCAGCGCAGCCCCACTGTCTGTCTCTCCATCACTGGTCATGATACAGTTACCCACAGTCTGTATACATTAACCCTGTCATTGCCAGACCCTGTGATGCTGAATACAGACTAATATCACAGTAAAAGCAAATGGCTTTACAGTGTCTATAGGGTGACAGAGAACCACAGCGATCAGCTGTGCTGTGTGTGAACTGTGACCATTAACTGGAGTTGAGGTACGGATCAGCCATTATCTAATAGAATGTCGGAACAGCCTCGAGGGGCTGAATGGCCTCCTCCTGTTCCTATGTTCTTACGCACATTGATACCCACATTGGGTGCTTTTATTTGATGTCACAAGGCAATTGGATAATAATTTGAAGAAAAAAATGCTCCCTCTATAACAGTGTGAGGAAAGTTCTGAGTTTAGGATGGCTGCTAACAGCAAAGACAGGACAGGCCAGAGGGAGAGTGGGGGAAACTCGGGGTGGGGAGAGAAAGTAACTGTTTGCTGGTCCCCAGGGAGAAGCCGCAGACTGACCAGGAGCTCCTCATCATGCGACCAACGGAGCTGGCAAACAGCAGCGAGGGTCCGGAGGTGGACATGCGTGGGGAGTGGTGGGCCTGGTACACAGTGGACATTGCCCAGCCCAGGTCAGGGCTGCTCCCCATGGCAGAGAGCACCAAGCTGCTGGGCGTGAGGGTGGTGTTGATCACGGCCTATTGCCTAATCATCCTCTTGGGACTGGTGGGCAACAGTCTGGTCATACACATGATTGTCAGGTACCGGCACATGCGCACGGTCACCAACTTCTTCATTGCTAACCTGGCGCTGGCTGACCTGATGGTGGACACCCTGTGTCTGCCTTTCACCCTGGTCTACACACTGCTGGACGAGTGGAAGCTCGGGGCCACCCTGTGCCACCTTGTGCCCTACGCTCAAGCCCTGAGTGTCCACGTGTCCACACTCACCCTGACCGTCATTGCATTGGACAGACATCGCTGTATTGTCTTCCACATGGAGAGTCGCATCTCCCCCCGAGCCAGCGGAGCCGTCATCGCCATCACCTGGCTGGTGGCCGCGGTCCTGGCTGCGCCGCTCGCCATCTTCCGGGAGCACAAGGTGGTAGAGTTGCCGCTCATCGACGTGCGCATCGTGGTTTGTTCTGAGAAATGGCCGAACGGCAACAGCCAGGATGGCACCATCTACAGCGTCTCCATGTCCCTCCTGCAGTACGTGCTGCCGCTTGCCATCATCAGCTATGCTTACATCAGGATCTGGGTTAAACTGAAGAACCACATCAGCCCCTGTGCCAAGGGCTCGGGCCATTGCCGCAGACGCAACACCACCAAGATGCTGGTGATGGTGGTGGTGGTGTTTGCCGTGTGTTGGCTGCCATTCCACCTCTTCCAACTGCTTAGTGACCTGGACAAGAGGCTCTTTGACTTCACCGAGTACAAGCTTCTCTACAGTATCTTCCATGTGGTCGCCATGTGCTCCACCTTCGCTAATCCCTTCCTGTATGGTTGGATGAACAAAAATTACCGCAACGGTTTCATCACCTTCTTTCGGTGCCGAGATGGCCCAGCCCCCCAGATTGAGCACTGCCGCTCGCCCCGGCCCATGGGCCACACCCGGCCCTCGCCCATCGAGGTGCAGGAAAGGAATGTGGCCAACTGCTCGGGGGCGCAACAGCCCACAGCAGCCACCATTTAACACAGAGATTCCATATGGCAATGAAAATGCCTGCACTCTGCCATTGCCCATTGCCTCTCACACCTGCCCATTGCCTTTCACACCTCACATTGCCTCTCAGAACTCCCCATTGCCTCCCACACCTCCTCATTACCTCTCGCAGCTGACGATGCCTCTCAGAGTCAGGGCTAATGGTGTATTAATTAGCTGCTTTCATGACAAGTTTAAGCCATTTGAATGAACGTAAACTAACCTGTATATTTTTGGTTGATTTAATTTATGAATGTTCTAAAGCAATGTTAGACTAGGAGCTGATGTACCGTAGATGGATTTCACACCCAGTTACTGAAGCCTCCTCCCCACTGTGCCTGAGCCACAACCTGTCTGCGCTGTGTGTGTGCACAACAACAACAACAAATTGCATGTGTACAGGGCCTTTCACTTGGGGAGGATGCCCCCAGGCAGTCAGGGTGACTGTGCTGGGAGTGTGTATACACAGGGTAACAGTCTCGAACCCGGGTTGAGATTTGAGAATGAAAGGTGAGATAGGAAGAGGAAGCCAAGTGGGGAGGGGGTGGGGGGGTCCCTGATCACAGAGAAAGTCATTGATGGAGTTTAGAGATTTCGCACGTGACCTTCATTCTTTACGGAACTTACTAACTTTTATGAGATTCAGCTGAAGCTGTAATTTCATTGTTTGTGTGTTTTTGCGTCTGTTTATCTCAATGTCTCTCGTGTAATAAACTCACTGGTTGGAATGGGCTGAGGCCGTGGTAATTGTGAGAGTGAGAATGAAAAGCTGGAAGCCCAGCAAGCTAGTTTACTGTAACACTGCGCTAGTCAACTATTACACATCAATCTCCTGGATACACCAGATTAACTTCCGCGTTAATAGCAAAACTTTATATTTATAAATATATAAGTATTTATTTATATTAACTTCAACTTCATGACTAACAACTCTCTGTCTGTAAAGCTCCTCCAGACTTAGTTTACAGTGAAAGGCGCTGGTTTAATATAAACTGTTTAAGAATTGTTCAGGGAAGTTTTTAGAATCACAACACAATTGTTCCACAAATGAGAAACTTCTAAAGCGAATCTGATTTTCCCAAAGGATCAATAAAGATGAAAGAGAAAGTGGCCATTTCCCGAGTTCGGGCCTTGATGGCATTAGCTGAGGTTTCTGATGACAAATTGACCAATTATATTCTATGTAATGTTTGGTTATGGATTTCTGGCCTGTGTGATGGGATCATTGTCTCCTGGGGAAGGCTGCCCCTCACGTCACACATCAGAATGGGGTTGTCCTTGCCTCTCTCCTGTCCCTCTTATACTGCCCTGGGCTGAGGGCTGGGCTGTGTTGGGGGTTTGGCTGGGACTGGGGGCTGGGCTGATGAGAATGGAACGACAGCAGTGATATCCTCTTGCGTCTAAGCATCAATTCGCTCTTTGTCATTTGTGTTGCATTATTCACTGAGCCAAGAAGTTCAGTTGGTGCTTTAATTACAACCAACAATAATGTCACTGTTTGCTGGCTGGGCCGGAGGCTCAACCTCACTGACCAGAGTCACTGACCTCCTCACACCCTCACTGACCAGTCACCTCACTGACCAGCTCCTGTGCGTTGTATGGATCAGAGGCAGGAGAACTCGTACAGTTGATTGGTAACTTTGTCTCCTGAACAACTTTAGTCTGTGACACATTTCGCACATTAACAGCAACACAGGGAATCTGGAGAGAATTCCGGCTCAGCAGCTGGGAGCCGACTGGCACAGACAAACCTCATTGACCATTTTCTGCCCAATTGCACTGCACCAAACTGCAGTAACTGTCTGCTCTCCTAGCCTGGCTGTCAGCCAGGCTCTCTCCTCTGGAACACAAGGCTGTGGGTTTGAGACTCAAGTTAGGGAATTTGAGCTCACAGTCTGGGCCAGTGTGGAATTGTGTAGAGTTGAGAGTAGGTTTCACTGAGCAGAAATATGAGAGGCAACAGACCAGAAGATGGTGGTGAGACAGATAGTGAGGGAGTCTAGTAGGTGGGTGATGATCCTTCAATCTGAGAGCTAATGTGCAAAGTTAAAACTCCACATTGGTTTGTTGTCCCTGCTGTCAAACTCAGAAACTCATCCTAGCCTCTCCTTGCAGCGCCAATAATCTCTTGGTTTGAGAGCTTTCTTGCTTTCTGGATGGCTGGGCGCTGCTACAGACAAGAAGTGAAACAATGGGTTTGAATTGTCGTTCACATGGAACAGAATAAAATGCTAACTTCTCAGGAATGTCAGAGAGCAGTGCTTCAGCAGTGAGCGAGTGTTAGTTCAGGTTGTGGGGAAACGTGGACCCAGTAAACACTGTCAGATTACATGCACATGGCACCCGCACACTGATATCCAGCCATTCCACGTGCTATGTGGGACAGAGCAACAGGGGACTGACATCAAATTTTAAACATGTTAACAGCCACATGAGATGGGCAGTACTACCCTAACAGCTCAGTGCCCACAGCTCCAGCCCTCTGACTGCAACAACCCCAGTGTCAGCTTGTGAAACTCAGTGTTCATACAGAGAGCAACAAAGCAGAGTCACCCCCTCCCCGGGTTTCAGAGCACTTAACAGTGACGGAGTCTGATGCTGAGTGGTTCTAGGGTGGTGGGGGGGAGGAGGTGAGTGTAAGAGCAGTTGACATCACTGAGGAGAGCAGCTCGGATGCTCTGTGCCCTTTACACGGCTGATTTACTGACAGTTTTGTTCCCTGGTATCTCACTAACACCACTGATCTGCTCAGGGATCTGCTAAGATAGGCAGCAGAGAGGAGGCACAAGTAGTTTTGCTTCAGCGATCAGAAGATGAGAGAAGTTGAAGCTCTCAATTGCAGGTTAATATCGCTGCTGTGTTTCATTCACATTGAAACGTGCCTGGAAATGGTGATTTACACTCCAATGGGCGAGGTCGATCACTGTCAACGCTTGAGCCAGGAGTGAGTTCCCAGCCCCAAACCCCAGACCCAGCCCTGACTGCTAAAACATCTTCATTAAACTCTATCTTTTACACCATTACACAATTTTGCCCACACTACAGTCATCCAATTTGCAATATATCATGTGAAGCGCTTTGAGACATCTCAACAACGTGATAAGGCACTATATCAAATGCAAGGATTATTATTATCTCTAGGCTCCTTCCTGCTCAGACTGAATGTGGCACCTGCACTCCCCCATTCACACTCCGAGCAACTAACTGCCAGCACCTGCTGCAATTTACAGCAACAGAAACTCCTGGAAGATGTGAAGAGCTGTTTCTTGATATTAATTCCCCTGTTATTAATGTCAGAGGATATCAATAGCATTAATGATTATAACTGTTCACTGAGTGGCTGTGCCGAGTGTTGGAATGCTCACACAGAAAACAACCTGTAGAGAAGTGATTTCTTGGGTCAATTAACTTCTGGTTTGCCAATATTACATAGTGAGACAATTACGGTAAGGTTGTCAGTGTGCAGAGGCTCAGGCCCTTGCTCAATGGCTTGAGGAGCGGCTCTGTCTGCAACAGCCATTGTCAATGGCTTCACACCAGTGCACCTTTTCTACAGATTGCAATATTGTGTTCTGCTGTACTGTACCCTCTGTGTGAGATTAAAGCTTGGGCAGCATGTAAGCGAAAAAGACACAGGTGAACCAATAGACACGCAAATATACATGCCGATACACACAGACACACACACTCATGTAGATACACAGAAATAAGCTCCATCAGATCATGCTCAGAGACTGAATTACTGCTGTAAAAACTCTGGAGGTTTTTAATAGTAATAGTAATACTAATATACAGAAAGCAGAGCCACCTTTAATTCACTAGATGTGCTTTATGTAAAATAAAGGTTTCTTCAAACCGGATCCCATCACATTAGGTCAGACTATGATAGCTAGCGCTGTCATTTTTTGCCAAATTTTTCATTTACTCCTTTCACCAGGTGTTATTTCACCAGGTGTTATTTCACCAGGTGTTATTTCACCAGGTGTTAGTTGCACTATTTTGGACGTAAGTGAGGAGAGATTGTGTTGTGATCCACACCCGCTGTCTCAGGGCCGAGAGCGCCACCTCCTGGCGAAGATGGTGCATGTTATATAGACAAACACGCCAAACACTAGTGGCTGCTATGCGCAGTCACATCATGGCCACCAGGTGGCAGCAGCCCCGCCCTGGGAGTGTGAGCATGTGTCAGTGTGTTCCCGGTGCGATACTTTATCACTCAATCTGTAGTCACCACATGGATCATTCGGCTGTTGCCTCTTTCCCACAGTCCACGTCCTGATCTGCACCAACCCCAGGAGCGGCACTGCCACCTTCATCGCCGGCTTCACTGGCACCTTCACTGGTCACATCCACAGACTCAGAAAAGGTTTCTGATAGTCTTCTGGGAATCTGGGACTACAAATTCACTAATGAGGCACAGAGACGGGCACAGAGCGTGAAGGAGAACAGATGATGATGATCAAATTTAATTGCAGATCTGTCCACAGGTATCCGCTCGCTTCTCAGAAGCGTGTGGAGACAAACAACTTTATGTCAATTAACACACACTAGAGGCTAAACGGCTCAATAACAGCCACGTTCAAATTTACAGCAAAGCCGTAGGGCTGTGAGGCCAATGGCATTAGGCTTAGAAGGTGCTATATCAAATCTAAGGATTATTATTATTATAGTTTATGAGGAGCAGATGTTACACAGTAAAAATTCAGTGCTCAGTGTTGTATAAAGCCTTGGTCCCCACCCACCCTCAGCCCCAGCACAAGGTGCAGGCAGCTGTAAAAGGCAGTCCATAATGTTATAATAATCTTGTTATAACTTGTTTTCATTATTTAATTTCAGGATGAAACTGTAGATGTGTAAGACAGGGAACTTCTCGCACTGAGCCTCTCTGTACAGTGATGTCAGCTACTGATAGAAACTGCCTAACTGAGCAAGGAAGAGGCAGCACTGGCACCTTATCCCAGTGACTGCCACTGATCTGCCTGTATTACTTC